CTATACCCCCTATTAAACTATTTTACAGGAACTTCTTTTCCACAGCTCATAAAACGGAGGAAAGGGTCCTGAAAGATATTGTTAATAGAAACGTTATCCCTACAGACAAAAATCAGAGGATACAACTGACGATTTACTATAAAACCAGAAAAACGGCCAGCCTACTCATGAGAAACTCTCCAGACACAAAACAGAACGCTTTAAAAGAGACTAATGTCGTCTATGCCTTCAAATGCCCACTTGGGGACTGTAAGCTCCAAAAAACCCAGTATATAGGCAAGACAACAACATCTCTTTCTAGGCGTTTAACGATGCATAAGCAACAGGGCTCCATTAAGGAACATATAATCTCTTCCCATAACCAAACCATCGCCAGAGAAATCCTAGTAAACAACACAGAAATCATCGATAGATACAGCGATAGCAGGCGGCTTGACGTTTGCGAGGCACTACACATCAAGAAGTCAACACCAGCAATCAACAGCCAATTATTGCACAACTATATTCTACCCACCTCAAGACTCCGCTCCAATATAGAAGCATCAAGAAATATGGACCAATAGGCTTTCTACAAACACTTCTATTCAATACCCATTGTTTCTGTTCTGTCTTGTGTTGATACTTTTAATACCCTATTAATATCCCCTCCTGTTCTGTCTTGTGTTACTGCCACATCACCTTCCCACCTCACTCAAATGTAGATATAAAATCAGAGATACGTTCTAATCAGTTGTGTATTTGTGAAGTCTTTGAAAATGTAATAAGTTTTACGAAACGCGCCCGTGTCGCGTCAGACTAGAAATATATATATATATATATATATATATATATATATATATATATATATATATATATATATACATACATACATACATACATACATACATATATATATATATATATATATATATATATATATATATATACATACATACATACATACATACATACATACATATATATATATATATATATATATATATATATATATATATATATATATATATATATATTTATTTATTTATTTTCCGCTGATACCGATCGCGGAGAGGACTCCAAGGTTCCCTTTGCCGGACATGCCTTGCAATACGAAGATTGTGAAATATTAAATATTATGAAGATGAAGAGGAGAGGCGTGAGTACGTGTGGGAGCGGGCGTCAGGTTTATGGGCGTGTGGGTAGGGATTAGTAGGTGGCGATTCTTGTGGATGTGATCACAGCTTACGATCTAACCCCAAGATTTGTCATTCAGCGCGGAGGTATTGGTTGTGTGGGTGGGTGGGTTGATGTGTGGGAAGGTGTGGGAAGGTGTGGGAAGGTGTGGGAAGGGGTGGGAAGGTGTGGGAAGGGGTGGGAAGGGGTGGGAAGGGGTGGGAAGGGGTGGGAAGGTGTGGGAAGGGGTGGGAAGGTGTGGGAAGGGGTGGGAAGGGGTGGGAAGGGGTGGGAAGGGGTGGGAAGGGGTGGGAAGGTGTGGGAAGGGGTGGGAAGGGGTGGGAAGGGGTGGGAAGGTGTGTAGGGTTGGAGGGGTAATAATGTGGGTTGCTTGGTAAATTCTCTTTAGAATCCTTCATGTTATCATCATGTTTTCCATGCTTCTTCTTTCTCCCGATGTACTCACCTAGTTGTTGACCAGACCACACACTAGAAGAGTGAAGGGACGACGACGTTTCGGTCCGTCCTGGACCATTCTCAAGTCGATTGTGATTAATCGACTTGAGAATGGTCCAGGACGGATCGAAACGTCGTCGTCCCTTCACCTTCTAGTGTGTGGTCTGGTCAACATAATTTAGCCACGTTATTGTGACTCATCGCCTGCATACTCACCTAGTTGTACTCGCCGAGTTGTGGTAAGGTCCAGTTCCTCAGTGGCTCCAGCCCTGCAGCTAAGGAACAAGCCTTGTTGCATATCTTTGGACCCTTTCTAGTTTTGTTTTTGGCATGATTCTTTACGCGAGAGTTGCATGGTGGGGCAGTGTACTCAAGGGTGGGACTCTTGCAGGGTGCGTATAGCGTTCCGTATCCTCCTTTGTTGGCAAAACCTCCCAACGTTATTCTGTAAAACGTGTGCCTTAGGAGTGAGGTGTGTGTGTTTGTCTATACTCCAGTACTTCTCTCCTTATGTTGGAAGCTGCCTCCCCTTCACTCTGTACTGTATCTAGGGGGGTCTTCTCACTCCAGTTCTTGTCCTCGTTAAACCTTAGTAAATGCAAGATCAAGTCAAGTAGCCATTTTAAGTCACCTTAGGAATGTGTAATTTTGAAATATATCACAGGCCTCTTCTCTGATTTTTCTCGTTAGTGTTTTCATCGTCAAACAATGATATGAAGGAGCTCATTTCCCGTTAGGTCAATAAGGTATATTAAGAAGATGGGCTCTGCTACCGACCCTTGTGGCACTTCACTCGTTACCTCTCTCCGCTCACTGTGACACGTTACTTTTCTAAAGTAATTAGGAAAAGAAGGTGCCAAGTAAGTAAGTAATTATCAAAAGAAGGCACCAAACTGGGAAGGCTATGTAAAGAAGGTGCCAAGCCGCCTCATCCAACTTGAGACTATTTCCTATATACTGGCCTGTTTAGTCTGAATGTGTATCTCTTGTGAGGAAGATTTGGAAGCTTCCCGACACGCAAGGCAGCTGTAGTGTGTCTAACCTGCCTCTTCCCCAGCCCTTCTCCTGGTTGACTGCTGCCATCTTGTAATATAACTAAGCTGCCCAACAAGGAATTCCATTCTTCTAAACATCAATTTGTTTAGAAGCGAAATTCAACGATTTAATAACTTTTCTATCAGCCTCCTTTGAACGAGTCTCTGTAGCACCTGCCAGAGGATGCCTGCTAGTGATGCTGATCTCTAGTTAAGTGACCCTTTGTCTTCCCTATTTCTTATCCACACACACAGAGGGGGACCCTGATAGCTGAGTGGACAGCGCTCTGGACTAGTAATCCTAGCATCAGGGTTCGATCCCCGGTGATGGCAGAAACAAAATGGGCAAAGTTTCCTTCACCCTGATGCTCCTGTTACCTAGCAGTCAACAGGCACCTGGGAGTTAGAAAGCTAACACACACAGTGAGTGTGTGTGTGTGTGTGTGTGTGTGTGGAAAAAAAATAAAAGTTACTAGTTAGTAACAGTTGATTGATTGATTGATTGACAGTTGAGAGACGGACCAAAAGAGCGGAGCCCAACCCCGCAAGCACAACTAGGTAAGTACACCCCCCCACAACCCATCAGCGGTCGTAGACCACCACCTTCACTCACACGGTTTCAGAGGAAGTTAATTGTAATTAATTTCTTCTTCAAAACTTCTCCCCGTAAGTATTTTTTTTTACAGTCATATTTTCCTCCTCTTCTTGATGTTTTCTACGAAATATTGCATTGGTGATCGTTGGTAGTGACTGTGGACTCACCTACCGGTATATAGGTACAAGGTGAACTCCAGCTTCCACTGACCATTTGGTCACCATTTGGTCCGGGAGACATCTCCCGTCACGCAGGGTGCAGTTGCGCCTCCACAAATCTCCAGTATCATCTTTTGTATCATACTGGTAATGGCTCGAAAGGGCCACCACTTACGGGCTATTCATGCCCGTGCCACCTCTTGGGTGGCTTAATCTTCATCAATCAATCAATCCAGCTTCCACTGACCATTTGGTCACCATTTGGTCCGGGAGACATCTCCCGTCACGCAGGGTGCAGTTGCGCCTCCACAGATCTCCAGTATCATCTTTTGTATCATACTGGTAATGGCTCGATAGGGCCACCACTTACGGGCTATTCATGCCCGTGCCACCTCTTGGGTGGCTTAATCTTCATCAGTCAATCATCCAGCTCCTGAGCCTCGCCTTACTGTACCCGGTGTGACCGACTGCGGTGCCAGAAGAATCATTGATTTAAGCGATCATTGGTGACGTGTTCCTAGTTAGAGAAAAGAGCAGTCTGCTTCTGAGCTTCCGTAAGGCCTTCACAAGGAACATTCCTCAGCTGTCCTAAATGGTTGTTAGAGCACGCACTTTCCCCCTAAGACCCTTTACAGGCACCCCCAGGAGCCGACAGGTGCTCCCTGGGGTCCGACAGGTGCTCCCTGGGGTCCGACAGGTGCTCCCTGGGGTCTGACAGGCACTCCCTGGGGCCCGACAGGCACTCCCTGGGGCCCGACAGGCACTCCCTGGGGCCCGACAGGTGCTCCCTGGGGCCCGACAGCTGCTCCCTGGGGCCCGACAGGTGCTCCCTGGGGTCCGACAGGTGCTCCCTGGGGTCCGACAGGCACCCCCAGGAGCCGACAGGTGCTCCCTGGGGTCCGACAGGCACCCCCAGGAGCCGACAGGTGCTCCCTGGGGTCCGACAGGTGCTCCCTGGGGTCTGACAGGCACTCCCTGGGGCCCGACAGGCACTCCCTGGGGCCCGACAGGCACTCCCTGGGGCCCGACAGGTGCTCCCTGGGGTCCGACAGGTGCTCCCTGGGGTCCGACAGGCACTCCCTGGGGCCCGACAGGCACCTCCAGGAGCCGACAGGCACTCCCTGGGGCCCGACAGGTCCGATATGGGCTTGTGGCACCCAACCTGGAAGTCGTTGCCTGCCGGAGGGACAAACGGGTAGCCTTGGCACTGAACCTCACAGCACAATTTCACCCTCCTGAATCCTCCACACGCTGACACGTAATGATAATTATTAAGCTGTGTGCTATTATCTCTGCGCTAGTAACGGAGCCTACGACTGAACATTTTATTCACTGCAAACTCAACATATGGGTGAAAGCCACAAGTGGGTGTTGAGTGTGATGTTGGAGTGGGCGGAGGGGTGGGCGGAGTCAACGTTATGGCCGGTGTTGATAAAGGGGCATGGTGGTGGTGGAGCCCAGTTGACGTACGCCCGGCGCCAGAAGACAACACCTCCCTGCTGCCTCCACCAAACTCAACACCAACTATCCACCCTCACAAAGTTGTCGTGCAGAGTTCGTCGCCTCCCCCCCCCCCTCCCCACACGCTCGCACCCTAACTCATTACCACCACCGTCCTCATCGCTACGGTCTACCTACACCGCTCAACTGCAAAATATTCGTAATTAATGTAAAACTTAAATACAGCGGCAGTCTTGAGAATATCATTCCTCTGCAAAGTGTGGAATATTGGAAGATATTTGGTTTAGTACAAAAGTGGACGATGAAGGTGAGCTTATTACTGATGGTATGTTTTGTGGTTCGCGCGCAGGATATCTCAGAAAGGCCCTGGATAGTGGGCGGGCAAGGATGGGGCGGACAGGAGCGCGTGCCGTGGTCGGGATCCGAGCACTGGACGGGTGGGCGTGGTGGACGCGCGTCTGCGTGCGGGCCGCCTTGCGTGTGCGTACTGCAGAGTGAACGCATGCTGCTGGTGGACTGTTCCATGGCGCAAGCCACCGCTGACGTGGTACAAAGCTTCGCCTCAAGCCCACCGCCATCCCTGGCCAACAAGAACGCCACAGTGCGGCTCGTTGTCATGAGCTCCGAACTCCCCGGCTTAGACGACGATTCCTTCGGCAACGTGAGCTTTACCCATGTCCACATCAAGTACAACCACGGGCTGGACCACGTGGCTCCGGATGCCTTCAGCGCTTCCCGATCCACCCTTCGTGTTCTGGACTTACGTAACAACAACCTCACTACCTTCCCCCTGGCTAATCTCAGGTCGTTTGAGCAGCTGCAGTTCCTATCTGTGGACGACAATGGCGTGAGTGAGGTGCCTGACAGGGTATCGGAGCTGGCCTCTCTCGTCCACTTAAGTGCCTCCAACAATCGCCTTCACACACTTCACCCTTCCGCCCTCACCTCCCTGCCGTTACTCCAGTTCCTCGACCTGCACTCCAACCACCTGGATTACCTGCCTCACCAGCTGGCCTTCCTACCTGCGCTTCGCTCCCTCATAGTGTGGGGAAACCCCATAACCACACTTTCCCCAGGTAACACACGGCATTGTCCAGCACAGCACATGTTGTCACCAGACACCTTACTACCACAACACATCATATAGACAACATTTTGTGTTAGAACACCCACCGCCGCACTACCCCGCTATATTAAAGACACGAGGCCAATCACCACACACACACGGTGTGTGTGGTGGAACAGTTAAAACACTGTCGCACGATGACACTCATCACCTGAACCCTCCCACCCCCATCTCAACTGCATATAAAATGCGTCATATCTTGCAAAAGCACGACTAAGTATTGTAGTATAATTAAACCTTACAAACAACTGAAGGGTGCATCCGGCGTTGCTCGGTTGGCGGAGACCAGTTGTGCACTACATTGGTTCTTCACTCGCTGCAACCCATCCTCCTCCTTCTCATACACTTGATGTATAACTTTAGGTCAAAAACTGTCCTGTGTTGTTGTTGTTGTTGTTTTAGCTTCAGCTACTCGGAACAAAACGTTCCAAGTAGCACGGACTATGGTGAGCCCGTTGTGGGGGGAAAAAAAACTGTGGTAAATGGCAGCGGCTCACGAAATTGCCGTAGTCCCGTTTTCTGTCCGTGGGTCACCTGGTAGGTTAGGACAAGCAACTTTGGTAAAACTGTTTCTTGACGTTGGGAATGCTGGCGAGAACGGGTTGGGAACTGTCAACATCGTTACTACACCACTATTATAATAATAATCATATTTACGTAAAATACATTTGAAACATTACATAGGAATATTATGAGGTAGACAATTAATGTAATTATATAAAGGTAGGGTGATTATCAGGAGTAAGCACAAAGCTAGAACAACTATAGAGCACTTGGAAGGGATAGAGTATAAGCATTTAGGATGGAACATCTACACTACCTTCCTCAGTGTAACCATCTTTACTACACACTACCTTCCTCAGTGTAACCATCTTTACTACACACTACCTTCCTCAGTGTAACCATCTTTACTACACACTACCTTCCTCAGTGTAACCATCTTTACTACACACTACCTTCCTCAGTGTAACCATCTTTACTACACACTACCTTCCTCAGTGTAACCATCTTTACTACACACTACCTTCCTCAGTGTAACCATCTTCAATGCCCGGGCAGCGGGCATTGAAGATGGTTACACCTCCTCTACAACCATCACCATCAGTACCTTCCCTCTCCTTCACCATCACTCCTCACCTTTATCACCTTCCCAACTCTCTATCACCTTTTCCACCCTTTACCTCCACTCTCCTTTCCCACCGTCCTCATGCATCATCACATTCCCTACCCTTCACCACCTTCCCAACCAGTCACCACTTTTTCTTCATCATTATAACCATCTTCAATACACTGCCTTCATCAACAATCTCCACAAGACAAATATTTAATCATGTAGAAATAATATAATTGGTGAATCTTGGCGAGAATGGAGGCTAGTATGCAGCAAGATTGGAAATTTTTATCGTTTGCCATTTCATGAAAAGAGGAGCGGCATGGGGGATCAACCCCATCCTATCTACGGCCATCCCGAAACCACCACAGTCACCCCTGCAAAGTTTAGTGAGACTAGCCCAAAGCGTCTGGCCTCCAACCTCGAAAGAGACATTCTCTTTTATATAGATTTATGACAATACTCTTATCCCAGTACAATAAACCTATATATTTCATATTGCGAAAACGCAAAATTGAAAGCAAGTTAATAGATCTTCATAGACCCTATCTTCAGATCTGCCATTTTAACTGAGAGCGCCGCGTTGTCCTCATTAGTCGCAGGGATACCGCGTCTGCCAAATGAACATTGTTTTATTTAAATAATAATAATAAATAATAATCCCTTAAGTGAGGCAAACCGCTATTTTCACCTAGTATTTTCGCACTAGTGTGGCCTAGTTTGGTCATTCCGTAAAGATACTTGACATGAGGGGTACCGGGTCCAATGTTAGTGAGGAGAGAATAGTATTTATATATTCATGTGATCGTCTATCCCCACAGGTAACAGCCCAGCTCCTGTGCCAGGTAAGTCCACTACGGTCTCACCATAGCTCGTGCTACTTGCCCTGCTCCTGTGCCAGGTAAGTCCACTACGGTCTCACCATAGCTCGTGCTACTTGCCCTGCTCCTGTGCCAGGTAAGTCCACTACGGGCTCACCATAGCTCGTGCTACTTGCCCAGCTCCTGTGCCAGGTAAGTCCACTTCGGACTCACCATAGCCAATGCTACTTGCCCTGCTCCTGTGCCAGGTAAGTCCACTATGGGCTCACCATAGCCCGTGCTACATGGAACTTTATGTTCCCCAGTAGCTGAATCTTAAACAACATGGTGGTCTATCAATCCGTTCCTTCATTCCCTCCCACGTGCACCAAAACTATTTGCCCCAAGGATAAAACACACGCACATTATATACCCTTCGTGTGTGTGTGTCTACTCACCTAGTTGTGCTTGCGGGGGTTGAGCTTTGGTTCTCTGGTCCCGCCTCTCAACTGTCAATCAACTGGTGTACAGATTCTGGAGCCTATTGGGCTCTATCAAATCTACATTTGAAACTGTGTATGGAGTCTGCCACCACATCACTGTGTGTACATGTATTTACTATTTGTATTTATTATGTGTCTGCAGAATCGACCTCTTCTCGAGCAGAATATTAGCTCTTGGATCCTGCCTTTCTAACCAAAATATTTTTCCTCTATTATATCTATTACGTATGTCTCTCTAACACGCACACGCGCACACCCAGGAAGCAGCTCGTAACAGCTGTGTAACTCCCAGGTATCTATTTACTGCTAGGTGAACAGGGCATGAGGGTGAAAGAAACTCTGCCCATCTGTTTCCACCTCGGCTGGGAATCGAACCCAGGCCTTCAAGATTACGACTCCCGAGCGCTGTTCACTCAGCTGCAGGGCTTCCTGTGCGTGCTTTGTACCTAATGGGTCAACTTGCCTAACAAGCCGAATTCTCCTGAACTATACACACTTTTTTAATTACGGAATAATAACGACATTCCATAACATTGTATATGAATCTTTTTTTTTATAGTTTAAACTAACAAATTTTATCAAACCAAACCTAAGTTACCTTACCTAACCTAACTAAATCACAGTAATTGATGCTAATATAATATTAATTGTAAAACGGCAATTTGGAAATATTTGAAAATATCGAAAATCACTTTGCCTGTTAGGCAAATCCGGCTTTCCATACTAGGCGAAGTAACCTAGTCCATCATTTGTAATCACTGAGATATACCATCGTTTCCAGCCCCGATGGGTCCTGTCCATCTATTTCTTCATTCACTGCACCGTCTGCGGCGTCTCCAAAAATCAGATTTCTTTCACATTAAAACAAAAACTAAGTATTGTAACACCCGTTCTCTGTGTTCTCTAACACTCTCTAGCTGAGAGACCTCGCAGCCGGTGGGTGAATGCCAGTCAGGAGCTGGATTAAGTACGTGAAGGGAGAGTAGCTCACCTTCGTCTAGGGCGGGGTCACTTTCGTCTAGGACGGGGGTCACTTTCGTCTAGGACGGGGGTCACCGTCGTCCAGGACGGGGGTCACCGTCGTCCAGGACGGGGGTCACCGTCGTCCAGGACGGGGGTCACCGTCGTCCAGGACGGGGGTCACCGTCGTCCAGGACGGGGGTCACCGTCGTCCAGGACGGGGGTCACCGTCGTCCAGGACGGGGGTCACCGTCGTCCAGGACGGGGGTCACCGTCGTCCAGGACGGGGGTCACCGTCGTCCAGGACGGGGGTCACCGTCGTCCAGGACGGGGGTCACCGTCGTCCAGGACGGGGGTCACCGTCGTCCAGGACGGGGGTCACCGTCGTCCAGGACGGGGTATCTGTTCTACACGCGTGCCGAACATGTCTGTTTATTTACTGGACGTGTGAAACATTTCGAACCTTTACCGTCCTGAAGCGGAATTTCTTTTTTTTCTTGCTGTCACTAAACATACGCACTTTTTAAAGTTATATTTCAGTATTCTAAAGATTCGCCCTACACATTATAAATAGTAGCAGTCTTTTTATTAAGGATAATTGCGATTTTTTCCTTTCCATAAAATGTTGGCATGTCCAAGTCAAGACAAACTTTGAAACCATCCAAGTACATTGTTAACATGTACTTCTCCGCTGACTGCCAAGTGCACCTCTTGTTCCTGTGCTCACCTAGTTGTGTTTGTGGGGGTTGAGCTCTGGCTCTTTGGTCCCACCTGTATACCGACCAGTATATGTTGCTCTTATATTGACAACTGTAAGTGTTGCTCCTGTAAATGGTGGTATGTGCAGTTCCACAGTGCCACTACTGTCAAGTGTACCTGTTGTTCCTGTACTGCCAAGTGTAACTGTTGTTCCTATACCAACAAGTGTACCTGTTGTTCCTATACCAACAAGTGTACCTGTTGTTCCTATACCAACAAGTGTACCTGTTGTCCCTGTACCAACAAGTGTACCTGTTGTTCCTGTACCATCAAGTGTACCTGTTGTTCCTGTACCATCAAGTGTACCTGTTGTTCCTGTACCAACAAGTGTACCTGCTGTTCCTGTACCAACAAGTGTACCTGTTGTTCCTGTACCAACAAGTGTACCTGTTGTTCCTGTACCAACAAGTGTACCTGTTGTCCCTGTACCAACAAGTGTACCTGTTGTTCCTGTACCATCAAGTGTACCTGTTGTTCCTGTACCATCAAGTGTACCTGTTGTTCCTGTACCAACAAGTGTACCTGCTGTTCCTGTACCAACAAGTGTACCTGTTGTTCCTGTACCAACAAGTGTACCTGTTGTCCCTGTACCAACAAGTGTACCTGTTGTCCCTGTACCATCAAGTGTACCTGTTGTCCCTGTACCAACAAGTGTACCTGTTGTTCCTGTACCATCAAGTGTACCTGTTGTCCCTGTACCAACAAGTGTACCTGTTGTTCCTGTACCATCAAGTGTACCTGTTGTCCCTGTACCATCAAGTGTACCTGTTGTCCCTGTACCAACAAGTGTACCTGTTGTTCCTGTACCATCAAGTGTACCTGTTGTTCCTGTACCATCAAGTGTACCTGTTGTTCCTGTACCAACAAGTGTACCTGCTGTTCCTGTACCAACAAGTGTACCTGTTGTTCCTGTACCATCAAGTGTACCTGTTGTTCCTGTACCAACAAGTGTACCTGTTGTTCCTGTACCAACAAGTGTACCTGTTGTCCCTGTACCAACAAGTGTACCTGTTGTCCCTGTACCAACAAGTGTACCTGTTGTCCTCTACTGACAAGTTAACCTGTTAATACTTTATTAATAAGTATACCTGTCACTCCTGTATTGACAAGTGAACCTGTTGCTCTTCTACTGAGAAGTGAACTTGCTATTTCTCTACTGACATACATTTAACATAAAACAGGTCATCAAACTTAAGACGGTCCTTGTGCAGCTCCAGTTTACTGTTTAAACATATTAAAAAATAAAAATAAAATGTTTATTCAGGTAAGGTACATACATACAAGAGATTTTCCAAAATTTGATCGATTTATAGATAGTGCTAGTACATACAACGCCTAATGCCACTATTACGCAAAGCGTTTCAGGCAGGAGTGTCAAGGAGTTCGGGCAAGTGTCAATATATTACAGTATATACTGTAACATGAAACCTAAGATAAATCTTATTGAGAAACTTACGGCAATGCCGCAGTGTTTGAATGAAGGTGAAGGAAACACCCAATATATGTGTAAGTGTATTTAAAAAACAAATTTTCGGATGTACCCATTCTTTTTCAAGGTGCTGTATACAATATGCGCATGAACATTGTATACAGTACCTTGAGAACGGATATAAGCTACATCTGATATTTTGGTTTTTAATACACTCTCACATACAGTATACAGTATTGGGTTCACCTTCACCTTCATAAATCTTATTGACTAACACATTTGTGTGAATATTATGATTATCAATTTTGGTTCAGTTTCAATGAAGTAAAACATGGAATATATAACTGATATGGGGAAATTCATTATTTTATATTTGCTTCAGGGAAACTACATGAAAAGAGTTTGATGTACTATGATGAAGACACACACATTATAAGTGTGTGTCTGTTTAATTGCAACCTGTTTAATGTCAATGTCATTCAGCATAAATATTTAGTTCACAAGAAGAGTTTTAACTTTCTGTTGCATAGTTTTGACTATAACAGCACTCTGATCGCACATGACAAGATACACAGTCCTTTCGACTGTCCTAAGTTCGTCATGCTGTGAATAAAGTCATATGAGGTCAACACTGCTTCAACAAAGGGCTATACAGCACTTAGCATCCTATAATAATAATACATCAGAAACTTAACAATGGGTTAATCTTGATAATTATTCCATGTAAAACTTAATGGATAAATGATGAACAAGAACAATTTCTAATGTAAACCATATACTGTATTTCATGTACTACGAATATCAGATTTCTACTAATTTGACCAACATGTAGGTTAAATAATAACTCCTCATCTAATTAGAGGAAATATGCATTTCTGTCTTCAAACTTCTGCAATACTTATCGTGTCAGGCAGCCTACTCAGGAGTGTTCACAATCTATCTTCTTGAGGTTATCTTGAGATGATTTTAGGGCATAGTGTCTCCGCGGCCCGGTCCTTGACCAGGCCTCCTTTTTGTTACACATCCCCAGGAAACAGCCTGTAGCAGCTGTCTAACTCCCAGATACCTATTTACTACTAGGTGAACAGGAGCATCAGGGTGAAAGAAACTCTGCCCATTTGTTTTCGCCTCCACTGGGGATCGAATCCAGAACCTAAGAACTATGAATCCCAAGTGCTGTCCACTCAGCCGTCAAGCCCCACAATTTATTTCCACCACTGGCGACTTAGATTCACTCACTCTGTCTGTACTGGTCTCTCTCTGGCTTTAAAATACAACGTTTGATCGCTTGAAAAATTTAAATTTCCTTGCGCAAGAACACAAACATACTGAAATACGAAAAATTACATTACAGTAGAGCACTTGAATTTTGTAGATCATACACGTAAATTTTGCCCCGAGAGGCAAGTTTATTAAGCAGTGACACTCATTCTGTAAATGAACATACCACCATAGCAGCAGTTTTTTCATTTTAATTTGAACAACACCCCCCTCAATGAAGAAAACCAATCCTGCTGGGTTGTTTATCCTGTTACACATTATTTAATAATGGCTATTCTACAGGATAAACAAAATATTTTTGTTTTATTTATTTTCATACAGGCAACAAAAAATTATTTAAATGTGGCACTGTATTGAATTTCTCATATTCAGTTTTATATGACTGTAATCTAGTTGGCAAGTATGCTGGTCACACAATTGGTATGTATCCAGGTCACACAACTGGTATGTATCCAGGTCACACAACTGGTAAGTATCCAAGTCACACAACTATTAAGTATCCAGGTCACACAACTATTAAGTATCCAGGTCACACAACTATTAAGTATCCAGATCACACAACTATTAAGTATCCAGGTTACACATCTTATGTATCCAGGTCACACAACTGGTAAATACCGAGGTCAAACAACTAGTAAGTATCTAGGTCACACAACTATTAAGTATCCAGGTCACACAACTATTAAGTATCCAGGTCACACAACTATTAAGTATCCAGGTCACACAACTATTAAGTATCCAGGTCACACAACTATTAAGTATCCAGGTCACACAACTGGTAAATACCGAGGTCAAACAACTAGTAAGTATCCAGGTCACACAACTATTAAGTATCCAGGTCACACAACTGGTAGATATGCTTATTACAAAATTGGTATGTATTTTTGGCCGTATAATTCAGTTAAACTACTTACACAATATCAAATAGGTTCCTCCATATGCCATTTCTTGATTCTGGCACATTCCTGAGATTTGAGTCATTGAAATGATCTCGCACGGATACTGGCATAACTTTATATTTAGTAGATGGTTAATCTTTGTTCATGCAGAGAGAACCGTGTCCTTATCTCAATCCCCTTTTCTCATGCAGCATGATCCTTGACCCTTGTCCCTATTACTATTCCATGTTCAGCATAAACTACTCACTTATTCCCCTTTCTTTGTTAAACAATGCCATACTGCTTCCAGGCATGTATGTATTCACTATCTTCCCACTCAATTTTCAGTTAATTTCATCTTCTTATTAAACTCCTCTGATAAAATGACAAAAGGATGTGAATAAAAAACATCCTTCATAGAGCATCTGGTTCACTCTTGTACCTTGTTGTTCTATACACACTCGTCACATGTTCCCACTTCTCACTGAAGAGGACGAGGCAAAATTTTCAAATATTATATTACTAACTTGTTCAAACATGCGAGGAATATGGATAGGCACATTTATGCAAGATTGAGTAGTAAGGCTGTATTTATCATACTTCTCTATTGCAAATAATGTAATTTTAGCATAGGCTGACATGAAACTTCTTTGGCTGAAAGGGTCTTTCCGGGGGATGAGAAGTCTGGAGTATGTTGACCTGAGCTACACAAACATCAAGGAGGTGGGAGTAAGCAGCATGGAGACTCCTACCTCTTCCCCGTGGTTCATCTCCTTTCGTCGCACCCCAATAACTAAGCTTAGTGAAGCAGCCTTCCATAATGGTAAGCTGGCATAATATTTATGGTTTAAAACCTTACTAATAACCTAATATATATAGTTGAGTCAACTGACTTTTCAGATTGCATACTATTCTAAACTACTGCATACTATTCTAACCTATGAGTGCCTTACTAAGGTAAGGCAAATAACATGTTTTTTAACACTGATAAATTCCAAGTATTTAGGTATGGTAAAAATGAAGACCCTAAATAAAATACTGAGTACAAAACACAATCAAACATGCCCATAGTACAAAAGCAACATGTAAAGGATCTGGGAATAATGTCTGATGACCTAACACTTAAGAATCATAACCAAGCAAATATATCATCAGCTAGAGTAATTAAAGAATGTATCATGAGAAACTTCAAATCCAGGGATCCCACCCCAGTGCTCATACTATTTAGCTCATTTCTTCTTAATCTTCTTGTTTGAGGAGCTGTTCACTTGAGACAGTTAAGCAAGTCCCAGCTGTGTCTGGGTACAAGTGACAGGATGAACAACCCAGCGGGCTTTCTTCCTATTGGGGAGTGTTGTACATGCTACTATGGCGGTATGTCCACTCACAAGATGAGTGGTGCTGCCCAATAAACTCGCCCCTCGGGCCAAATTGTGCTCTCCTATCTTGAGTCAAGAACATCAAGAAACCTGAGCAGCACCAAATACAAATAACTAAGAGCTCACTCCACATTGGAACTGATAGGTAAGAAAAAGCACATTTACTCTACTTGCCGACTCAGAAATACTTGTGTCTACTGTACACAAAAATTTATACTTATTCATCAACACCTAACATTCTACCAAAATAGCAATGAGTCCTTAAGATAATTGCAAACAAAGAGCTGTTTTCTTATCATATCCCATTTAAAACCTAAACCTAACATTGTTCTTTTTAAATTAATTGGTTAAATTACTTGTTTAATATTAAGCAACATTCACAACAGATAGCCAATAGAATGATTGAGCAAGAGATTGCATCTGATCAGTCTATTTGAAATTTTCAAATACAGCTTGTCCTCACTCTTTCAAAGAACAATATTGAACTTTTAATGCAAGTAAAATTGTACAATTTGTTCTAAATGTTCTAAATAATATTAATATTGTGCATAATAAAATGCAGAGATGATTTCTCCATGTAAGCTTCAAATATACTACTTTAAACAAGTAATGTGTAATACTACAGTACCATGCAGCTATTTGGTACAATATCTTTTATCAATTTGTGCACGTCATGAAAAAGGATGCTGTATGTATCATTGTTGATAAAATTATATTCTTGAAAAATTTACAAAATAATGATCATAATTTGACTTTCCCATAGCAACAGTTGCACTAGGTGACACATGGGATATCACCACCAGAAAAGTAGAGGTGAGAGGATCATTAAGGTGGCCAATATAAGTGTGTCCAAAGGGATAGTTCAGAGGAAGCAGCGAAGGCCAAGGTCAACCACCAGAGCCCCAAACTCCTGGTGCAAGAGAGATTCAAAGCTTTCAGAGGGAGAAGCCCTGTAAATCTTAACCTTAAAATCAGAGTAAGGATTTAACTGCCTCTACATCTTCACCCTCCACAGAACCCAACAGGGAGGGTAAGGAGATGTAGAGCAAGCACCTCAGACTCCTGGCATTGAACGCACATAGTAGTGACACCCAGAAAATAGTCAGTGATATTCGAATGAATGTTTTAGCTGCCAAAGAAAACAGATTTGAGATTAAATTCCTATGGATACCATCACATGTTGGCATCTCAAGGCATGACACTGTTGATATGCTTGCTAAGTCAGCTTGCAGAAAACCAGTGGTAGAAATTGATATGGGTGTTTCATTAGCAGTGACAAAGAGAATACTTAAACAAATATCTAATGAAAATCTCACCGACCTAACAAATTCTCAAAGACCTGAAAGTTGTAGCATTAAATATTATGATAGATATCGTGAGGAGACATTCACATATGGGACTAATAGAACAAGAACCCGGCAATGTGATGTTATAGTGGCCAGAATACGCCTGGGATATAGACGTATCTGGCAGCTTTCTCAAAACCCAAATGTCGAGTACACAATGTGTCAACTTTGTAAAAGAGAAAACATGCACTCTCTTGAACATTATATTGTAGAATGTCCCATACTGACTGACTTTCGCCCTCCTGGGCTAAGGTATGCTGAACTCTGTAGTTACTATATGAGTACTGGAACACTTGATGATATATTGGACTTGTATCCAAAATTGACCATGTAATGTATCAATCATACAATGTATGTATGTGATGTAACTATATAACCTGAGCTTGTAAAAGCACCTTCATCACCTTCAGTGATTAAGTGCTTAATTGCACACTAGTTTCTTTATCAGCTACCTCACCCTGTCAGCGTAAATGAGACAAATGTATGTGAATGCATGTATGTGTGTATATATGTATGTGTATGTGTGTGTGTATGTATATGTATGGGTATAAAGCAAATATGGAAGCTGATCAGAATTACATTTCACCTTTGTGAATGTACATTAATGACACTATGTAAAAGACACATCTAATACTTTATGTAGGGCGTACGTAAATCTGTGTATCTTTGTATTTACGTATGTAGGTTAGCTTAGCATTTTAAAAGCACCGAATCACCTTCTGTGGTTGAGTGTTCAATAAACCCTTGAACTGTATGTTTAACACTTCTCTAACCCTGTCCATGGAGGACAGAAGAAAATGTATATATGCTGGTTAGCATTGTAAATGTGTGGCCACATCTGTGGTAGAAAATAATAAAAAAAAAATAAAAAAAAAAAAAAAAAAACCTCAGAGACAGCAGGAATACTATATGCAGGTCACCATTGAGGCATCTATTGGCACACCATTAAGGTGTGCCAAGTCTAGCCTAGCTAGACCATATTGAACCTCCAATCTTATCTTTTTACAGGTTCTCTACCGAGCTGGGTGGATCTGAGAGAGACAGGAGTGCAAAGCCTTAACCAGGCCTTCTTCCAGCCTCTGCTACACAACATGGCCCAGCAAAACATTGTCCACAATGATTGGGGAAAACCACAACTGTGGATACACAGTAAGTTTTATTATTGAGAGTTGCTGGATTAGCATAGAAAAAGGTGTGATGATGTGTTATGATAATGTGCTTATTCTATATAAGCGGGGTGAAAATAAGTTCATATACTCTGCCTCCTGGCAATAGGAATCTAGTTCAGTTACACCTTCCAATTTTCTAATGATCTATGATATTTGATCTTAAGAGCAGTGAATGGAGTGGCTTCAACTACCTCCACTCTCAGTTCATTTAATTTGATTACCACATATGAGTACTTTATTACATCTGACTCATTTGTGCTTTCAACTTTCACCCATGCCACCTTATTTGGTTTCCCTCGTGTGAAACTGGTTGTCCCCGTCTACTTCATCTATCCCCCCCCCAATGATTTTTTATGCTGTGACCATATTTCCTCTAGTATTTCTCTCATCTACTGTTATTAGATAGTTGTCTTAGCTATTTTTCATAGCTTAACTACTTGAATACTGGCACCAGTCTTGTAGTGAATCTCTAGACTGATTTTAATGTCACCTGGTTCATAAGATAATGGATAAGATTTACGGGGCCCTGATGGCTGAGTGGACAGCACTTGGGGTTCGTAGTCCTAAGGATCCGGGTCGATTTCCGGCGGAGGTGGAAACAAATGAGCAGAGTTTCTTTCACCCTGATGCGCTTGTTCACCTAGCAGTAAATAGGTACCTGGGAGTTAGACAGCTGCTACTCGCTGCTTCCTGGGGATGTGTGTGTGTGTGAAAATTAGGATTAAGGACTTGTCCAAAACGCTATGCGTGCTAGTGGCTATGCAAGAATTCTCGTATATATGTATAAATAAATAAAAATAAATAAATAAATGGTTCAATGCCAGTGGAACCATTGCCAGTGTTTGCAAATTTGCCATTATGTGTGGGAGAGAATGTATATTTGTAAAGTAGCTTTCCTATGCATTTGTGTTACATAGCCATGCACCACACCTTCAGCACTAAAGGAAGTGTGTTGGGTTGTGCTCATAAGGCGCCCACCTCCGTCATTCTTCTTTCACTGTCATTTTAGGCATCATGCATTACTCGGTGAGTGATACGTTTTTCCAGTCTCATGTGTAAAAGAAATACTGTATGTCCTCATACGACGGGCTATGCCTGTCAAATCGAACCCCTGTCACAACCTTATTGCCACAGTTTCATCAACCCACTTTTAATTTAAAGCCCGCCTGTCCAGCCCACCCAAGTCTTTTTAATGTGCAAAATTGACAATTGTATTTCAATATGAATGTGGATATTTAATTTACTCTGTACAGCCTCCAGTCAGGTGTTTGAATCTCTAAATTCTAATTAGTTGTGTGTAGTTCACTTGGAATTTCCTCTTGTATGTGACGAAGTGCCATTTTTATATTATTTTGTGTTCCTTAACTTCAAATTAGGTAAATTTACTGTAAGGTTTACCACCTACTTACAATATTCTGTCTTGACTTTGACTTTTCCTCTTTCCTCTTTCCATTTGCATTACCTTGCATTTGCTGGGACAAAACTCTAGTAATCATTTAGATGATCTCATGGACTTATGTAATTGCATTCTTTTAAGATAAATAATGTACAGTACTCAGTATATCTAAACAAGTCCTAAGAAATACTTTAAGAAGAGAGAACATTTGTTTAAAATGAAAATTTTGTAACTTCTAAATAATTTAAGATCTTATAATAATTATCATGACAATTTTACTTGCAAAATTCAACTGCATAGCTTGTAATGTTTCACAGATGAAGACCTGGCATGTGACTGCAGCATCAAGTGGCTGGTTACCAACACAACGCTCCTCCATCACGTGTCAGGCCGGTGTAATGACAAGAACATCAATGTGCGTTTTCTTGACCCTGACTATTTCAATATCTTTTGTTTCTAATTAAAAATCGCATCACATAAAATTGTCGCAAAACGATATAAATTATAATCCCACCTACGATTACACAAAGCGGTGCTTTTTGACTACTATGAAAATGTAAGTGCAATTTTACACTTGCCTTCGGTTAACTAATCTTGTATTCATGCAAATATGATCATATTCTGATGAGAACATTACTCTATGGAAATTATCGGGAACAGACCGAGATGAAAACATAAATTTACAACAGGCAATAAAAAAAAACATTTCATCTTTGGTGCTTTGCTGCTTTGACAGAGTAACTTCACCATAAACATTTCCCAACCATTATAGCCACCTTCAAATGTTAAATACGGTACAAAGTGACGTAATACTGATATGTTAATTGAAGCGTTCTATATATTGATTTCTCTCTCGCAAAGTGAAGCAACACTTGTCTGTAATAAGAATAGACATGTTCAGAGGAAGACGGAAGTAAGAAAGCCCCACGAGGCACAAATGAAGGAGATAGAAGAGTCCTTGAAATCACAATGTCAAGAAACACAGAGAAATTATTCAATGTGCTCCACTGCCAGTGTTAAAAAATAAAAAAGTACTCATTGTTATCCATATTAATGCTTTTATGAGTGCCATAGGTCACAACACCTGTGATAGAGTATAACATGTAAATAAACATGTGATGTTCCAAATTAAGAAATATAGAACTGATGTTGCAATATTTTGGTGTTTCTACTTTTATGCATGTCATTTGTGTTAATAACTGTGTGTAATCCTATGCATCATGTATCACTTATATACTGTACATACTATATAAAGTATACAAAATGTTACATTTTTAAATAATATATTAAAACTGAAGTACAGTACATATGCCAGAAAACTTGCATATAAATAACTATGAACTTATTATTCTTTTGAAAGCATTTGTCTTAATGTATATCCAAACTTGACAACCAAATAGCCAAACTTGACAACCCTCCACACTGTCGGAGCACAATCAATCTCCCCATCCATCACCACACATGAAAAAGATTGGAATTTTCTAAAGTGCAACAAAGGAAAATTAAGCTTGCATCAATAGTTATAACATTCAACAATACAGGTACTTACCTTAATTGTCCTTGCATCAATAGTTATAACATTCAACAATACAGGTACTTACCTTAATTGTCCATCGAGCAGATTTGTCTTGTGTGAGCAAATGGGCTAACTGAGCCTGGAATCCTGAAGGTGCATCACCATATGGATAACGCCCATCCTTTAACTTGACTGCCAAACCTTCACCAGAACACAATATTGTTTCCAGAAAAGCCCAGGTCTTGTTTTGAGCAGAAAATCTATAAAAGAAAAAACAAAATGTTCACATCTGCCATTAGACCCACCAGTCAACTAGAAACTTTACTAGAAATTCCAATAGCAGAAAGAACAAGAAGAAATTCTACATATAGAAGAAAAAAGAACAGAAAGAGGAATTAAGTAGCATGGAGGAGAGAGAAGTAATTAAAGAATTGGTGTACCTAAATGTATTATCATTAGAGGAGCAAAAACCAAATCTCACCATGGATTTTAAAGGAAGCCACAGCAATTCAATATAAATGACTGACCACACTGTATATACAAGTGCACAAGAGGGACAGGAGAGTTCTCAGAGGCATGGAAAGAAGCTAGTATAATATTAAGGATTAATAAGAGAGGCAGGCAACAGGCATTATATTTCAGGCCAGTATCCATAACATCTACCCTTGCAAGGTGCTGGAGGAAATAATCAGTCTGAAGATACTACAACATTCTGAAAGGATATAATTGAAACAGAAAACCAATGAAGGTTCAAAAAATGAAAATCATGTCTAACAAATCTCATATAGTTTTATGAACATAGGAGATACAAAAATAAGAGTTGCTTTACCTGATAGGCCAATAACGATGGTTAACAGCGTCACCTTCTATAATAACTTGAGACAACTTTGACAGTTCAGGTAACATCAGCGGAGCCATAGCTTCATAAGACTGATTCGTGTACTGAGGTGTGTCACTAAACCTGCATCATGAAAGGTTCACTATTAATTTGGCCATAATACAATCCTCACCAAATACAGTAAGTTATACAAATTAGACACATTTCATAATTCTTCGTACCTATAAATTTCTAGGTTTATTTTGAGTTGCTGCATTACAAAAATAAATAAATACACTGGCTCTAAGCACTACAAGCTTACAGAGTATTAAGATTAAAGTACAGTACTGTTTAATAAAAAAGTTACCTTCAACTACTTTAGAGTAAAACAGGAAGATAGATGAAGCTTTACATAACTAAGATCTTGTGCACGCAACACAAATTCAACATAGAAAATGCTGTTTTGCCATAGGTATTCCTGGGGTGTGCACCAAGGTTTACATGACAGCAATACCAAATAGTAAATACATGCATTTTGATGACTCCCATATACAGTGCTGGCAATAATACAATATATGAATATTCTCTTCTGACTTATTTAGATTGAAATGACAGGCTGTCAATACAGTACAGTTTGTTATACAGTACAAGGAAGTTTGTTATGCTTTCTCTATCCTTTCAATGTCTATTTAATGAATACCATTTTCATCTTTATACTTCTGCTTACTACTGTATGCCTCTGTACTGACATTTTTCATCTTTACTTGAAGTATCTTACTTGTACTGACAATTATTGAAATTGTGAAATTAATTCACAACAAATATTCTATGCTCCACCAAACAGCATTACGACTTAAGAGGCAGTTTAAATGTCTAGGAGCAACAACAATGAGGACTCCCCCTCAAGAAAGAATGGGAATTTCCTCTTCTTGAGAGCAGCCTCATATACATAATCCCTCCTCCCATCTGAGGAATTTCAACATCAAAGTGGATAAGACTACAAACAAGGTGTCTCACCTGACAGTAACACTGACTTGGCATAGTCTTCCAGTATCCACATCAATGGGCATTAAAAGCCTTGGCTCTGCTGCCAAAACATAGAGGTGTCTCAAGGCCTGTAAAAATCAACAGGAATTTCTCATACACATATTAATACTGTATACTGAAGTAGGTGGTATAGTTAACCCTTAGACAACGGCTATGGAGAAATAATAATAATCTATGCGCAACAATTTTAAATAAAAAAATTATTTTTCATTGTAGAATTATAAATTTGTATGCAAAAAACATAAAAATATGTGAATATTTATCGTTTCACTGCATAGAGGTGCTCTTTGACGAGTGTGTGGTGGGTGTATATAGCACCTGTCAACACCCGGTGCCCGACTGCTGATGCTCCCTGTGTTGTCCTCTGGTGTTTCACTGATTGTTTATCACTTGTTTCCTCTTCATTTACAAATGTACAGTATGTTGAATAATTTGCTAAATCATATAATTCACATAACAATTGTTTCAATAACACATGTTTCAATTGATGATTGGTTTACCTGTAGTATACTGTACTTCATTACAATCATAAAGTAGTAGTAGTAGGCATCATCAGTCTCAGGAGACTATGGAGCTGCGCTCTCGTTATTGGTCTGGAGGGAGTGGCCTCTCCAGGGCGCAAAGCCAGAGTAGGACGATACAGAGAAGCTGTTACACGTGCAGCAGGTCCCCCCTCTCCACTGCGCCGAAAGTCTTCAATGGAAAGGCAAAGGCCAATACGACTGGTTCCAGCATCGTCGCAGGAATTGTCAGAGAGAGAGGTTAAAGGCAACAACGAACTGCCCTAGGGGCTCCAGCTCCAGAGTTGTAATGAAGTATACTGTACGACCAGGTAAACCAATCCAACTGAAACGTGTTATCGAAACAATGAAAAGGCTATGAACATAATATACAATGGTGTTAGGCTCTGGGTGATGACATATGGCTTAATTGGCACCATATGGTTGAGAGTACAGATTGAAAGACAGGCGTAAGCCACCAATGTTGCACCCACGTGATGGTAGGCTCCTCCTAGTACATTTAACCATGATATGGGAGCAGGATTTTTTCATGGGACAAGGTAAAGTCCATTACATACACATTGAGCTATTATATCTATATTTGCATCATACATGTAAAACCCAGACAATAATTGTTTAAATCATTGTATGACAATAACTGCATTACCCTGTGAATCAACGAATGACGATAACCACTGTCTAAGGGTTAAGAATCATGATATGGAGAAGAGAGGTAAAAGTTTAAATTAAGGATTCTTGAAGTAAGTTATTGGGCAGATATATAAATCATCCATTAGGAGAAAACAAACAAAAAATAACACTTACACCATAAATACAGTATTAAGATACCAGCCTGTAAATAGTGGTGAAAATAAGTAATTATCAAAAAGAGGCACCAAACAGTTATAAGAAAACTTTCTTCCATTTCTGCCCGAAATGCTGCGCGTACAAGTGGCTTTACAAGATTGTAATTACCATATTATGTATCCTCACAATCCCAATGTACCTTCTTGTATATGCATAAATAAATAAATAAATAAATAACACTAAATTAGTTCTAACAACATTTACAAAATGCCACAATATAAGTGCCACATTCAATCACCCATCACTGGTGCAGCATCCCCTGTGTTATCAAGGTGACGGAATGAAACTGCAGATTCATCTCCCCATAATTTTCTTACTACTTAATGCACAATAGCCTCAGTGTCTTTTGTACAGTAATACCTTAACCCTTCTTTCATTATATATATATACTGTATACTGTATCACCTTTTTCAGAGGGCTGATACCTCCCCTACCCTAGGAAAGTGGGAAACAGAGTAATGATAAATGAACTCACCATTTACATTATACAATTACATATTTCAATATTAGGGTAATAAATCATTATCCAATCCTTATTTTTACCACAAAAGGCATTTTTTTTTTTTTAATATTTTAACACAAAAATGATGAACTTACTTGTAAATGATAGCGATTGTCATTAGAGTGTGTTGGAAACTTTGGGAAGCAGGCAATAAGCAGCGCTGCAATAGCCATGTTAGACGTGCCAAGAGAGAAGCGACCCCCACCCAAAAACAAGAAGCCTAATGCCATGTGGATTGTCAGATGGGATCCATACCTGAAACAAATTAATGAGACAAATATTACATAAAAACAATGCATTTTGAATAGAAAAAATATTATAAATTATAAAAAGTATTTTCTACCTATAATTTACTATGCAGTTTAAAGACGATGCTTTAATTACTCGAACATTTGATCCAGGCCATAAGTGTTTCTGGTAGCAAATTATTTCTGAATCATGGAGGTTATATAAGAAAGTACAGTACTGTGTTGCCAATATTGATCAGGAGTACAGAGGAGCATTAAAGTTTTACTGTATAACTCATCAATGCCTCAACATTATATCTTACACAGAATATCTTCTACATTCAATCTTGCAAAAGTCTCTCACTATAAAACCAAATCATGTTCACATTTGCATCTCCTTCATAGACTTCTTTACCCCTCTCATTGTTGCACTTTCTAGCCTCTTTACGAAACAGCTTCCTGCTTTCGGGAAAAATTTGTATTTTATTTTTTGCAAACTCCTTATTTACTGCTCCTGCTCAATTAGTCTTTTACTCTCATAATACTCCCTTTTTTAAATACTTTTTAATAACATTATGATTACTCTCATACTTTTTTTGTTCCTACAACCACATGCATCATACACTTTTTATGCCATCAGCTACTCTTGTTGCTTCCTTGTCCCACCAAACACTTCCTCTCATTCTTCTAATAATCTGAGCAAAATGTCACACAACTGCGTAGCATACCTAACCTCATAACATTTCCATTCCCTGTAAAACAGTCAATCCTTACATACCCAACTGTGGAATTTGAAGGCCCAACTCTAGATCGAAGGTATCGGATGATACGCAGTACATCAAGGTCGCCTGTTCCAGCCATTACCATGGAGAGACTTAGCAGAATTACATTAAGACAAGTTTCAATGGTTGATTTTCCAGCTAACTCAGCAACGCTCCTGAAATTAAAAATAAACTGTATGTTCTTCGATGTTAAAGAACTAATGCCATGCTGTATATATCATAATGAATAGTGATTAACTTCTTATTGCATATTAACATAAATGGCAAGAATTTCTTGTTAATCCAGGAAAAAAATAATTTTGGAAAATACTTATTTGTTTAATATTTTCACTCATTGAAATTTGCACTTCACATCCACAATATGTACAGAGCTTCCTTTCAACCCAGACAGCAATCAACCAATATGCCTCACACTGCTTTACTATGGGCTATATAAACAATTGGAAAATTTAATGGGACATGCAACGAAATTCTATTAAGATACCTAGAGAATTTACAGGATTACACTGGATACTTTGGAAAGGATCTTTTAAAGAAACATGAGTCAGTTGAATCTATCATCAGAAGGACAGGGGAAATGCAAACTTTTAAGTTGTCTTAATTATGCAAGTGAGGGTATAATGGAGATAGGGATTTTGAAATGGAAGACAAGGTTATAAAATGAGGTTTGACGCTGAAATGTTAGAAAACTCTAAAAGGACAAAATCATGCTAAATTACTCAAATGACGAGAGGAAGATGTGACTTTAACGAGATGACAGGGTTTGCTGAATGATACAGTTCAGTTAACTTTGTTCTTTGTAAGTGAATATGAATATGCAATATACTGTTAACACTTACATCAGCATTTCTAAATCTTTTTATCTTTCAAATAATTCCAGGTCGTATATTAGATAAACACATTTTCAACTGAAAGAAGATAATTTCTGTCTTTGTTCTTGATACTGGTTAAATAAGACAAATTAAATATGCAAAAAAAAAAAAATACATTCACATATAATTAGAATTAGCTTATTTATCATTATCTTTTTGTAGAACCCTTAGTAACTTTGGGGGTCCATAGACCCCAGGTTAAGAACTCCTGACTTTGATTAAATATACTTTAAAACTAATCTAACTCCATATGAATAAACAAGAAATAGGATAATATATATACATTTTTCTGTTTACCATACCTCTTGGTGAAATTGGTGAACATCCTTGTGTATTTCCATAAAATCTGGAAGGCCTCACTGTTGCTAGACCCAGCAAACTTTAATCCTATGACCATACATGCACCAGCTAATATGTTGTAGTATGCCTAAAAGAAATATGAAATTATTTCTATAATAAATCAGCAGCATGTAATGTACTAAAACTAAGAATCTTTACTGAAAGACAAGAGCTATGAGGAGAGGTAAGAGGTGTTAAATATGCCAAAGATAGAAAAAAATGGGCAATATAATCACTAATCCTTCTTTATCAAATCTGATAAAGAAGAATTCTTGAAACCTTGACTCTTAAGAACAAGGGGTCACAGATATAAACTAACTATACAAAGTTGCTAAAAGAAATCATTCATTTGATACATCATGCTATTGTGATTTCTGTGTGTAATTTGGTCATTTGCTAAAAGAACATTAGAAAGTTAACTTTTGCAGATTGGTAGAATTTAGAATATGTGGTAGAATTTTTTAAGCATATCTTAAGGTTATCTTGAGATGATTTCAGGGCTTTAGTGTCCCCGTGGCCCGGTCCTCAACCAGGCCTCCACCCCCAGGAAGCAGCCTGTGACAGCTGACTAACACCCAGGTACCTATTTTACTGCTAGGTAACAGGGGCATAGGGTGAAAGAAACTCTGCCCATTGTTTTTTGCCGGCGCCCGGGATCGAACCCGGGACCGCAGGATCACAAGTCCAGTGTGTGCTGTCCGCTCGGCCGACCGGCTCCACCCAGTCGGCCGAGCGGACCGAGCACAGCAGCTGCAGGATTTGAGTGCAAATGTAAATAAAGTATCCAAGAGCGAGGAACAGAGACCCAGCTGGATTATGGCAAGATTGTGAACAGAAGGACAAACCCCCCCCCCCCTGAAGAAAGCTACCAATGCTGGGGTTGAGGTGGGAAACTCTTCTGCTGTGCTTCCAGAGGGGTGCAGCAGTGAACAGGTAGCAGATAAAATAACGAAAACAGCAGTACAGTACATCTAAGAATTGACAAGCTAAGAACATTGTATCATGATAATTACCAACTCCCAGGTTTGGCATATGGATAATAAATGGTGTGCCAAGGATAGAAAAAGGAGGCTATGGGTGTGTGCCTTCTGGAAGCAGGTATGAAGGATATTGTTATTAACATGGAAAATAGTAATGACAATAAAAGTGAGGGAAGGGAGGGAATTATCATCATGGGAAATTGCCAAGCCATTATGACTATACAGCACTTGGAAGGGGTCAGGACAAGGATTTGGGATAGAATGGAGGGAAGTATAAAACATAGTATTTATTAATGCTGCTGGTAATAGTACAGGGACATGTAGATATGAGGCATTGTTAGTCAGATTTGTAAGAATAATTCAGATAATTATAACCAAGGGGGGGAATCTAGATCATGGGCAACAGTTTGCACAGTAGAGGAGCTGGCAATGAATGGTTGTTAAGAACAATTGGTATTAACTTCTGACTTGACAAATACAGTACACCTGTACATATTGTGCTGTACTGCCTCTATCCTGTCCCTACTTGGAGACGACTGAAATGTCTTTCCTCTAATGGGGCTCTATTCTAGTGTGGGTATGGTTTATTCAATCATCAGGAACTAATCACATGGCAATTTTGAAGTGCTAGAGATAGGATACATTTACCTAGGGTAGCTGGTTCATAATAGAATAAATAATAGTTCAAAAGATACATAAAAAATCATACTACCATAGTGTTCATCTTTATATTTATATTTTTATACTGTCATGGGCTGGATAATATATGTGCTGAAATAAATCTCCACCTTTTCAACATTGTTCAATATGCCACAATTACTTTATTTACTAGATAACAATACTCACAGTCTAACATGTATGATCTCTGACAAATGAATAATAAAGAAAAAACAAGGGCAGAAGAAACAGAAATGATATACACAAATATCCACACCCTCCTGATTGTACAAGAAATACCATTTCAAAGCAAACCTGATGCATAGATTCGTAATCTATTCCTGGCGTAGACTGATTTCCACCTCGGTGAACATGAGTAAGGACCGTCAAAGGTACATGACTCTCAATCCACTGAGATGTTGGCATCACAGAGTCCCACATGATAAGCCCAAGAGCAACTGTGCGAAGGAGCAGGAAATCAGGCCGGACCTGAAATTTTTTCTTTTAGGTATTCAAATAATTTTTCTGAGGTAAGAGGAAAGTTTCTAGTTCTCTTCCTCAATCAATTTGTCCTTCACTAATTACTAAACAATATGACATTATACATGAGGTAGACTTCACCATGCTCATCACTAACTTTGTTGAGGATTGCAGGGTGCCTGGTCTTTTAACTCTATAAGCAATATGGTCTTGTTACAAACAGCAAATGGCATGCCATAATTTTCTTGCTTTGCACTGCATTCATTTAAATAGCTGATTTAGGAAATTATTTCATCTTACCCCACTTACTCGCCCTTGTGGACATATCGTAAGATACCCACATGCTCTTTACCCTCTTATTGTTCAGTACAAACAGGTGGCAAATTACATACAGGCAATTAACTTTTGGTCACTATCAAATCAGCTTTTTCAATTTATATAAAAATATTTCAAGTTCTCATTAAAGCCTTTATTTAACATATTTACAGCAGCTCTATTCATTACAAAAGTAAAAGGTGGAAACCACTTACCTGGTCTAATAAATAAGGTGTACTTGGGGCAACCATCCACTCTCCAATAGCCTTGTTATTGCTTTGGAAATATATCATCCCCAGAGCTAGAGTGGCTCCTGGAGCAGTTACATCAATATTTACACATTCACCCTCCTGTTAACAAAGCAAAATAAAATACACTATGAAATTTCAATAGAGCAGAAATTTTAACCACCAAACATTGTTACATTAAATGCACTTTTAAAAAAGGCAGTCATATTTGTTCATTAGTTACCTTGTCACTGTGATAGACCAAACTCAAGCCAGTGAAACTGGACCAAGCCACAAAATAGCAAAGAAACAGGATTTAGAAAACAAACCAGACCAAGGAAAACCCGCAGCAGAGCAACAAAGCAGAGCGCACTTGATGCCTAAAGAGATGACAAGGCGTCCAAAACCAACACTAGAAAAAGAGACAAAGAAAACTCGGCATCAGTGGACACAAAGACGAACTGGAGAGAAGAATAAACTCCCAATGGATACGTCTAAAAAGCGACCGCCAGGAAGCATGTCCAACCCCCGACAGAAGCCTTGGCTATCACCCTCATGGGCCAAGCCTGAACAAAATCATGCCACCAACCAGAAAACAAAGCCAGGGGTCCAACCCATCAGGTCAAGCCAGCACAAACCAGGAGCAAGCAAAGTGGCTCACAAATCCTAACAGTAGAAGGAATAAGAGCCCAATAGTGTAAATTTGCTTAAGATGCAGCCTACAAAAAGAGGAAGACACCAGGGAAACACCAAGAAATGAGTCCCTGAACTCGAGAACCAAATCAGAAGACTGAGAAAAATGAGGCAAGGCCAAAAACATCAGTCAAAATACAACCCAATCCAACAGTTGGCAACACACAAATAAGAGACAGGCAAGATGTGTCAAAAAGCTTGGAATGCAAGCAGGCCCAAGTCTGCAAGAAAAATCATATAAGCCACACAGGCAAGCCAGATCAGGGAGACACCACAGAGGATACTACAGGAAAGAGGTGGTTGGGTTGACTGTGTCTATCTGGACCTAAAAAAGGCTTTTGATAGAGTTCCACACAAGAGGCTGTTCTAAAAACTGAAACATGCTGTAGGGGTGACAGGAAGACTTCTGATATGGATGAAAATTTTCTAACTGACATATAGATGAGGGCAGTAATCAGAGACAATGTATAAGACTGGAGGAGTTTCACTAGCGGAGTACCACAGGGTTCAATTCTAGCACCAGTACAGTATATATACTGTGAATAATTCCATATGATACACACATATATATATATACACATGATACAGTATATATACTGTGTACATATACTGTGTATATATACTGTGTATATATACACAGTATATATTTTTAATATTACGTTAGTACTCACCTTTATTTGGTAACTTGGTGATTTGTATTTATCTTTGTGGATGCCAAATAGTGGTTTTTTGTGGCCCCCTTCAATGTAGTGATAAAGTTCTCCAGCAATGTTCAGATCTGTAAAGCCAGCAGCTTCCCCACCCCTCCCAAATAATACCAAGCCAAGAGCAAGTCCAGCCGCCAAAGAATATGACTCTCGATCATTTGAATTTTCCATTTCTGGGCCTGGTGGGCGACCAATTTCTTGAAGTAGGACTTCTGCCATATGTCGATGAGCTGTGTCCTGATAGACTAATCCCACTCCAATGATGGCTGCAACCTGTGGAAAATATGCAAAATGCCATCCAAGAACTAGGTCAACACTGTAAACAATTAAGGCAGCTTATGTAGAGTACGAAAAATATAATAGTCAATTCCTATGTAGAGCCAATGGCACAAAACCCCTACAAAATTTTAAACATAGAACAAGTATATGTTTAGATATTGTGATACTAATATACAGTGTAATTAATTTAGTAAAGGAAAAATTATCATATTATATGACGTACCTGAACAGTATGAGGAACATCCAGCTCGGTTGATGTTGGTGGCAAGAGACATTCTAAATGAACACTGAGTAGTTTTGTAGTTTGGATGTCCATTGTTCCCCTCTTGGCTACAGATATGCCAAGTAGTAGTCCAACGCATATCATTTCATGACCTCGTGCTAGATAATCATGCATATTGACAGTTGCAAGGTTTCGAAGGTGACCATTAAGTCCAAGGGCCATGAGAAATCCTGCGTGATTAGTTGGACTGTCCAATGTTCCCTTTGGTTTATTGTATACAATCCATGTAGAATCTATTTCCCCACAATTGGGAGCAATTTTGAGACCTGCTGCAACACCATTGTGAAAGTGTGGCCACATGTCCATATTTGGGGGCACTTCTATGTTAGAAAGATCAATAGTTGTTCCTCTTGGTGGAGCTTTGCCCGACAGGTTGAGCTTGGGTATCGGGAGAGTTTCTGTAATTATTGGAGCAGAAGTAAACAGAGTGAACATACCTCGACCAACAGGAAGCGACATAGTCCTAATACAGAGAGCATACAAATGTCTTTCTTGTTCTTCTAGAAAATCGTGATCCGATACCTCTGGCCGCTGAACAATGTTAATTGTAACAGCACGCGAGGAGCACAGCATACGTCTCACTTCAGCTATGCGCTGATCTTCACGCCATCTTAGAGCCAGCATGTCTGTGTCCAAGGTTTCCATGCCATCATCATCTTCCTTTGTGGAGGATGGTGATGGTTTCTTTTCCTCTTGCATTCTAACCTTTATATTAAAAGGATCCTTTGATCTTTTTCCACCATCACCTTCATTTTTAGCATCACCTTCCCTGTGAGCAACAAGATCAGGCCTATGGATGAGGTGGTACGCTGAGGCTGGCCAATTCTCAGGAGGACATGTGCGACACATGTGCTGGGCATTCATTAGGACCAATGATACGCCAGGAGAAAGGAGCTGAATATCTCTGACAGTTAATCCAAGTTGATCTGTTAAGAGCACTATTTTTTCATGAATTTTGGGGTTATTTTCACAATAATTTTGCAAATTCAGTGATACATCAGCTGAAGCAAATGGTTTTGGATTACTTGAGTTTATTTGTTTCAGAAAATGTTCCATTGGGATATTATGTAACCCACAATCTGCAGCTGCAACTGAGTAGAGCAAAATCAGGTTTTTGGTTGTAGTGCACACATGAGGAATGTAGGGAAAAGGCTGAGGCTCAATGCCTCCCATTATAGTGTACAAGTGAGCTAATACATGAGGGGGCTTCTCAGTAAAGTACCCTACATATGTAAATTTTTTAGACTCCTCTAGTGGCACCTGTGAGGGTGGACCTTGTAATGGACACACAGTGGGAAAATCCCTCCAATAATGGTGTAGGTACTGAGTAAGCCGTAAATCTGAAGCTAGTTGATCTAGACAAGTAACTAGAAGACTGCAAAATTCCCAATTCAAGGTGTTTAATTTAAAATCTTCATAAACCAAGTGAAGAGCAAAAAGAATTGATGGGAGATGAGAAAACAAAGGTGATTTTGTGTGCACTGTACCATTGCTGACTTCCTTTGGTTTTTGCATCACACCAACTTTCTGTAATCCTAGCATTTCACTCAGACTATTTCCAGCAGCCATATGTAATGGTGAAGACAACATGTACTCCCAATCATTATCTGAACCACTCTCAGCTGCACGAAACTTTTTTGTAGCCACAAGAGTACATGAATCCGAGGCCTCTACTGGACATGTTAAAGCTAGTTTATCTGTGTCATAGCCTATCATTGATAACAGCATCATTGAAAACATGGTCCATTCCCCATGAGGAGAAAAATCACCAGATCCTGGGGCATTCCGAGTTGCATACCACTTGTTGACCAATTGGAGAGCAGCCTCTCGTGGAAGGACATATTTGAGTGCAGCTAAGGAATGCTTTACAACTGGAGATGATGCAATTTCTGGGAGAGTTATTCTGTAATAATTTCCATTAGCATGTTCCAATGTAACTCTCGTATCAGATGGATCTCTCAGAGATACAATGGCAGAGGAAATAGGCAAATTTGGGTCTTCAGTGAAAGATCCATCCATATGTGATTTCTCAGTTATAACTGGAGAAAGACCTACATCAAATTTGGCATCTACAGCAGAAGTTGGTCTACTTGAAGTTAGGAGACTTGATCGACGTAGTGGTGTTGTAGATGGGCTATGTAGCCTTGATGATATGTTCAATGACGAAAAATCTTTAAAAAGCGAGGAATTGAATGTGGGTAATCCACAGAGATTTATTCGACTGACATGAACAGCTCCTGTATATAAGGATAAACTGCTACTTCCATCAACTACAATCATCATCCGGAGCGATTTAACTGGCAACGCATCTTTAGCAGGTATAGAGGATATAGAGCCAAAGATAAGACTTGATCTGTCATTGGAATAATCATATTTAATGCAACGAAGCATCCCTGCCTGGGACAGCATTAAACAAAGATATTTTTGCCCAACACTATCTTCTGTTAGGAAAGCCTTAGTGGCCCGAGCAAGTGAATGATCCGTCCACAGGTGATCCAAACAAACATCTGGAACCAAAGGCTCGGGCTCAATAAATGTTTCATTAAGAGAAGAAAACTGTGACCGAGGTGTACGGGGCCCTGGAGATCGAGATGGGGAAGGACTCATTGCCAGTCTAAGATGCTGCCCACCAAACACTGAAGGTGACTGTGTTCGGCTGAAAAGAACAAAATATATACAGAATATAAAAAAAAATCTACACTACAGTATTTTATAAAAGATCTTCCTTTTAATACTATGGTAACTTGAGTACAGCATATTAATAAATCTAATTACTTAATATTTTAAATACAACAAATATTTCTCTATTTTTAAATGTTTTTGAATGTAACTCTTCATATTTGACATCTGATTACTTTAATATGCACACAAACAAAAACACCATTCTGTAATACACTTTTAAATAAATTTTCTAATCAGATGTAGTTAAGTTTCCTGAGAGAGAGCAATACTACATGACAAAGAAGAAATTTTATCTTATACTGATTTAATATAATAAATGGTCTGATTTTTATCTTATATTGATTTAATATTAAATTAATATTAAATTTTAAATTATTCAATATTTTTTTCATAATCTACAGACTTTTTTTCTATAATTTCTGTCAGGACACTCGGAAACCTCTTGCCAAAATGTTTTTAAGAGGTAAATTTTGCCTAACATTAAAATGGTCAGCACCTTCCCATCTAGTTAGCATAATACTAATTAGCTGAATTCTAAACTAGTCTTAAGCAGCTTTCTTTGAACTTTACCTATCAATCTACCTTATTCTATTTACCCATTCCTATTTCACAACTACCTGGTAAGTAAACTCCAAGCCAGCAGAGATCGGGGATTGGCATGAAGTAAAAATGGTTACAGGTTTACAATGAGTCAAAAATCACAAAGTACCCAGTAAGTTTCTTCATGTAAATGGACACATGTGAGGAGTTGGGTTAGGTTGCACTTTACTGAAATTTAAAGTACTGTACAGTACTACATATATATTTCTATATGTGCAATTTCTATAAGGAAAAAATTCACAACCATTGAAAAACCAAGTACTTTCAAAGACCTCATTAGTTTTTCAATATTTTTATCATACAAACTGCACTCTATAAAGATTTGCTGTTCAAGTCAAATTCCCTCCTGACCTTACCAAATAATAACTCATCAAAATATGCTCTACAGAGACATATTCACCATTCTTTACAAGGTAGGAGCGGTGCTCCTTCCATTAGGAATCCATGCATGAGAGCAAATAAAGAAAAAATTCCTTAGCATTGTAAGTATTTCATAACTTCAGTCAGTGCATATGGATGAGGGGTCAATCATAATGGACTGGTTTCTATCTCTAATTGGTGGACTGGCATTATCTTTTGTAACTTGCATCATTTTCTTAAGGTACTTCAGGGTTCATATATGGAACTGTTTAGTACACACTGAGGAAAGGTGGCAGTTTTAGCTTCCTTGTCTGCAGCTTCAGTGCCTGGGGGCTACCACATACTTGGGAAAAAAATGGATTCTTATATTTAGTAAATAGTTATAATGACCATTCCTGACCTACTGAATTAAGGTAATGGAGGAGGGGTGAACTCATCATTGGCAGTCATTATACTTTATGAATTTATATGCAATATATTTTACTACAAAAGTGCAATCGATGTTTGACAGGACTTCACTTTAAGTGCCAGTTACAGTGTCATTACTTTGGCAGTAAAAACGGTTGATGAGTTTGGCTGATTTGTATAGTATAAGCCTTATATACAACAGCAAGACCTGCAACACTCAGGCAAACATGCAAATATTTCAGGAGCATAATTCCTTGCACAGTCACTGTGGTAAAACATGTACACTACATAAATACAGTTACAAATTAAGTGACCATGTAAAGAATTATGCTCCTGAAATATTTGCATTAAAATATTGGTCATTTCATGACAAATGGACCAACAGTGTTACAGGACACGTTATTTCCTGTGCCTAGGGAAAAAATATTAAGTTACCAAATCATATAATGTTCGAGGTTGTCCATCAAAACAGGTACAGTACTTAAAGTGTTGTTGTCATCTGTTTGTGACGGTAACAACGTGGAAGTTACAACAACGTAACTCCAGGTGGAAGCACTATAAACTGGAAAACATGTCTTCTTCAAACCCACACACTAATACCCAATGCCTATTTAAAACAAAATTTCTTTACATAATTATGGTACCTGTATATGTTACTTACATAGTATATAAAATTTGCCATATTGTAGTTGATTTACAAACTTTGACACATTTTGGATGTAAATATTTTATTCTTTAGCTGGAGGCTCATTTATCATTTTGAATCCATTAATGAATAATGGTTAATATGAAATGAGACTTTTTCCCTATTAAATATGTAAAAACAAAAATAAGGAAATGTAAACCAACAGAAAACACAGATTAATGTAGGGAAGAAAAACCTTCCAATTTCCAAGTCCTCTAATCCTCCCACACCTGTTCCTTTTTTTAAATTACTGTATTTTAATCTTCCCTTCAAAGATATTGATCAACTACAGTACTTGCATGTTAGCGTTCCATCCCTGGCCGTCCAAATGGTTGGGCACCATTCCTTTCGTTTCCTTTGTCTTATTCCAAATCATTCCAAGTGCTATATACTGTAGTCGTAATGGCATAGTACTTTCTCATGATAATTACCTTACCTTACCTACATACGAACTCCTTAATTGAATGTAAAATAATATTCTATGCCCTAGGAACATGTATGACCTGATATCAGTTTGCTGGAATCATTTCATTTATGTCAATAGACAGCATCTTGTTTATAACATTTATCTTTTCTCTACATTTATATAATATGAGTTTATTACAAAAATTATTAATATTATACATAGGTGTAAGGCATGCACACAATACTTACTCCTTCACACGGGAAATATATCTTTCGAGACTCACCTAAGTGTTGCCATGTGGCTCCTGGGTGTCTGAGATGGCTGAGTCTTTGGAGTGTTAAGTATAGTGGGAAACATGCTAGATCTTGTACGAGAGCTAGTAGGAGTCGGTGAATGGGAAGGTACTTGAGCAGGAGGAGAAGTTACATATGCATGGCTTTGGGAAAGTGAATGACTATGTGAATACGAGTGCAACTGTACAAATGACCCAGGATTGGACAGCATAGAGGACACTGGAGAATTACTTTGAACACTGCTCTGAAGTACAAAGTTGTTTTCCTGAAATATAAAAACACTTTAAATAGAATGAATCCTGTATGTATCATGGTCATCTGGTATACCATAGAGAAAAAGTAGAGAACCTGCAGCCATTTGTGATAATCAGTGTGGCCTTTGAAAGCTATTTATGTTAATAATACTTGATCTGTAAGTTTGTTTTTGACATTTGAATGTATTCAACACATGATACAATGTGTAGATTTATGAAAGCTTTGCTAAGAAAAATATGATTTTTGTATGACAAAAGGTTCCCCACCCACCCCTACCATAGAGGTTTCTCCTCTTATTCTATTCTCATCAGTATGAGAGGCAAAACTTTTATCATTGTTTTGATATAATACAGTACAGTATTAAGTAATATTTTATAAATATATTACAGTACAGTATTTATCTTTCTTACCCAAGAAATATTTCAAAGCCATCAAAATATATGATCTGAACAGTGTCTTGCTCCGAGACACAAAATTATGCCTCTCTAGCTCCCAGTAGGCTCGGGTGGGTTTTGGAGGCCTGGTGCAACTCCCTAAGGCTCGGCCACCTCATTCATATAGCTTGGGCAGCAACTCAAGTGTATATTTACCTCTAATTTTGCCCTTCGTATTTTCCATATGGTATGACTGCTGGTACTGGAGTTATAAAGAATGCAGATGGAAGGCTCTTGTGACATGAACACAGCTTGCTGAGATAAATCACTCAAGTAGGCAGGTCGAGCACAGCCGCTGTAACCTGTTAACAATTCAAAAATGACATTGAACATGTTGAGGACAAATTATATGCTATATCTGATGATGCCACAAGTGTGACTGACAGCAATGAGGGATGTATATCACTGCCATGCATTGTGGGAAAGCAAACACCAAAAATATACCTACTAGAAGCCCATAGGATTACTTCAATATTTATCCCTCTTTTAAACCACATTCCAATGAGGTTATCCTCATTGGAATGTGGAATCCTCATCATGGCTAATACAGGATTTTCTCGTGGATATTGTCCTTCTACAAAAAGAACTGCCTAAGTATATACTAAGGTTATCTGCTTAAAACGTAGGGAATTTCAGACAGGATACCGAGTAACATTATGATTGGCTTTGAAAGCCTCAGACATTCTCTGTCGAGTTATTCTTATGGGAAAGGTTAGTGAAGATGTATTCCTGAGAATAATGGATATTTGTTCCCAAACCTTAAAGTGTTGAGTCTTGTGACTGAACCAGAAACAGCAAAATCAGAAGAATACTTTTTTTCTCAATTCTAAAACCTCTGATTATTAAAGAAATTCATGCAGAGAGGAAAGATTGACTGAACTGGCCATTATGCCAGCTTATAGGAGACTTAAAATTGACCCTCACGAAGATACAATACTGGTATTTCAGATTTTATATAACATTGCCCAAAAAGGGTTAATTTTCGTTAATTATTTCTCTGACAGTTATAGAAAACGCACATTAAAATAACTTATGTTTGATGAATCATGAATAACCTTTCAAATTTGTTATGAGAAACTAATTTACTGTTTTTAAATACAGTATACTGTAACTGATAATTTCCTGCTAAATATTATTAACCATTTATGGCAGTAAAATACACATAGTTAAATGATTCTACTGTATTAGTTTTTACAGTTTAACGAGTAAAGGTTTAGAACTGCCGTTTGGTCTTTTGATTTCCCTTGTGTGTTACTGTATCTACACATGGACTTGGTAAGAATAATAGATATTTCAATTAAGTTTAAGGGTATAATTTAAATAACACTATGTAAATAAAAAGTCAAATTATGAAGACATAATTGGATGCTTAATTCTGTTGTATACAAAAATGAGACACAGTTAAGTTTAACCTGTTAGCTGTTGGGTGTGTAATAGTGTGCAACATTACACTTTGCCAAATGGTGAACAGCTTACAGAAGTGAAGAAATGAAGTGTTACCTAGGCTGTAAACATATGGCTCTGGGGCTCCACTGACCTACTAAAATCAATCCCATTTTCTTAGGTTAAAATATACCCATAATGGATAACACTCAAAACATGTAATAAATGTTAAAACGTGTCTATACAATATGTAAATCAGCAACACAGTATTACTTTTGCATAAAGTGTATATTAAAAATAAACTATTAAATGACTTCTAAAATTAGTGTATAACTTTGAATTAAACATACTGTACAATACATAATATGCATAAATGCACACACACAGATATAAAGAGAACACAGAGGCAGGAGAGTTAGGTAAATGGCCTAAATAATGTACAAAAAACTACTAAGGTGAAAATGTTTGCCCAATGTAAGGGAGAGGATGACTTAAGACTCACACATGTGCCCTAGGTCAACAAGTGACCTCACCCACAATGTAACGCCTGGTATCAATTTACTGTGTGTGATATCAGGTGTAAGGAAACATGCCTGAAAGTCATGCCCTGTCTGCAAACTGAACCAAGACCATTCACCTGCTACAAGCTGAATGGGTTGAACATGTGCACATGTGCATACTTTGAGAAGCTTGTCAGTATGCACCAATGGAGAGGTGTTTGAGATTTTACACAAAACTGCAAATATGGCAGGCATAATTTTTCTTCTCCATTAAGCAAACCAAGTTCAAGCAAACAAACAGATATCCAAACTAACCACTTCTATAGAGAAGAGGATTTATTTCATCTAGTGGATGCAGTAAACTGTAAAATGTTGGCAGCCTCTCCGCCTCAGGTTTAGGGGATGCCATTTCAGATGAATGAACCTGGCGCTCAAGAAGAATGCCATATTTTACTGGCCATACCTTCCGTACCTGAAATACAATTATTATCTCATCAATGTCTAGCCAAAGAATCTTCATTTAAATTAAAAAACAACAATACAGCTTAAGTTTTGAAAAGATGAAGGGTAAAGGGAATGGGAGGGTTGCATGCAGTACTGACCTAACAGGAATGCCTAAATACTACGTAACAAAATGACCCAAAGACATTTGGATCATTTTGTTATGTGGGACAGTACTGTACCTACTGAATACATGGAATAATACTATACCTACTGAAAAATTAAATTTGACTCTTCACTAATAAATCTCCTAAACTATTATTGTACTTTTCTTGAAACATGAAAATCCCTAATTTTTAAATGAGTTTGGGTGGATATAAATAGGAGCTGCCTCATATGACACAAATAGACCCTCTGCAGTTCATTCTTATGTTCTAAACAAAAAGTAAAGAAGAATACTGTATACATATAATTAGTTACTTTTTGTAATTAATCCATTTTGTATAATAATGATAAAAATAAAATAAAGTTGAAGCAGAAGGAGAAAACAGTGAACAAGTGCACACATAGCAGCTTACAAGGCTCCCTCATGTGCCTTTTATTCTTTTCTCTAAAGCTAAGGGTCTTTGGTAATTCAACAAGAGGGGGGGATACCCCCAATACAGTACTGTATTTAATAAAACTAAATATACAATATTTTGATGATAGACTATCATGAGAAATACCTCAAGTCCCTATTCCTGGCATAAGCTACAGTATCTCTCAAAACAAACAATATAACTCCTAGAGCCCTGCCTCATTACGATTGCAATGAGGCAGGGCTCTAGCTCACACAGAATATTACACTAAGTGTCTCAAAGAAGCATTTCTTAGAAGAAAAGTAATAAGTTTCATAAACTCACTGGAAAAGGTAAAGCAACAAAATAGTCATCACCATCTTCTGTAAATATATTGAGACTGTCACTCTCCACCACACAGATGCTAGGTAGTGCATCTCCTGGAAAAAAAACAAAATAGATATTGCTTCTTTGGAATTGCCTTGACAGTTAATAAAGATCTAAAAATAACAAATAAAAAATTAAGTTTGATTTTTAATTCATGCTATCCCATACAGAATTTCAGATACAAATATCGTTATACATTGCTCATTAATAAAATATATTCAATATCAAATCATTAATATTTAATTGCATGAAAGTAAACTAGATAGGTATTCCCCATTTCTTTCACTGTACAAGCAGCAACCAAGCATCTGTGTGAAGGTATGTCACACAGTGATTTCACACTGGCAATGAGAATGTTAGGAGAAGAATCCTTTCAAACTGAAAGGATTCTTTCAATTGAATCAAATCTGACTCGGGAAAAACACCACCAAAACAAAGCTGACTACACTCAGATAAAAGTTGTGTGCAATAAGGATCTAAAGTCTGCCAATAAGTCCCGTCATTATCTGACGAGTGATGGTGCATTTCCTAAGGGAAAAGTATATTTACCAGCAAGGTAAGAATACGCATGCATAATGCACAACAATACACATGCACAACAAAAGCTTATTGTAAATAGTCAAAATAGAATCCGACCACCTCTGAGATATTTAGGGTAGTTTCTCACTCTAATATCCTAGAGTGAGAAACTAAGCAACAAAGCAGTAACAGTATATGAAGTAAAGATGCAGTTTATAGATCAAGATGTGATAAAAGTTGTAGGACCTAACAAAGACTTTCTGTGGATGCTAGAGAAGGCCGCTGATGATCTGAACAAACCACTTTCAATCATCAACAATTCTTCACTGGAGAAGAGAGAACTGCCAGACTGCTGACATACCTATAACTAAGAAGGGGATAGATGAGGAAGGGGCACTAAACTCCAAATCTTTATCAATCTTATATATCATGTAAGGGCCTTGTGGAACATTTTAAACAGACAAATTTTTGTCAAAAAGCTTCAATATGGGTTCATAGAATGGAAGTTTTGTATGACAAACCTGTTACTTCTAGGAAAGATGTCAATAATCATGAAGGACAGAAGGATGAGATGATGGCATATTCCTAGACTGCCAAATAGCTGTTGATAATGTTCCACACACAGGAAGCAAAGAATGGCAGTGAAATTGTAGATATCAGAAAGGAAAGGAAAGGAGTAACAAGTTGAGTATATCAAGTGTCAGAACTAGAACTTGCACAGCTTTTAACAATATATGATCCACAAAATGAAGTTCATAATGCATAATTACCATTACTAATAAAATACACATGCATGAGGGTGAAAATGACATAAACCTAACAAGGAGCATGCCCCCTCACAACACTTTCACCCGTTTTGACTCCAAGAGCTCAGACTGCAGCAATGTAAACTTATACAACTTATAACTCTATGTTTGATAAGCCCCCAAAACACAGGTTAAAGCCCTCCACCACAATGTTAAGGCAGAACAAGACAAATAAGGGTTGTCACACATTAGACACGTGCTGGTAAAGGAAAGAAAAACTTATCATGACATACTTAAAAATACCCACACAATCCAGCAGAAAGGGATCAAAAGTCCGTCAAAGATTGGAAGACCTCTATGGGAGTGAATCGTACATAAGCCATCCCTATTCTATAGTCCAAATTTTTATCATTAACATCAAACTACTACCCATAATCCAACTCAGGACACACAGAGGATAAAAACCAGTGAACCCATTAAACTTGGACCTCAAAAATGTTCCAGAAATGCCAAAAAAACTTGTCGGGAACCAGAATAATCTCTAGTCAGAGAATGTAATAGCTGGAACATTAAAAATAAGAGACCCTCAGCCAACCAAAGTCTCAGTCTAGCCAATAAACCAAATTTAATGTTAATAAGCTGAATTGCTCTGTTGAACCACTACACATGGTAACAAAACAATCACTTTCTAGGAATCAATTTTCACCTGCAAACTGACATGTGGGGATTAAGGATGTTTTGAAGTATTAGGCCTGGATGATCACTGCTAGGACTTCTCTATTTACCCCTAATTTACACAAGTGATTGTCTTCATACTCCACATTTTAAATATGGTACAGTATTTGTAATTCTGTATGATATTTACAGTGAACAAACACATATATAGCAATCATGATTGCCAAGAAAAAACACCATGCCCTCAAAACAGCAGCAATAACTAGATATTAGAAGTTGCTGATTTTTCTAGAATTAAAAAATACATTCTAACCTGTTGGTTCTTCTGGGACAGCTTCCCCAAGCAGGGGAGGTTGGTCAGGGTATGTGTAGAAAGTAGCAAATAAGATATGCTGAACTGTAGAATCACAGGTCATACACTTGATTACTTGACGTGAGCCTGCTTGTCCTCGTGACCATACCACTGTTGGACCACATACATACAATTCTTCTTCTGTCAATCCATCATTACTCTGGCGTAATTCCCACCAATCCTGTAACATCAATAACAGATTTACAATACTGTACTAGTTTTTAAATTTTAGACAAAATATTTATGAATCTAAATACACCATTTGGCCTGATGGGAAGCTCACTGGTTACTTTTGTCTGTTACTTTTTGTCAACATTCGTGGAAATGTTGAACATATATTAAAGTAATTACAGATATCACTAGTGACAAATAGGCATGTGGATGTCATGTGAGATAACTGGAAACTTTTAATTTTATTGCAACAGAAATTTTTAGAATGTGGGATTCTTTGGAGATAACTTTGGGGATAACATTAACTTTGCTGGATGGCTGCTGCAACTACAATTTAAGGTAGTAATCGACTTGAGAATGGTCCAGGACGGACCGAAACGGGTCGTCCCTTCACCTTCTAGTGTGTGGTCTGGTCAACTCAATTTAAGGTAGTACATTATTATGAATGAAATGCTTAGATTTTTTTTATATTTGTGGAAATTTATGGAGTTGGACGAATTGTTCATGTTGAAAGTAGAGCATGAGTACCAAGTGACTAATGATAAAAATGGAGAAATATGCTAAAGATGTGCCATGGTTATTCACTGCAGAATATAGCAAGCTACATGAATATGAATATAACAAGTCAAGATGAGTGTTAGAAAAGTACATATCAATGATGACATGGATGACAGTTCTGGAGGAGGATGAAAGTGGTGTATGCAGAAAACTTTTAAATCTTACTTGTTGTGTAAGTATATATTTGCACAGCAAGTATATAAACTATACAAAATATAATACAAATCAAATTACTGCTAATATAACAAATAATGTTGCTCAAGTCTGTATGTGAAATCAAGGCAATGAAAAAGTATTGGAACCTACCAATAAGTTTAGTATGTATTATAATTAACTGACAATAGGGAAATTAGACAAGCATATGCATAACTGGCACCCCAATTATTAATACAGTAAAAAAAAATTGCATTTAAAGGGTGCAGGAGCAAGAACTGTCTTTGATATTTTAAACCATTATCCTAGGTCCACTTGTTAACCATTATGGCACACTGAAAAATATTATATGAACCCATTTTTATACGGCCTTGTGTAGAACAATATGCAGTTTAAGATACGGCAAACATATATAGGTTAGTACAGTACGTACCTGAATTCACTAAATGTTTTGGAACAATTATGTTCACCAATACTCTACTTTATACAAGTACTTCTTGGTATAAATAAAGTACTGTACTTTGTAAAAAATAAACAAATAGGACATACATACCTTAGAGCCATTAATAGAGACTGTGTCTAGCTGTCTCAAAAGATCTAAGTGAGGTGGTGCCGGACTAGGTCTGGGTGGCGGCAAACCCACATCCCCTGGATGATAACCAAGATATTCCCGCCCAAATGGAATAAACTCTTGGGTATCCCCACATGATATCATGATGCTAGGCTCACCCACACCATCCAGATTTGCTTACTCTGAAATAACAAAGCAATATAATTTTTAGACAGAAAAATATACAGTATGTATACCTAAAACCTTAATTGGTTTGGCTAATTTAAAGTCCTACACAACAAAATTTTCACAAAGCCACTTTTTTAAAATCTCATTTGATGATTTGAGTACAGGAGGTACAGTTAGCATAGAAAGAATTTGGAGCCTTGTGAAAGGCTGTACAGTATAATATTTTCCATATATTGTACTGTAAAGTCATACTAAAACTGCCACACTTTAAGAAACAACCAAATTACATCCATTCCAGACTAATAGTTGAGACTACTACATGTAAAACAATAACTTATTAAACAAAAATTATTTATCAAGATGTTTTCAACAATATTCTTTGGGCAATCGTCTATTCTGCACATTTTTGGAATACGATACATGGGTTGACCCAACTGAGTTGGGTCAGATTCCAATGTCAGACATTTTCAAAGTACCAATGACAGCGTGCAGTACAGTGCAATAATCTGCTGGCTCTAAAAGTAACTTCTAAGGGCTACACTGCCTAATATCATTTGGAATTTCAATTTTATAATTATAACTATTTTATGTTTCAAGTCAATGCAATGAGATTTTCTAGAGATATTGCAAGGCTGGTGAAGAGGCCCAGTCCTTCGCCAGCCTGGGGCTAGTGAAGGGCCTGGGCACATCAACGACTGGGGCTTAATAGGCCAAGGACTAGGGGGGTCAAACTGACAAGAACTGTGACACGTTCACCAGGACTGGGATTCAAGGACCAGGGACACAGACTTTAAATATTTATTTACTTATATACACAAGAAGGTCATTGGGTTTATTTAAGTACATAGCATTGATTGTTTTTACATTCTTGTAAAGCCACCAACACGCATAGCGTTTTGGGAAAGGACATGGATCCATGGCAGATCATGGACTGGGGCCCCCAACAGGCCAAGGACTGGGAATCAAGGGTATAAGGATCGGGGCTCGAAAAAGATCATGGACTAAGGTTCAAAAGGTCATGGACCGCGGCCAAACATGACAAGGAGTGGGACTCGCCAGGACTGAGGCCACTGGACTACAACACAAGACTGCAGCAAGTTGCGTCCCACATGCTCCCCTATTGCCCACCCAAACATATTTTATGAACGTTGACTACTGTATTAACGACAGTCTTTGTGAATTCTAGATTTAATGACATGTTAGTTTTAAGCGGGAGGACCTGTGTGTTGTTATGCTTCTGTGGTGGTTCAAATGTTGTTGAAGATCAGCTGAGCGGGGGAGGGAGGTGCGGGAAGCGTCCCGCGCGGGGTTACGGACTTACTTACATTAATAATAATTTAATTCATTAATAATAATAATAATGAACAAAGGGCCTCATCAAGGCCCTTGTGGATTTGTTAATTTGATATATCACGTTATTGTGATTTCTGTGTGTAATAATAATAATAATATTTATTCACAAGGTACAATGGGTATGTGAGATTACATAAGATTGGTATTTTTACATTCTCGCAAAGCCACTAATACGCATAGCGTTCCAGACATTCACACAACTGTATGGTTGCTACAGTATTAGTACTGTAGTACTAATTAGTACTGTCCTGTAGTACTACATTAGTACTGTACTTATTTCGTACATGTTCGTTTCTTATATGGTAACTTATTACTACACCCACAGTATACTTTTTTTGTTATTAACAAGCTTAGGTATACACAGCAACGTGCTGCTATCCTAGTCTATATGGAATATTACACAGTGTAGATCAAAAACTTGCTATAAGTTCATCTAATATTCCCATCTAGCAAACTCTGGGTACAGCATAAGAATATCTTCCAATATTCCAGAGTATATAAAGTAATTACAGAGCTCAAAGTACCTCATACTATTAGGTCTGAAATCACTTATAACAGGGCAATCACGGATATAGTGTTTGAGAGTATGTCCCAGCTCTTGTTCACATAATATATAATTGCAATATTCACCATTGGGGGGATTCATTACCTGCAGCCACCTGCCATAGATATCGATATCCCAGCCTAATTCTGGCAATTACAATGTCACACTGTCTGGTGGCTGTTTTGTGGTCCTCGTACATATAATTCTCGGTTCTAAACATGTCATATTTCTTTATACTCGTGTTTTCTGGCCTGTGTGTTAGTAACTGCTCTTTTGTCTTCCCCAATTTTCCGAAATATTACGGCTTTTACGGCAGAGATTGGAATGCCCATATACATCTCAATTTCAGGCTTAACACATGCAGTTTTAGCTGCCTTGTCTGTGTCATTATGCTGGACAACACCTATGTGAGATGGTACATACAAATGAGACTGAAACTCTTGCTCTTTGCATTAACAATGTTGTTTATAATGGATGTTACAACATTCTAAATACAGTTACTATTTTGCATGTCGGGTTTTTAAGGGCCTGAAGAGCTGACTTTGAATCACAGAAAATTACTCCTCCACTGTTCTTCAGTGCGTTAGTGGCAAGTTGTAGTGCAGCTAATTCTGCATGTGTGGAGCTGAGGCAGTTATTAATTCTTACACTTATTGTCTGTGTACATATGTTGTCTTTGTATATTCTACAGGCTGCTGCAGTGCGACCTGTTGACATTTGAACAGACCCATTGGCGTAAGCATAGTGCTCGTGAGGCTGTAAGTTATTTATAAAGAAATCAATGGTTTCAAGTTATTTATTTATTTATATACAAGAAGGTACATTGGGTTTATGAGAGTATGTAGGATTGATGTTTTTACATTCTTGTAAAGCCACTAACACGTATAGCATTTCGGGCAACAGGTCTTTAATCTAACAGATAATTTTAAGTTGGAAATTTGTAGAAAAATTTGAAGAATGTTAACAGATACAAAGTAAGAAAATTTGAAGAAAATTAATAGGTACATTACTGTAAAATTCAAGAATTATCAACATGTACATTGTAGCATAATTTGAGGATTAATTATAGATACAGTACATTGTAGTAAAATTTGCATTCAACACAACAATCATGATACAGTACAATAGATACCTGGGAGGACCTGGCTTCCTGTCCTCATCGAGGCCACTAGTATTAGTGGTCCTCAAGTAAATTCATACGTGGAATCAGGAGAGAACATGAAATGCCAGGCTGAAGCTAGTAACAGAACATCTTTGTTTAGGTGATTCAAACACGTTATGGCGATATAGTTTATTAATAATAAATTTGATTATTATTAAATTTATAAACAATAAAATTTGAATGTTGAATTAACAATATAACTTGCAAAGTTATTTTATTAACTAACCTCCCCCTGCAAAGTTGGGTGAGACTAGTTCCAAACGTCTGGCCTCTAACCCTGGAAAAACAGACAAACTCTGAACAAATCCACGATATTGTGATTTGTGTGTGTGTGTGTGTGTGTGGACAAACTCTCTTATGGCATACACAGACAGGATAATTTAGCAGAGAACCACCATATCTCTAGTAGCCCTAGTGGGGACAGGAAGCTGGCAGCTTATCAAGGTTCCATATTTTCCTGAGGATTTTTTTCTATCTGGATTTCAATTGTAATGTCTTGAAATTCGGCAGGTAGGTGGTTCCATGGGTTTATAGCCCTGTGGGTCTGTTTGGCTGGTATATTTATTTATAAATGCAGTGTACTGTATTTGAATAAGAGATGCATTGTACATAAAAAATATCAATTGGATATTTTTACATTGGTAAAATTACATGTACATTTGGTTGATCTACAGTCCTGCCCTGTCAGCAATATATATATTCTATAAGCTGAAAATTACACAATTCAAGAACCAATTGGTCCCAAGCCTTGTAGAGGATTAAGACTCCAATAATTGACTTTATGGCTACATGTTTACTATTATGATGAGTGGCACTGCCTGATAAATTATCCCCTCAATGAAAAAATTAATTTATTAATGATAAAGATTCATGACTGTTGAAAACCAAATAAGGAAAGTATGACATTAGATAATTCTTTTATATTATTCTTCGGATGTTAAGTGCACTGTTTTGATATATAGCTCATGGGAGTAAAAAGAGAAGGTGAGAAAGCAAGATGTTAGAGTGGAGAAAAGCAGTTTAGGGATGGCCAAAACATGCACTTGCTCCCAGTTCAATGATAAAAATAAGAGGTGCATTAGATAGTACATGAGTAAACACTACATGAAGCCAAGTTAGTAAAACACAGTATTACTAGTGCAGCAACTGAGCAAACTAACTGAATAAAGATCATCTATATCTCTCTCAAGGAAACCCCCAGTTGACTTCAATGTCTTAAGAGCACAGTAAAAGGGATATGAAAAAAATAGTTTCATTAATGAAATTTTATTGATATATGCATCTAATTTTTTATGTTTTTCCTGCAAGTTATGTTGAAGTTGTGCAACCCACTACTGATACAGCAGAAGCAAATTTATTTTGATACCAAAAATATTTGATACTTATTACATATAAAAAATTAAACTACATTTTACCAAAATTATAACACCAACACCAGGCTTAAGCCTACACCCAACTTACATTTAACATGCAGATACTCATGTATACCTGTACACAGTTTCACGTACCGAGACACATGAGAACATCAAAATTACTTTACTTAACTTTTGGTAAATATCCCTTAATGGTTTTGTAATACTAAAAATTAAATCTGTTTAAAGTCACAAGGGTCAAAATCTGCAGGCTCAATTAAAATATACATTTAAATGCTAAATTTTTTATAATTATAACAAAAGTTGCACAACTTCTATGATTTATTTAGGGCATAGATTTTTTATAACATTTTTTCAATCAACAATCACAGCTAAGCCTTACTTAATATGATTACCAATATATTATATATGTTGTCCATGTGGCAATGGTCGACCTCACATGATTGTCTTACCAACACTATCAAGCACTTTACTTTTGTGATCTGACATTTGTGGAGTAGTCTCATAGCTACAAATAGTAACACCATGTCTATGTGCTTTAGTATATTCTCCTCTGAAACCTATGTATGAAACTTTAGTAGTTTCCTCACCGAAGTTGCTGGGAAAATGGATGCTGAGATGGGTAACAGAAGAAAATGCTACCACTCTGCAACCAAAAGAAAAACTCTTATAAGAAATTATTAAATGTGGAAGATCAGATAAATCTAATCAGAAGGCTATGTAAAAATTATTATTGTTAGTGAACTATGAATTCTGTAGCTGTTTATTGTAAGCTAAGATAGGCTAATGCATTGAGGTGTGCTTGTGCACTGTCAACACGCAAGAGAAGGGAGCAGAAGCCACCCCTCCTACCTGTTGGTGGCACACAAGAGCCATTTCACAAAGTCAAGGCACCACTCAATGAGGGGTGAGAATTTTGTAGGTGGTATTCATATCTCGAATAACCCTTTTGTCTTCAAGTGACAAGGTTTAATTCGAGCAGCCGTTCCACGTAACTCATACCTCCCAGCTCTGGGACTATTCTAGTGGCATACCTAAACTTTGTCTTGCACGTGACTAGATATGGACTCCATGAAGAAGCTGCATACTCCAGGATTGGCCTGACATATGCAGTATACAAAGTTCTGAATGATTCCTTACACAACTGTCCATGCTAAATTAGGTTGATTTCCTTGTGTGCATAAAAATATAAAAAAAAATTTCTTTCTATATTCCAAAACATGGTTTTCTAATCCTTTTTGTTTGGCTATAGTGAGGTGAAGAAATGTTGAATCTTTTACAAAATGATGCCATTTTGTAAAAGATTTTGAAATAGATTTCTCCTAACTAATGTCTTCCAGGTCCATAAAAACCCTTGAAATTTTGCATGTCATCAAGGGTTCCTAACATGAGTCAGTCAATGAATATGCAGCTGACATGGTACTTCTGTTAACTAAGGCTTTCAGGATTTGTTCCAGTATGACAAACTGAGACATCTCTGGTGTCAAATTATGTCCACATAAAATCTTCAGAACTTTTGAATGTGATCTGTTTTAATTGTCTGTGGCAGGTGACTGGCACACCAGTCTCTATCACTTGAGACATCTTAAGGACTAAATGAGCAACAGATTTTAAAGTCACAAGGGAAGAGGGCTCAAGCAGGATCAAGGTCCATACACTACACTGGTCACACATTCAAGGGTGAAAGCATTCCCACATCCAAGACGAGGAATGCTGGAGGTAGTATGTCTGGTCATCATGTCAAATAACAGTGCCACATCTCAGCAGACTGCACACAACAAAATCAGACTCCATGCTAGATGCCAACTCCATACTGATCAAACTAGCTGAGTTACCAGACAGGAGTCAGAAAACATAGAAAATAGATCAACTACACCCCAAAAAGGCAGCCCAGTTGCAAAAGTAGTATACTCAACATACACTCACTAAGACTTGTCCCCACAAGGACAGAAAGAGACAAGGGGAAAGTATAGTTTATATAAAGGAAACAAGCAGAAGTGACTTTTCTCCTTCAAATGAAACTCAGATCAAGATAAAATCCTTAGATGCCAACCAAGCTAACCAACCAATATTTAGCCAGAAACATGGAAATGACTGGGCTCCACACCACGAAGCAAGCACAAACATGGAACCCTCACCCCCCCCCCCCCCCCTTCCCTGCATAGCCAGAAGTCTCCAGGAAAAGTCAATGAACTAACTGCATAGAGCTGGAAGCAAAAGGATAGACTATTAGGCAACAAGTAAGCTCTGGATCACTGTAGTGGTGACTTGTGTTGCCACCTGGAGCCAGTTAATGTAGAGACTAGTTTACTTAATCAGTGGCTAAAAAGAGTGGTATTTGGTTTTCTAAGGAACTCCATTCATTACCTAAAGGGTGTGTAGTGTGTTTTTATATTTGTTCTTTTGTCTTACAGTGAAAGATCACTTGATTGACATTTTTATTTCCCCTTCCCTACGATATGACAAAACCATTTGCAAAGTCACTTGGTACAGAGCGGAGACAAGTTGACCCTAGCTTGACAGCAAATTGTCCTGGGTGGATCATACAGGCTCGAGGAGCATCCAAAAAACCCCTAGGCTCAGAAATAACCATAAACAGTGATTGTATACTATGACACTAATGAACAGATGCATTGTGCTAATCTATGAACAAGCTTATCTTAACTTACAAGTGGATACACCTTTGATGAATTTATAAATTCCATCAACTTTCTAACTGCACATGAACACAAGAGAAACGTTTTGGAAAAAAAAACACATGAAAATCCAGCCTGAGGCTACCAATATTTCAGGACAAAACTGCACTGATTATCAAGAGATATAGTACAGTATTTTCCAATGCTTTAACTGTAAAGTACATACTTACTTGGTAGTGTATTCTAAAGTTCCAGAAGGATCAGGTTGTAACTCAAATTCTTGATCTGCAGCACTGTTCACATCATCAAATGTCATGTGTGCTCTGTTCTTGAATCTGAAACAAACTCTTAAGTTATATGACATTTACTAATAACATTCTAACTACTTACAAAACATTAATCACTTTAAAACAATAAAGTAGCCCCATCTGTTTTTCCCTCACTTTAATGTGCTTGCAGGGTTAAGCTTCCCAGTAAGTAGTTACTTATTCTAATGTTTCTCCCCTCCCTCCCTGGTTCTTTTCATATTTCCTTTTAAAAGTGCTTTTTCATTTGACTACAATATCTTCCACTAAGCATGTGACTTGTGCTGAAGAAGTTATTCCTAACATCTCTGTGTGCCTCTCAAGTTTTCTCATTTTGGGTATCGTCTCTATATAAACTCTGCCAATCTCTTAATATTTTGATTGTCATCTTCTCCCTATTTATTCTTACCTTCAATGTAATGAAGTTTCATTCACTCAGCCTTTCAATGTAACATAGTCTTCCTTACCCTTACTCCCAATACCAACCTTATCAAAGACAGTTCCTGTTGACTTTTTCTAGTTCTAATTTTTTTTTCAAATTGAGAGTTTATGTTAAGCAGCTAATAGTCACAACTTGATAAGCACCAAATATGAAGTGGTTTTACCTAACCAGATGTGCAAGAACCTGGGGGAGGGGGGGAGAGGGGCAATCAAATCAAGACACTGCTCATTAGTCTGAGACAAATGAGGCACTCAATAACTGTTGAATCCCCCATCCACCACCACCAGGTGGCAGTGCTGTACCTACAGTGACAAGGTCCCCTGCCTCATGCTTCATGTTAGACTATATTCACCTCTAAAGTACAACAACAACAACAACAAAAAAGGGGGAATGGGAGCAACCAAGAGCCTTGCTCAGAAAAAACAATGGATCAAGAGACCAAGTGGATTCCTACAGCAAATAGGAGGGTTGGAAATGAATAATTCGTGAAAGCTTAGTTTTATGAAAAGGAGGCCAAGAAAATTCAGGTGCAGAGGCTCTGTAAGAGACATAGAATAAAAGGCTATAGTGTTAGGCATAAGCTTCCTAGTGATAACAAAAGCAAGGAAAAAAAACAGAAGAATGAAATGAAATAATTACATGAACATAAGAATACTGTATAAGAAAGTGCAGAAGTCCTATTAGCCCATGTAATGGAGCACCTGTTTATACTCCATATAATGAATCTCTTCAAGGCCCATCTGCACACATAAAAACTAAGGTTTTGCATAAGAATCCATGCCACTTGATCTCCTTTTGAAGGCAACTAAATATCTGCCCTTAAAATTTAACTCCACAGCCAAAGATCGGTAGAGAGCCTATGGCTGGGAACCAGGACTGAACCAGCCTCAAGAGGAGTGAACAATATCCCACAGCCAGAAAGCTCTTGAAATTAGACAAAATGCTGCTTGGCTGTCACTGTGATGCAGAGTATGGGATGAACCTTCTAAAAGGTCATTCAGTGCTAGATTGAGTATTGTCTAGTACCTCCCTTGCACAAGTATAATCCAGTAAGGACATCGGCAAACATCCCTGTTGTGTAGTGCAGAACACACCTATGCTGACTGGTAATGATGTAATCCAGAGGGTCAGCAGGACCTTAACTAAGGGAGCTGCAGTTTCCTCCTCAGAGGCACTTCACTTGTACAAAATCTGATTTTTCAGATCAATGTATTTTAGAGTGCTATATGTACAGTCTGTTTCATTCTGGATTAAATAAAACAAGTCCTACTAAAAAAAAGATGTCATATATACAAGAACTGAATGTTAAAAATGAAAACATGTTATACAGTGTATACGAGTCTTCCTAAGATGATGAAAAGAGTACAAGTCAAAAGTTCTAAAGTATAAGATAAATATAGAATAACACATCTTCACATGTATAGAACAACACATATGTATAATAGAACAAAAACAAACAGTATTATACATTTTCTTACAGTCTCATCTTGTTTGGATGATATCCATTTTCACCGCCAACTACAATGATTCCTTTCAGTTTAACATTATCAGTGAATCTGAAAAGATAAAAAAAAGACTATTTAACCCCTGGACTGCACACCTGTTTGTGGCAAAAACTTCATAGTGCAATTGTTAAGGACATATTTTTGTTGTTTTTTATAATTGTTCAGGTAAAGTTAATGTCAAAATGTTTCCAAACTCAACTATTTTCATTTCAAAACACAAAGACTGATGAAAGCATTAAAAAACATTAAGGTATAGCCTAATTAAAAAAATGCACAACTCTCAAAACGACATTTGTTGTTTGGTGCAGTGCAGTGGTTAAACAAGTCATTATTTATAGCATTTAAGAAATTATTGTTTACTTTCATTTTCTATATACTCTATGTATTGTAATTAAATTTAAATTCCTATAATAGATCTTCCTTCCCTAATTCATCTTTGTTAATTAATTACATAGGTTAATTTTAACACCAATAGTATTGATTTTTATATTGAATCTGACAAATATAGCAATAATAAAACACTATCTTGAAGGAACCCAACCAGTGAAAATAAAGTTGTCATTAAAAATACCCTCAAAAGGAAAAACTAAAGTACTGTATACTGACTAGAAGCAAATTAAAAATTATGATGAAATATTCCCTTTTACTGCATTCATCATTACTTTCTTACACACTTCACACAGTAACCAGAACACTGAATTTCAACTGCAGGTGGGCACAAGCATGACAGCTTACATCCAAGGCATGGTTACCTGGCTGCATTCATGATCAAATTGATTAAAATCCTAATCAAACTCTTATTTTCAAGTTACAAGCCAAGAGCTTTTCTCCACTAATCCAAGAACATGCAGTTGGCTCAAGCCCCCCTATACAAAATAATGATGTAGCTAACATTTCTGCACAAAAACCAGAGAGATTTTCCTGCGAGGGAATGACCATACTGTAATTGAAAAATCTTTCAATTCCCATTTCTAAACATACCTTTTTTTTAATACCTATTTTATTTCCACACTGCTTCACAAGACCCTTCCCTTGTTCACCCTTCCTCACCATTCCAAAAATTTAGCAATTTTCCTGATACTTCAGGAATGAAGCAAAATTAAGCCAAATACATTTTTAACAATCCTATAATCAATCACGCTCGACAAAATCTACCTCAAAACTATGAACCCAGTATGTCATGGTCAAAGCAGCTATACATTTAAACTTTCTTATAGAAAAAATCCGATCCATATAAAAATGACTACCGACTCAACACACACTAATGGAGAATAATAATACTGTATAATCAAAATGAGAAACAAATGCTTAAGACAAGATGAAACAAAGTCTGATGTGTATTCCACGAAAGCGAAGCTGACAGACAGATGTAAGCATTAAAATAAAAATAAGTAAAATGTTTATTCATGTATAAGTACATACATACAAGACAAGTTACAAACAGAATGTTGGATTTCTAGATAGAGCTAGTACTATGCCTAAAGTCACTAATACGTAGAGCATTTCAGGCAAAATTACAATTTAAGTAGATATAATATAGAATTCTCATCATCTCCTTAACTTGAACTTACGGTATATTAAAGAGAAGCTCTTCATCTGCATCACTCTCTACAAACTGCAAAAAATCAAAACAAAAATTTATCAAATTTAAACTCAATTTTTTTTACATATCTAGAAAAGTATCCATTTCCCTAGATAAAAATAAAAAACTCTTAATAGACATACAACATATATTTGGTATATTAACAAATGTAATTAAACATAAATGCTTTCATAGTATAACAACTGTATATCCAAAATAAAAAGTTGAAATAAGGAACAGTGAAGATGGATTAAAGAAAATAAATGCTTACAGAAAAATGAATAGTACTGTATATTCATACAGTATATATTGCTACCTATACATATTTTCTCACAACTTGTAAATTTTCTTCAAAATAAATTGAGTGCAATTTACACCAGTACTTTTGAGCTTAGTTCATTTATTATGCACCTCCTTCAAAGTGAATCCCATCATAGCTAAACAGTCTACTTGGACATCTGAATATTTTGCTCAACCACACTGTTTTTGAGCTATGTCCTGCAGCAAGACACTTCATTTTTCGAAAACACTGCTGTGGCGTCTGACTTCAGCATAACTCCATGTGCATGACACAGCCTAGACCAATGTAGCTGTACAGAAGAACCCTCAGTGAGCAAAGCAAATGTGTCATGAGTAGTTAAAGAAAGCTTTATCCAAATATTTGGATAAAGCAACATCCTGCAGCAATATGATTTTAGTACTGAAGATCAGAGTGAAAAAAGTCACTAATATTTCATGTTCACAAAATTCTAGAGATAATTTTTAGGGTCTTAGCAAGGGTTCTGTAGTACAATGGTCACCACAGTCAATTCATAGCTCAAAGGTTCCAAGTTCGGTTTTCACACAGGACAATATTTGGGCACATTTCTTTTCATTCGATGCCTCTGTTCACCTAGCAGTTGAAATAGCCCCCCCCCCTAGGAGTCGGGCCACTGTTGTGAACTACATTCTGGAAAAGGTCAACCATGAAAAGGAGGCTGAAAAAGATATATCTTTTCACTAAATTGAAAACATCTGTAATAAAATGATTGGGTGTTTAAAGTGTTTTGTACCACCTCTAATAGTGTTCTTGCTCAATTTTGAAAGCATTTAACGGAAATACTTAGCTCATCGATAATATTAACCAGATAAATTATTATTAACCCTGTAAAGCACCTGCAGGCTTTTCCAATGTTAAGAATATAGGTAATAAAATAATTTCAGTACTTCTTTAATTATTAATGTACTCACCTTTTCTCTGGAAAGTCTATCTTCCCATGGTTTAAATACAGTTTTTCCTGATCCCTCAACTGCTTCATTTAAACACTCTACATTATTGACATCGATGCGCGTGTAGAGGCTATATGCTACCCCTAACTCAGCAGGAGTGTGCTCATGACCGTCACCACATGACCCGTGCCCGTGGTGATCATGGCCATGGCCGCCTCCACACCCCGACATGGTGCCTCAGCCTGTAATACAGCAATGCATTTACACACACTCATGTTAATAAGCTTGACCTGCAATGCCAGTCTGAAACAAAGTCTATAACTTAGGTTATTTGTACATCATAAAAGCTTACTGCACACACACACATCATTAGTAGTCAGGTCCTGACAGCAAATTTTTATTGAAATTTCAATTTACTACTGTAATTAAAAAGATGTAAATATGAATGTATTTTTAACAGCACAACTGTGAACAGAGATAATCTCAATATCCAATCAAAGATTACATAATAAGCCAAAATTATAATAGAGTACTGTAATTTTGTATTCTGACTTTTAGTACACTGATTTTTTTTGTTTTTTTTACATAAATAGCCTACTTATTTTGTGAACTATATGCATACACAAAACTATTAACACATTTTTAAAACTAGCCTAACAAAACCTAAGCAACTATGTTATAATAGTACATTTACAATATTGTAATAATATAATACTTTCTTTATGGTAAAAGTACATTCATACAAAATGAGTTACAAGAGGAATGTTGGATTTCTAGATAGAGCTAGTAGATACTATGCCTAAAGCCACTAATATGCACAGCGTTTCTGGGAAGAGTATCACAAAAAATGTCACTTGAAGCTCAATTTGTTGTCTATGTATATGCCAAGTAATTCATTTCTGCTCCATTCTCAACTGTTTTTGTTAAGAACAGACTGTTTTTGCTCCATTTTGATTACTGTTTATTCTAGGATATATTCAATTAATTTATTTACTTCCAAATTATATGTAATTTTTTTTTCAATTTTAAGAGAGAGATTGTTAAGTTACAAGTGTATTTTTTTAGTTAATGTTTACTGTACAGTATATGTTAGGATAACTGAGTTAGTACTGTATTGGAGAAAAAAAAAGTTGTGTGGCATTCGGAAGATTATCGATGTATGCTAGAGGGGTACAGTAATTACAGTACCAACTGGTAATTACAGCAGTTGGTACTGTAATCACAACACCAACATTTTGTACGTTGCTAGTTTAATAACCATCATTATTAAATTTGTATACATATTTTAAAATACACCAATATACAATATGCATCCCAAATTTTTAAAATATGTACTAATTGTGTTTCTCATGTACTGAATTTCATATCCATGGGACCAGTCTTGTGTACAAAACTCTGTGATGAGAGCAGTCTTTACACAACCAGAAGGTCTAGGGTTCGAGTCTTGAGCAGGACGAGATGATTGGGCATATTTCCTTTCACCTGATGCCTCTGTCCAACCAGCAGTCAGCCAAACTGTTGTGGATTGCACCCTGGGGTAAGGTGGTCCGGGGAGAACAACATTGGGGAAACTCTATGTAATTACTCTTATAACGCAACTTTTCAACAAGAATATTCTATTGGTGATGTAGAAAAGTGCTGCTGGTACCAGCATACGAGACCCTTCTGGATGTCATGCTGACGAGTGGACTTACTGGAGGTGTTTTATGGAGACGACAGACACACACACCTGCTCCAACACCTGCCCCAACACCTGCCTCACTCCACCCAACCTCCTCTCGCCTTCTTATATACACTTTACATATACTTTTTTTACATTTTTATTTTTTATTTGTGAATCAATGCAAAGTAATAAAATCTAACGTAATATAACATAATCCTGCATACCTAACGATATAATAATATCGTTTCAATATTGAGAAAACTAGGTATATGGAGCGGTAGTTGTATATGTGTTACACTACAGGTCCCTGAGCGGGGGGGGGGACTGGTCAAGTCGTATACTGCAATTTCGGATACCGGGCTAGAAACAACTTCGTTCACTGAGAAGTTTGTACATACAAACCATTCCGTTCGTATATGCGCTGGTTTGTGTTCGCTGTTGTTCTCGTCTGAATAAATACATGGCACTTGTTCATATAATTAGCGCTTCCATTATTAGAATTATTTATCCATTATTAGAATAACAAGGTGCAAACCATATCCCCTTACAGTTGAAATCTATTTATTTATATACAAGAAGGTACATTGGGTTGCGAGAGTACATAACATTTATTAAGAGGTACATTGTAGCAAGATTTGAGATTAAAGGATTTAAGACTAACACGTTTAGAAACAAGGCGCCCCCGAAGGAGGCTATTATTTGTTATGCATCCCATACTCAACCAGTAAGTAGTGGAGCAAAACATAGATTACATGGTCATAAAGTCTTAATCAGACCAATTCAATTCAATTTCTTTCTTTATTATGCACCCCATACCCATCCCGTGGGCGGTGGTGTAAAGGATTACAGAGGCACATAATCGGTTCAGGAACTGAACCTTCTAGTTCGTTTAGCTAAGCAAATATCAATTTGTGACGCTAGTTACAAAATTATTAATATTATATATACATGTACACACTCTCATACATACATGTACATATATATATATATATATATATATATATATATATATATATATATATATATATATATATATATATATATATATATATATATATACGTATACATATATACATATCTAATCACCTACACAAATACACACATCAATAATCTTTGTGTCACAAGTGATCAACAAGAGGCTCACAACAGTCACTATACAAGGCACTTTACATCTATGGTGAGTCACACAGTTACTAGTCTTGCTGCACACCCACCCAACTGGGCGGCAGCTTTACAGTCATGTGCTCCACACCCACCCAACTGGGCGGCAGCTTTACAGTCATGTACTCCACACCCACTCAACTGGGCGGCAGCTTTACAGTCATGTGCAGCATTACCTACAGTAAGCAAATTTTGGATACTTCGCTAAGATTTCGAGCAGCACATCATTATGAATGAAGTACTTACACATTTCTTGGACACTATTGATGGTGTTATCTCTAAATTCCGCGATTTTTCACATTCCATTATATAATGACGCAAAGGATGCGAATAGTTCTGCTGACAGAGTTTACATTTAGTCAAATCTACATCAGCAGATGTTACAAACTCCCAGAGGTACTTGTAGCCGAGCCTAAGCCTAGCAGTGGTAACATCTAGAAGTCTACTAACATTATTGGATGACCCATAGACGTGCGGTTCTTCCTGCATAATAGAATGATGATAGATGGAGTAACTGGTTTGAATTTCACTTTGCCTCAAGTCTCCGAAATTTAGTTGATGTTCCTGGGATATTGCTGCCCTCAGGCTGCTCAAAGGCAGTCCAAGTTTGTAATCAATTCCCTCTTTACGAGCAAAAGTCTTGGGCAACTCATCAGTTCTCAGTGGCTATTTTTACATTATCATTTACAACTAACTTAAGTTAAGTAACAACCAGTAAACAGACTGCTGTTTTCTAATTCTAGTTCAGGCACTTCCTGGGATAAAACGCGAACATTCCTTGAGGAACTGTGAGATGCTTATCTGTTTTTCCTCGTAACGGTCCCAAAGCTTCCACAAATGTTCCTGTTTCTCTTTATTGCCCTTGCGGCGACTGGACTTTAGCTTTTGATCAGAAACCAGTTGGTATTGCAAGGTTACCAGGGACGCCTCACGGTATAGTAAGGGGATTAAAATATATAAAGCCAAGTTGTCCCTCACTGCCCTTAGATTCAGACGCTAGTGCCATCCTTCTACGTCATTGTTGGTCCTCACCAGTCGTCTAAATGCACACCAGTTCCCCAATTCCCACACACTGTTGCACAGCCACATATTTTTTTATGTAATGAGTTAATTGTGTCGTTAAGGGTGAACTGCTAGCCGACTTTTCTAATTCAGCAAACGCCTTACAATTATGTAGTACATACGTACCACATAAGTACGTGTGTGTTACACACGTACACACACACACACACAACTTGTCAAGCACAAGACGAAGCTTGAAAAAGTTTAGTGGTATGCCAATAGGCTAGTCCCAGGACTAAGAGGCATGAGTTACGAGGACAGGCTGCGAGAAATGCACCTCATGACACTGGAAGACAGAAGAGTAAGGGGAGACATGATCACTACCTACAAAATTCTCAGAGCAATTGATAGGGTACATAAAGATAAACTGTTTAACACGGGTGGTAGGCGAACAAGGGGACACAGGTGGAAACTTAGTACCCAAATGAGCCACTGGGATGTTAGAAAGAACTTTTTCAGTGTCAGAGTAGTTAATAGATGGAATGCATTAGGCAGTGATGTGGTGGAGGCTGACTCCATACACAGTTTCAAATGCAGATATGATAGAGCCCAGTAGGCTCAGGAATCTGTACATCAGTTGATTGCCAGTTGAGAGGTGGGACCAAAGAGCCAGAGCTCAACCCCCCGCAACCACAACTAGGTGAGTATACACACAAACACACACACACACATACACAAACATACACACACTAATGCCTCTATTCACCTTGCAGTAAATAGAAACCTGAAAGTCAGGAAGCTGCTAAAGGCTGCATCTTGGGGATGTGTGTGTGTGTGTGCTAGATAAAAATATATGTTGTTTAGATATGATGGAGGAAAAGAGGCCGAGAGTCGGTACATTAGACAACCGACGCTTAGAAAGGCGGGGTCCAAGAGCTAACAGCTAAATCTTGGAAATAATAAATTAAAATATTTAATACACCCACATACATGTTTCACATTATTTTGGCTGAGGGCACACTGAGGGCTGATGGCCCCGTCGACGGGCAGGAAGTCGGTGGTTGATCAAAGGCCTCCCACATCCTCCACATACCTGAGGATTATTCTGGCTTAATTTTAAACGGAAGTAATGTCTTGGCATTTACGGCTTCAGCGGGTGGGTGGGTCCGTGGGTTTATTACACTATGAGTGAAAACAATCGCCTATTCTCTATTTTATATTGCCGCTTGCAGAGCTAGAAGCTGTTGCCTCTTGTGTGCGTTGCACAAGGGGATTAATATCTGGATTAATATCTTTCAATATTTCCAGTATTTTTTAAGGTAACGCTTAAATACCGAAGATACTGCTATTGGACACCGCTTAATTGACAATGTCTCAACAACGCAGGCTAAAGATGTGCGTGGCTCCTGCTATTGCAATGCTGCTCATTTGTTTTTCAATGATGGGCCTTAGTTGCCCCCTCTCTAACTTACCGTTCTAAATACCCCTTCTCCATCTTCCGCAAACATTTCCCCTCATACATCTCCCCCCTTTCCTCCTGTCCCCCCTGTCCATCTTTGTCCCCTGTCCCGCACTTTGTCCCCTTGCCCACATTTTCTGTCCTCTGTCCCAGATCCCTTTCCCCCTCTCTGGCCCCCTCTGTCCCCCCTTTCCATCTCTCTGTCCCCCCTTTCCATCTCTCTGTCCCCCTGTCCCTCTCTATCCCATTGTCCCTCTCTCTGTCCCCCCTGTCTCTCTCTGTCCCCCTGTTCTTCTCTGTCCTCCTGTTCCTCTCTCTGTCCCCCTGTCACTCTCTGTCCCCCTGTTTTTTTATGTCCCCCTGTCCATCTCTCTGTCCCCTGTACCTCTCTGTCCCCCTGCCCACTCTTTCTGTCCGCTGTCCATCATCTGTCCCTCTCCCTTTCCTCCAGTCTCCCTATCCATCTCTGTCCCCTTGTCCCTGTCTCTCTTCCCCTGTCCCTATCTCTGCCCCCTGTCCCTCTCTCTGTCCCTCTGTTCCTGTCCTTCTCTGTCCCCCTGCCCACTCTTTCTATCCCCTGTCTCTCCTCTGTCCCCTCTCTCTTGGTCTCCTGCCCCCCTCTCCTCCCTCTGTCCCCCGGTCCCCCTCTCTGACCCTGTCCCTCTGTCTCTGTCCCTGTGTTCCTGTCCCTCTGTCTCTGTCCATGTCTCCCTCTCTGTCCCTGTCTCCCTCCCTGTCCCACTGCTTCCCCTCTGTTCCCCCGTCCCTCCTCTGGCCCTGTCCGTCTGTCCCTGTCCCTCTGTCTCTGCCTCTCCTCGTTTTTGACATTCTCTGTGTCAGCCTATCTCTCTGTCTCTTTCCTCGCTCTATCTCTGTCATTCTCTCACTGACTTTGCATATCCTTATCTATACGTCTCTGTGTCTAACATTCTCTCCCTGACTCTGTCTATATCTATTTCTCTGTCTCGATCTTCATCTCTTTCTCTCTCTCTCTCTCCTCTCTCTCTCTCCCCTTCTCTCTCTCTCCTCTCTCTCTCTCTCTCTCTCTCTCTCTCTCTCTCTCTCTCTCTCTCTCTCTCTCTCTCTCTCTCTCTCTCTCTCTCTCTCTCTCTCTCCTACATACATACATACATACTTATTATATATATATATAATATATATATATATATATATATATATATATATATATATATATATATATATATATATATATATATATATATATATATATATATATATGTATTTATATATACATATATATATACATATATATATATATATATATATATATATATATATATATATATATATATATGTATTTATATATACATATATATATATATATATATATATATATATATATATATATATATATATATATATATATATTTCATTGAATATGACCGCATATTCTGTATTTATTATTTTCTGGTTTAGGGCTTCTATCCCTCTAACTATTTTCTTAGCATCAGGGCTTAATTGAAATAGGAGTTCTCCAAAACTCATTTTCGTACTTTTAAGGTGAAGAAAAGAAGTGATTTACTATAGAGTGTATTACACTTATTTGTATAATTTGCACGACGTTTCGAACCTCCATGGTTCATTCTCAAGTGAACAGATCTTACAATACTAGTTGATTTTATACCCGCATTAGGTCAGGTGATAATACAATGAAGGTGAAAACATGGGGGGATACATAAGGGATAAACATAGGGGCTGCAGAAGGCTTATTGGCCCATACGAGGCATCTCCTATCTAAACACAAAGATTAATCCAGTGTAATTGGCCTGTTATGTTGGACATTGTCTTCTGTGTTGGCATCGATATGTTCTTGTCTTGTCCTTACAGAAAATAATAAATACAGAATATGCGGTCATATTCAATGAAACATGTTTGAAAGAAAACCTGCTGCCAGTATACACCAATATATATATATATATATATATATATATATATATATATATATATATATATATATATATATATATATATATATATATATGTATGTATGTATGAGTGTGTGTGTACATGTGTATACATTAATAATTTTGTAACTAGCGTCAAACATTGTTATTTGCTTAGCTAAACGAACTAGAGGGTTCAGTTCCTGAACCGATTATGTGCCTCTGTAATCCTTTACACCACGGCCCACGGGATGGGTATGGGGTGCATAATAAAGAAAGAAATAGAAGAAATTGAAATTGCATAATACGGTTATTGACATTCAATAATAGTACGATAAAGCAATGAGGACCAAATGGGAGACCAGTTATCAGATGAATATTACAGACTCAAGGGTAGCCTTCTCTTCTTGTATATAAATGAAAAAATAAATTCGTTTGTTTAATTCTAATGCTTGTAGGCGAGAACAGTTGTGAACGCCAGCTAGCGCACAAGTACATGAGCGCCCAAAATACTTTTACACAAAAGACATGTACAGACAGGCGTGTGGCTTCTGACTTCTTTTTTATTGATTAATATTAAATATTAGGCGCTTACCTATAATAGTTATCATTTTATACAAGTATAACTCTCACATAATAAATATAAAAGGAGTTTATCTAAAACTGACAGAAGTGTTGTGTTTTGTGCGTTGTATCGTGTTTGTGGGCATTCGGGTGTGTTGTGTTTACGCTGGCGGGTGGCGTCCTTACCAACTCCGGATTATGTCTATTACATCACTAAACTTCATTTAATAACTATATGCCTGTTAAATAGAAGATTTTAATTGTTAATAGCATTATATTGTCGTTTTAATGTGGAACACGTACACATATGCGAAACATCGAAAGCTGGTGTCCGAAGTGGTAAAAATATTAGTGTGCGATGTTGTCAATGTACGGAGTGTCTTGTATCCGAGCGGGGTGTTGTTGTTGTTGTGGTGCCGCGCCGCCCTCAGGCACACTCTCTACACCCTGCTGCATCACCCATCCCTCCAGCCTCGTCGCCCCTCAACCAACAACACTCTCTACACCCCTCAAGCGCCAAGTACCAGCCCTGTAGTACAAACCCTAAAGTACCAGCCCTCCAGTACGAACCCTAAGGTACCAGCCCTCAAGTACGAACCCTAAGGTACCAGCCCTCGAGTACGAACCCTAAGGTACCAGCCCTCAATTACGAACCCTAAGGTACCAGCCCTCAAGTACGAACCCTAAGGTACCAGCCCTCAAGTACGAACCCTAAGGTACCAGCCCTCAAGCACACTGTACCTGTAGTAAAGATGAAGCTTGCACGTGGATTCTGCGACTTAAATATTTGTGCAACCGATACAGATCTCAAACAGACTGTACTTAAAGCATTAAGTATGGGCTACCAAACTGTTGCTATCAACAGAGAAGTAACAGATGAATCTACTTCAGACAAGAAGAAACGAAAAAAAGGTAAAAATTGTCACCTTAATAACAATTCATTGTCGGGGGACAGGCAGCCAGTTTATACATATAATACATGTTGGGCTTATATCGAGGCTCCGCCCTTTCCCCCAAGGTCGAATTACTGACCCCGCCCAGGATGCTACCCCGCAGTAAGCTGACTAACTCGTGGGTACCTATTTATGGACAGGGGTATTAGGTGATAGGAAATGCACCTAACCATTTCTGTCCCGCCCAGGATTTGAACCCAGATTTGTCAATTGTGAGAGAACAAACCTGACTACTATCTGGACTCAAGTTAAATTGTTAAGTTTTAATTATTAAGTTAAATTGAAGTTCTTATTATCCATCCTGTAATCATCTTGTGGGTGGTTTAATGGTTAGCATATCAAAGTTCCATAGACTGTGGCAAAAGGGTTAGGTTAAATGTTCTTTTCCCCCCCTGATTTTGGATGATTACTGATCCCCTAAGCTCCCCTCACTGAGAGTCAGATTCTCTTCCCTGGCACCTAGTAGGCAAGGGTCCTGGTGCATCTCCCTAAGACTTAGCTGGACTAGTACTGTCCATGGCTAGGGGAGCTTCTGGGTCCCCCACCAGCAAATGGTTTCATTACATTCAATGTTTAATTTCTTCATTTATTAAAAAGGCATTTTTGACACTAGTGTCTGGAGAAGCTAACTGGAATAAACTTTCCACCAATAGCGATTGTGCCATTTGACCTGTGTGTTGCTGACCTAAATGGACAAATTTCATTTGTCCTTTGAGAGCTTTGCTTGGAATTTGATCCTTTTAGGGTAAGCTTCACTGCACTGTGTGATGCATGTAGGTGGAATACACTCATAGTAATGTAAATCAGGTTGGTTTATTTTTTACTCTTAATTGCAGGTGAATTCCCAGTGGTTCCATCGCCACCCAAATTTGAATTGTCAAAAGAGGATCTTCGTCAGCACAATATTACCAGAGAGCCAGTCATACTAACTCGTATCACAGTCACATACTCAGATCCTGGATCTGCATTTCTCTCAAAGTTTCGAGAAGTCATTAAGCAATATGATATAATTGCCTTCACTCCCACTACTGAAGGAGCTCTCAAACAAGTAAGACATCATTCTGTTCTGTTCTACTGTCATTTTAATTTGCTATCTATTCTTTAATATTACCAAAATATACAGTACTGTACAGTGCAATTCCTGTTCAGTACTTAGGTTTACCATTACTGGAATTAAACTTCTGTTTTCAGTGGATTTAAACAAGTATACTTTTAATGATTTTAAGAATATAATTATCTGAAGTAAAATTAAAGACATGGAAATACTATTCTACAGTATTCATAAATTATACTTGGAGCTTTTATTCTCAGTTTAAGATGTTCTTGATGCTGTACAAGATTTATACAATACAATATACAGTATATCTTTTTAAGCAATCGGGCTACAAAGCACCACTGGATTTGACCAAAAAGTTGATGGGTAATTACCTAAGTGTAGTTACAGGATGAGAGCTATGCTCGTGGTGTCCCGTTTCCCCAGCACTCTCGTATAATGCTTTGAAATTACTGACGGTTTTGGCCTCCACCACCCTTTCACAATAACCGTCTACCACTCTGTTTACAAAAGTGAATTTTCTTATATTTCTCCGGCAGCTTTGTTTTGTTAGTTTAAATCTATGACCTCTTGTTCTCAAAGTTCCAGGTCTCGGGAATTCTTCCCTATCAATTTGATCGATTCCTGTTACTATTTTGTACGTAGTGATTATATTGCCTCTGTTTTTTTTCTTCTATCTAATAGTTTTTTTATATTTAATGCCTCTAACCTCTCCTCGTAGCTCTTGTCCTTCAGTTCTTGGAGCCACTTATGTCTTTGCACCTTTTCCAGTTTGTTGATGTGCTTCTTAAGACATGGGCACCATACAACTGCATATTCCAGCTTTGATCTAACAAAAGTCGTGAACAATTCCTTTAGTATTTCTCCATCCATGTATTTAAAAGCAATTCTGAAGTTAGAAAGTGTAGCATAGGCTCCTCACACAATGTTCTTATGTCCCCATTATAATCTCAATAGGTGACTACATAGACTTGCCCTTGACTAGTAATATGTAACTTCCCGCGGTAGGTTACGCGTGACTTGCCCACGGTCGGCCCGTGGTCGGTTAAGTGTGACTTGCCCACGGTCGGCCCGTGGTTGGTTAAGTGTGACTTGCCCACGGTCGGCCCGTGGTTGGTTAAGTGTGACTTGCCCACGGTCGGTTACGTATGACTTGCCTACAGTTGGTTTACACATGGGTGTGTGTGTATTTTGGTAGGGAGTATGTGTCTGCCAAGGATATGAAAGAGAAGACAAACTTGTTTTTGATAATTATAAATATTATTCATTTGCTTTTCTTACAATTTCCAGACTGTTTGTCAAACACTTGTGGATGTAGATATTATTTCACTAAACCCAGAAGACAGAAACACCCGCTTTGCTAGGAAATTATTACGTTTAGCAGTGGAGCGGGATATTTATTTTGAGGTAAGGACTTCTTTTGGCATTACAGTACAGTATATAGTAATTTTTCTTTTTCCAATGACTAGCGTACATAATTGTGTTACATGAATATTGTTCACTGTAATAATTGAGGTAAAATTATAAAACTAATAAGATTCATAATCCTGTACAGTTCTTTATAAGTAAGATTAAACCTAAATAAATTTGAGGGCAAGTTTTCTTGAACATTTTTTTTAGTAAGAAAATGTCGATGTATATAGTACAGTATTAAACTACTGTATTTATATTTAATACTTTATCTATAATCCCTAGCCATTTTAGTGAAGTATTGTTGACCTAAGATATCATGTTTGATTCACTTCCATCTTGTTTATAGAAAATAAATTATTTACAAGCAGATTTGTTCCCGTTTATGGATTGGAGACTAGGGGTGCCTTATTTACCATCATGCATTTGAGCTACTGTGGTGCTTACTTTTTTAGTAATAGCTCTGCTGTAGTTATACTGTACACAATGATATGGATGTATTTCAGAGGTTTTGTCAAGACTACTTACAGAGCATCTGCCAGTGGTAGATGCAAAGAAATTTGGTTCTCATTCTAATGTATTTTGACAGCTGAGCTATGGCCCTTGCATCACAAACTCTTGCAGTCGGCAACAAACTATCACCCTATCTCATCTGCTACATCAGTGCTCAAGATCAGCAAACATCATTGTTACAAGTCGAGCTAGGATTCCAAGCCACCTTCGGTACCCATATGATGTCATGAACCTAGGAAGATTCTTCGGATTGACAGAACCTGCTGCAAAAGAAGCCATAGTATCCCAGTCACACAATGTTGTGTATTGTGCTGCAGCCCGTCGGAAAGGGGCAGCAAAATGCGTTGCTCAGGTTACAGTTCTGGATGCACCTAACTTCAAATATGATGGATTAGACAATGCAAGAAAATACTTAAAGTTAGATACTGAGATAAATGATTAATTTTCCAGCTACTACTGAATGTTGAAAACAGTATTCATTATACATGTGGCAGCATAATTTTGTTAATTATTTTATAACTGGAAAGGTTTTGGCCTGTAGCAAAGTCGGATAACAAGTAATTGGTCGGTCCTGTGATCCCTGTGCAGGGAAGAGACATACCCATGTTGACCTAGCAAGCAGTAAATAGATACTTGGGAGTTAGTTGATTGGTAGATCACATCCAGGGAATGGTCATTTGTTGGCTACGAGGGAACCTTTTTAAACCTAGAAGGCTTCATGCCTCCATCACTGGCAAACCAACAAGACCATAGTATTATTTATCACTAAATAAATAACTTATTTATATAAATGTTCTCGTACTATATCTGGGCTTCTTTTTGATAATTCTTTATGCTCTTATTGTTACTTCATTCTTATTCTTGATTAATAAAACAATATTCCTTTGATTACTAGTATTTATTATACAAATCGCAATGCGACATTACAAAATATTAATTTATTTTTATTTTAATGAAATGAGGTAACCTACATCAGTACATGGTGGGGCAAAGAAATTTATTCACTTAAGTGAACATGTCATAAATGTCTGTAGCTACTTCAGCCTGAATGAGGTTATGGCACAATGACAATGGGAAAGGTAAAAAATTTTATTAAAAATAGTGGCTTTTTTTTTTTTTTTTTTTTACTGGTACATGTTCTGTTCCAGTCACCTTGCTTTCAGGCACTATTTATTGTCGTTCCTGGTCTTGATGCCAAAACATTGAATAAACTGAGGTCCTTGCTACTTTTTCTTTTACAATTTGTTTATTTTACTGTTTTAGAATATAAGTCACATCATAAACAAGATGCCGAAGGATTAAAAACCTAATGAATCTTAACTCGACTTAAGCCTTAGATAAGGCTTAGGATATATTACATCCTAGCCAAAGATGCTGTAGTTTTGATATCGGAAAAAAGCACAGCTTGTCTTGTGTACAATATATCCATAAGCCATTTTAGAGCAGTTTATCAATGACATTTTAATTTATTCAATTTAATTTGGTTTATTTAACTGGATCTTTTATACAATAGTATAGTCCTGAGAATTTCTCATATCTTGCATTTATATTTAAAACCCTCATTGTAAACAATTTCCTCTCAAGCAAATTTATAACGGTAGTTTTGCCAGGTCCACACCCACATCAGTGTTGCCTTCATTTATGACACCACTGCTAAAGCTGCTGGCTGGTAGTTTGCCCCCTTCTCTCAGAAATTATTTCCTTACTCAGATTTTTTACTCTCGTGACATAATGCCATTGGAGAGAAAGATGGCTAGCTAATCCAAATAAATTCAATACCATTATGTGTGATCTATCTCTATGCCTTCCTCTTTTCAAAATAGTAGGAAGCAACTGGCTTTATGGGTGTCCGTAGGTGAAACAATACAATTAAGTTCTTCCAGGGTATCTTGTGTAGCCAATGTTTTTTGATACGTTCTCCCACCTGTTTCTATGAAAGGCCGTGGGTGATAGGTCACATTTTATGCTACTGTACAGCAAAAAAACATAAATGGTCCCCAAGTTGTAGATCACTTAAGAATTCTGACTCAACCAGGATTTGAACCTGCATTATTGAGGCTTACCCCTAGTGTACACAATCCTTGAAGCAGCTATTGTATTGTGTACATCATTGTAAGCACTAGTAGTGCAGGTTCGAACCTTAGGTGGGTCAGAGTTCTTAAGTGATTTATGGCATTGTATATAATTTGTAGCGAGGAACGATGGCATACAAGTTGTACAGGGTATCAGGCAAAATGGCTTGAGTGTACCTGCAGGCTTAAATGTCTATAAAAATATCTTGACAGCATATTGATGCATGTTGAGTAGTTATATTGAATGATGAAAATGTTTGACACTAAGGGGGAGTAAAGCCTTCACTGTATTTTACATTTAACATGGAATTTGTTTATATAGGATACGTTACAAATATTTAACTTACAAAAGAGCCACTCTTGCATCAAAAGATTATAAGTATTTGTGGAATATATTATAGCAACTGTAGTTACATTGATTAAAATGCAACATAAGCATGAATGTGGACCATGGCTAATTTAGTGAAATATTCAAGAGCATACCAGTCAATTATACCTTATTACCTAGTTTGATACAAAGCATCATGACAGTGGCTAATGGTGAAATGTGAATTTGCTAGGTAGCCATAATCCAGTTTAAAGGGTAATTTAAGTTTATTTGCATCCCAGGAAGTATGCTGTACTGTATTAAGTTATGGGACTTTTGTGCATTCAGGTCTCAAATTGTGTACATAACATCCAAGATAACAGGTCTCAAAGATTACCCATAACACTTAAATATTTTACAGACAATTTGATTACCATATAAAGATTTAAAGGTTGTTATATGCACATTTAAGGTAAAAAAAAAAAAAAAAAAAAAAAAAAGGTTTTTAGTGGCCGAGAATTTGACAATGTTTGCTTAGTTTGCACGTTCGACTGGTAAAACCATTTCCTCAATAGCAAATCGTTAGGCCAACATATAATTCAGAATACTGTAAATTCCAACCACGTTTTCTCGGTAAAAGAATATTGCTGCTATACTGATTTACCTACAGTTATGGTACTTTGAATGCATGTCAACTAAAATATTTATAATGCTATGATATTTTCAAGAGAAAAATTGAGTCACAGTATAAGCATTAATAATATTACAAATGCCACAAGACTTACATTAATTGTACATAGTAAAAAACCTATAGTAAAAGTACCCAGTCGCCGGTAGTAAACACCCCATGGAGCCTATGCACATCTAATACAATGAAAGCAGTGGAGATCCCACTACTGCATGAAGGAAACAGCCAAGCAAATGCAAAAATTATAGATTGCTATAATGAACACGAACAAAAAATCTTTTTTTTTGGGGGGGGGGGAATTTCCATAAATCAAAACGTGCATAATTAGGGCCAACATGGGTTTAGAACAGGTTCCTCCTGCCTCTCAACCATTACACCAGTACATATTATTGTTCGTTATAGAAGGGAAACGAAATGTTGCACGAATAGTGAGGGCATTGTCTCAAATGACCAGATAAGGTACACACTTTACTAGGTGTACCTAATCTATAATGTATGTGGTTTCCAGAATAATGTCTTGCCAAGCAGAGCATTCCCTTCCCTTAGTTCATAAGCCTTGCCTACTAGTTTTCCTGGAACACGACTAACCCGCCAATCATTCAACAACCGACTGGATGAAGTTTAACTTCAGCCAATCACTGCTGGATAGTGAAGTGAGACTTACAGTTAAGGATTAGCACCTAGTCAAGCCTCCCTATCCAGAACACAAACCTGGGCCAAATTGCCCATGTGGATTGATCTTGGCTGTCACTGTGTACCAGGAAGGAATTATTAAATTTAGGCACAAGGTTAGGTATTTGAACCAATACCATATATATGCATAAATTCAGTAGTTATTGATTTGAGTGTGTTAGAACTTCCTCCATTGTTAGCTTGTGTGACACAAAAGGGTAAAGTGATGCCACTTATTGTAGATTATACTTTCCTCCAAATTCTCAAAAATTTATTTCAACAAAAACAATCGCACAATTAGGAGCAGTGTTAAAATTATCAAGGCTAAAAAATACAACAAAATTGTTTTTTTTTTTTATTAGGGGGTACAATTTACTCTGCATCATCCTTGCTCTTCAGAGCTTCTGCCTTCCTTACAGCAACTCTGTCCTGCCTGCGTTTACGAGCCTCCTTGGCCTTGGATCTACGAGCTTCTGCCTGGTCACTGAGCATCTTGGCACGGGCATTGTCAGCCTTCCTCTTGTGAATGTATTCCATTAGAACACGCTTGTTCTTGAACACATTACCTTTCACCTGAAAAAAAAATCATTAGACAATTAGTAAAATTTTACTAATACATTTACAATAAATTTGATACAGCCCAATAGCAATCCATTATTACCCTGGTTTCCGGTGTCATAGGATGGCAAGGAATCGACTCAATGGAGAGATTGGAAAAAAAGGTAAATAATAGTGAAGGGTTACATGGAAAATATACATAACTTGTTCATACATTACTGACAAACAAGCACCACCACAATTCAGCAGTCATCGATGCTTTCTTCGTGACATGTCATTAAGAAAATTACATCTGTTCCCTCTTTGCAAATCATTTCCATTTAGAGTACCTTTCTCCCTTACCCTACCAGTTCACACACTACTACAATGTCCACTCAGTTTTACAGCATTCCTCTTCTACTACCATCACATTCACTATCATTCAACATGCTCAAAAATGTCTTTACATTTTCCCCATCTTTTAGCTTAAATTCATTTTCAATCTCTGAAATTTGTACCCTGTATTAACTTAATGCCAAATGTGCTATTCGGATTATCAATTTCTACTGCTCTAATCTTTCATTCCTACCACACCACTTAATTTTTCTTTTTATTAACCAGGGCTTTCTTTCCTTCATTACACCAGCCATTTTGTTACCATTCATCCTACTTAAATTGCACATTTAATTAAATTGCACATTGTAGGTTTAATTAAACCTACCATTTTTCAACTATGAATATTGTACTCAATGCATGTATATGTATGTACAGTATATACAGTACAGCATACAAGTGCATTTCCACTAGGACTTTATTTTATCACTGTCACTTTCAATGCATACGTAAACACAGGCACTTGCGTAAGTAGCCCCACTGTGGAAACTAATCCCCAAAGATGATCTACTTTTATAACAATCGACAGCCCTTCATATTTAGAATAATTTATGTTAAGCCCTTCCTTGCCAGACCTAGGATTATTTTGTAAAGCAAGCATGAGTTTTGGTGTGGATGGGCCACTTGCAGTTGACCCTTCACTAAACCCAACTGCTGACATGTAAATAACTTCTTGGTGCCACTAATGGGAGTGCAAAATCTACCAATAACAATAACCCTAGGCCTAAATGGTCAGTTCTGATGGGTTTACATTAAAACACCCACAAAGTGTGTTGTACTGACAGAACAAGCAGTAGTGTTCCACTACAGAATTTTCCATACAGGCGTAATAAAATAAGTGCAGAAAAAACTACGAAAAATACAATTCAATGCAGACAAAATTAATGTTTGCAAAGTTATCTGGTACAAATGTATGAAAAGTATTTCTTCCAATTTAGAAAATGTTGAAAAGAAAATGAAGCTTAATGCAAGTGAAATGGCCAGTATTGCATGTACAATATATTTAAGGACTTTTGTGAAGAGACCTTACGAGGCAGTTGTTTAGTTCATCACTTGTCTTCAGTTAATGTCACTCAAATTATTGATGTGTCTAAAATCTAATTACCCAGCTATTGAGTAAATAAAATAGTACTGTGGAGATGGAGATAACTAGGGAGACATGTGACACTGCAGTTAAAGTAAACCATGTGATTACAGTAGTTAGAAAAAGCAACTCTATACAACAATTATACCCTATATCATTAACTGACCAATTTACATAAGGTTTATTAACACTATTTAGCACCATGTAACAGATTATCAAAGATACTATATTACACTAATTTGATAAACTTACCTTCATGTATAAATCATGATACAGATGCCTATCTATTTTCTTGTTGTCCCTGTACTTTTTAAGCATGCGACGAAGAACACGCATTCGTCGAATCCAGAGAATCTGAAAAAGTAATTTTTATTAGGGATTAATAATAACTGGACTAGAACAATAGTTCCCTAAAGGTGACACACCACACTGTTGTGGTGGTATAGTCATTTGTACATCTAATATAAATGAGATTATCCAACAAAAACAAGTTAACATCTCTGTGTTTGCATAACAAAAAAAGGCACGTCTATATTTTGAGAATGAATCACGTCTTTATGTAGCTGCACTTCGTCTTGTACTTCCTAGATGACCTATGATCATAATTATAAAAGTCATGTTCTATGTTACGAATCAATTAAGTTTTTTACATGTACTTTTACAAAAACAAAAATTTTGTGGCATAAGCAAATTTTATTCCTAAAGTGAGGCCCAGATAAAAATTTGGGAACCACTGGAACAGAGAATGACTAACAAAATTGGCAAGAACATTTAATATTTCAAAATTGTTCCCCTACTAAATTAATGTAATTTCACAATGATATAGCCTTTTAAATCTACTGTACATCTAATTCTGTTGTATGAAAGTACCGTATTTGCCAGCGTACAAGATGTACTTTTATTTTTAAACTTATCAAAAAAGTGCCCTGCGTCTAATAGAGCTGTATTACGGATACGAGACCGAGCACGATAGGTTAGGGAGCTGGACGAGCATGCTGGGTAACCTTGCTAGGCACAAAAATCTTTGCTAATAATAAAATATTGAAAGCAAGCCAAGATATCACAGTCTATCATCACAAACTTACAATGTTGGAAATTGTGAAGGAAGCTCACATCTCACCACCTTACACAGCATACATAACCCACACTTGATATGTCATACATTGTTTAAAGACTGTTACCTTTAAAACACATTTATTCATTATCTAAATACAAAATGTTCTAGAAATTTGAAAGGAAAGTTTAACTTTCATCAGCCTGTCAGCCATTTGCATTGCGTGAATGAAAACACAGCCAGAGCCCCGTGACGGTGTGCCACCCTGGTAGTCTGATGCGGCAACAAAACATCACCCAGAAATACAATTTTCACGTCCTATACACCAATTCTCTTGCCCAAAATATAAACTACACAGTTGATCTAAAAGGAGGTAAGAGTTGGGGTACAAAATCCACTTAAAAATATCTTTCAATAAATAAATTATGTAACATACCAAAATAGTTTTTCCACAAAATATCCTTGTAAAATAGGGGTGCATCCTATGCGAGGGTCTTTTACGCTGGCAAATACGGTAATATAGATGTACTGTATAGCAGACCCTTGCTATTCTGACATTAATCTCTCGCACACTAAAGTGTCAGTCACAGCCAACACTAGAACCCAGTAACTGCACAATCTACTATTTCTGGTGCAACCTATATGAATTAATGTAACTTGGCCCATGTATACTTGTTCTAATGCCACATACCCAGCAAATACCAAGGGCCTGCTGTAATGAGTATACTGTATCAAGCATTTAAATAATTTTTTTGAAATGTGTCCTTTTCTCTACAAGGCTGCTATAAACTATTTTTTGCAATGCAAAAATCTTACCTTTTGGGGCATACGGGCATTGGCAGTACCCTTCCTCTTACCAAAGCCCATATGACGGCCCTTTCTGCGAGCTTCTTGATTCTTGCGGACACGGGCACGAGAGTGCACATTGTGGGGCTTCTTAATAATCAAACCATCTTTAATCAATTTCCTGATGTTTTGGCCTATAATTGCATATTAAAAAAAATGTGATAACCCATTTAGAATCATATGCAATCAAATTGTGTAGAAGTTAAATTTCACAAAATGTTCACTAATTAAAAATAACTTCCAAATGTAAAATAATTAATATTCAGATTTTTTTATAAATTTTCCATACCATGCAACATATCAAGTATAAACCAAGTTAAACTTTGAAATACAGTACTGTAGAGATATTTCTTTGCATACTTACGAGAATTGGCCTGACCAATCTCCCCAATCTCGTTTGGGTCCAACCAAACTTTTTTCTTTCCGCATTTTAACACCTCAGAAGCAAGGCGCTTCTGTACCTTGAGCGAACTGAAAACAAATTCCTCATTAATGAAAGATTTTATATTATCTATGTATATGTGAACACACATGCATTACACACACACACACACACATGCACAGGGTATGACCAAGCAACAAAAATTAGGCAAGAAAAAGAAGAGTGGGCAGACTGCATTTTCTTGGATTGTCAAAGTTTTTGACACAGTATCCCACAAAATGCTGTTACGAAAGTTGGAGCAACTGGCAGGAGTAAAAGGTAAGGTGCTCTAGTGGATAAGGGAGCATCTAGGCAACAGGAAACATCGAGTAACTGTGAGGGGGGAGACAGAGTGGCGAGATTTCACCAGTGGAGTCCCACAGGGCTCTGTACTTGGACCCATCCTGTTTCTAATATATGTAAACGATCTTCCAGAGGGTATAGACTCATTCCTCTCTATATTTGCTAATGATAAAAAAATTATGAGAAGAATCAAGACAGATGATGATAAGACAGACTACAGGACAACCTGGATAAGCTGGAGGAATGGTCTAGAAAATGGCTACTAAAGTTCAACTCGGGAAAGAGCAAAATGAAATTAGGCGAAGGGAGCAGAAGGCTGAACACAAGGTACCATCTGGGAGGTGAAATCCTACAAGAGTCAAATAGAGATAGATCTGGGGGTTGATATCACACTGAACCTGTCCCCAGAGACCCACATCAAAAGGATATCATCAGCGGCTCATGTTGGACTGGCCAACTTAAGAACTGCTTTTAGAAACTAATGTAAGGAATCGTTCAGGACCCTGTATACCACTTATATCAGACCTATCTTGGAATATGCAGCTCACAGGTGGAACATGAACAAGGGGACACAGGTGGAAGCTGAGTACCCAAATGAGCCACAGAGACATTAGAAAAAACTTTTTCAGTGTCAGTAGTTAACAAGTGGAATGCATTAGGCAGTGATGTGGGAGGCTGACTCCCCCTACAAGCACAACTGGGAGAGTACACACACACACAATCATATATTCTCCATGTATTACTTTTGACAGTGTGCTGGGAAGATGGGACACACACAAATGAACAATGAATTACACAAGAACTGCATTCACATGTACAAGCTTTATGAACTACCAAATAAGAATAAAATGAATATTGTATATTGTATGTGTACTGTAATATCACTTTAAACTCTTATCTCGCTCTAGTTAGGCCCCATTTAGATTATGCAGTTCAGTTTTGGTCGCCATATTATAGAATGGATATAAATTCACTTGAACGTGTCCAGCGTAGGATGACTAAGTTAATTCCCCAAATTAGAAATCTTTCATATGAAGAAAGATTAACAAAGCTTAAGTTGCATTCACTGGAAAGGCGAAGAGTTAGGGGTGACATGATAGAGGTTTACAAGTGGATGAATGGACATAACCGGGGGGATATTAATAGGGTATTAAAAGTATCAACACAGGACAACACGAAACAATGGATATAAATTGGATAAGTTTAGATTTAGGAAAGACTTGGGTAAATACTGGTTCAGTAACAGGGTTGTTGATTTGTGGAACCAATTGCCGCGTAACATTGTGGAGGTGGGGTCCCTCGATTGTTTCAAGCACGGGTTGGACAAGTATATGAGTGGGATTGGGTGGTTATAGAATAGGAGCTGCCTCGTATGGGCCAATAGGCCTTCTGCAGTTACCTTTGTTCTTATGTTCTTATGTACCCCATCCAGCAGGAGCTGCACAGCCCAGGGCAGAGACTAGAAGAAGACAACCACACTCAAGAACCCACAACTTATTGTACTATCCCTCAGATTTGGAATGCTTTACACTTCCTGGCCGTCTCCAGTTACTTTGTCCATCTCTACTTCACTCATACCTTCGACCAGAGCTTAGGATTGCTGCCCTCAACACCTCCAAAGACGAATTCAAGCAGAGCTACTGTGAATTTCATACCCCTAATCATCATGTGGAAGTGACATCAAAACTAGCCCTCTACTGCATTCAGTTTTTATACCCCTTCACAATGCCAATATACAATACTAAAAATAAATAATAGTACTGTATATACAGGATTTGGAATGAGACTGGTATAGCCAATGCTTGGAATTATCCTCAACTTCATAAAAATTCTAAGTTTACAAAAGTGTAACGTTGAAATACAAGTAAGGACCAAGGAACAGCATATATACAAGAATACTATTAAACAAATTTGAATTATATGCTAATACAGGAAAGAAAACTGTAGATGGCCCATGCATGGACACTCCATGCATATACCTAATCTTGACTTAAAATAATGCAGTCAAGTCTTACATTACCCAGAAATTAGTTCCATAAACCAAAAACAGTTTCCTAAGCAATACCTACAAAGGTCTCTCCCGAATAATTTTTCTACTTCCACAAGTTTACCAAATCAAAATAATATAAGTGAAAGAAGCAATTAGCTCAAAGATTACTGCCTCGGGTTTAGGGAAAATAAAATTATAGTCCCCCCAGCTTTAACCTTGAAAATCCTTGAGAACCATAACAAATACAAATTGCACCGCACACAAGCCAGTTCTGACAATTAAGACTGAGCTTGGATACGCTATGACCCCACTTTTGCCACTTGGATAAAGGACCATGTGACAAAATTCTCAAACATATTGTACCGAACAATGTAGATTCTTGCACAACTGCTTAACATATGGAACTAAATCCTCACAAAGCTACACAATACGAGTCACCGTATCGCTAATCTTTTGATTATCCTCAACACTGCTCCCACGCTCAGTATACAAACTTTACAAATTCGACAATTTTAATTCAAAAAATGTTAAAAATTAGCCTCGTGCACTTATTCTTCCATTAAACCTTCACACTAATACTCACATTCACCTAGAGTAAGATATATGCGCCATGAGGAGACATGGCGGCCCACGCCAGCATGGGGGCGGCATGCCGCAGATATTTAAGTCAAATTAACCCAACTACCACCTTACAAACCACACTATAACCGCACACACAGGACACGTCCTACCTTAACTCTAATATAAACCCCTAACTACATTCAATTCAACTAAATATCCGACATTTATGAGTTAAAACTCTAGTGTTTACAAACCGCACCTCATGGTGGTACTTGCTGGGAGGCGAGAGGGACGTGACGTCACCACGACACGGGATCCTCTACAATATCTGGCCGGTAAATATGTCCTCCCGGCCGGCCCCTCTATACTCACCCCTTCTCATCTATTTCATAATTCAACCTCATTATTTCAGTTCTTTTAAAAAATTATTATCAATAATTCTGTAATATATTATATACAGACAAATGATATCATATGTTAAGCTATATTGACTTTTTCCAATTAATATATAATTAGCCGTTAGTTTCACCTACTCTGAAATTTATACATAATAAGTTAACTTCAAGTGTAATAATAGTGATAATATCTTAATTGCAGATTCGCGCAAATATGTGTGTAACGTAATTAATATTGCACCATCTGAAGAAATAGATCGACTGACCGTACTTGCACTTGCTTGAATTTACCTGAGGGCCACTATCTCTCTAGAGGCCTCGAAGAGGACACGAAAGTCCCACCAATTATCCTAATGATTCTGTCCAGCTGAATTTTGGCGCAACTTGATTATGTTCAACTCTTATATTGCCTGCACATCTTCCTTTAATCTGAATCTTTGTATGCATCAATACACATTCATCATGCATTCTTTTTCATTGTTTCTGTATGCATGTAGCTTGTCTCATCATTTATACATGTAAGTGAATAATTGTTGGTAATTAGTAATGGTAATCGTTTAGGATTAATGGTGCATATGCGATGAGCATCCTTCGTTATTATTGTTAAGTGTACCATTTATAATTCTGGGATGAATTCTCTAATCTTGTATACCTTATTTAAATACTACTATGGTCGGGTGCATGTGCCCCTACTTACGTAGAATATGACCACAAGTACAGTTATTAAGGTCACTTAACATGTATCCCTGCACATGGACACCATAGGCTGTAACTCGCAGTTGCAACTTACTAGCAACCGCGAAGCTATAAAAACTTCCAGCAGCTTCAGTTGCAAATTACTAGCAACTGTAGTTGCAATAACTTGTAATTGGAAATATATTGTTATTAATACTTAAAATTAATAAAATCTTATCGCCAATGGTGTTTTGTTTCACCCGACGCACATAAATAGCGACAATATCTTATTTGCAGACTCGCGCAAATATTTATTTAACTTAATTAATACTGCACCGTCTGAAGAAATAGATCGACAGATCTTATTTGCCTGAATTTATCTGAGAGCCACTATCTCCCTAGTGGCCTCGATGAGGACAGGAAGCAGATGCTTGTCGAAGGTCCCACCATTTATCCTAATGATTCTGTCTAGCTGAGTTTTGACATTTACGGCTTCGGAGGGTATGCAGTTCTATGGGTTTATAACCGTATGAGTGAATAAGCATCTCCTTATTTCCGTCCTGTATTAATTGTGGCCTAACTGTTGAGCATGAAACCGTTGCTCCTTGGTCTGGATCAATATCCCCCAAACTGTTCAGTATTTTAAAAGTTTCGACGAAATCAGCCCTCTCATATCTGGTTTGCTGTGTAGTACTCCAGTAGTCCTCAACCGGTCCTGGTATGGGAGTCGACTTAGTTCTGGTATGATTTTAGTCGCCCGGCGTTGAACTTTCTCCAAAGCAGATACGTCTTTCTGAAGCTGAGGCCTCCATGCTTGGATACAATTATCCAAGTGGGAGCTCTCCAGACATTTATACAGTTGTACAACTACCTTCTTTTCCTTAAGTCAAAAATTCGATTGGCTGTTCCTAGTTGTTGTTGTTTAAGATTCAGCTACTGGGAACAAAAAGTTCCAAGTAGCACGGCCTATGGTGAGCCCGTAATGGACTTACCTGGCACAGGAGCGGGCTGTAACTTGGCTATTCCTAGATTGATGAAGATTAAGCCACCTAAAAGGTGGCACGGACATGAATAGCCCGTAATTGGTGGCCCTTTTGAGCCATTACCAGTATCAATAGATGATACTGGAGATCTGTGGAGGTGCGACTGCACCCTGCGTGATGGGAGATGTCTTCCGTGGGCTATTCCTAGGATTTGGTTTGCTTTTATACTGCAGCTCCTACATGTGCAACTTTCAGTGATTTGTGGATTTTGACTCAGAATCCTTTTCTTCCTCAATCTGCTACAGGGTAATGTGGTTGATTTGGGAGTCTTGCTGCGCATTGTTATGCCCCACATGCAAGGTATTGCATTTTTTTTATTAAAAAGCACTTTCCATTTGTGGAGTTCATGTAAATCTCTTTGAAAGACCTCATTACCATTATCACTTCCCACTTTACTATAAATCCTAGTTATCTACAAATTTGATTATATGGTTTGTAATATTCTCATGTGTGTCACTGATGTATATGACAAAAAGGGTTGGCGCCAAAATGAACCCTTGCGGTATCCCCCGCACCAGAGATCCCCCTGTGACTGACCATCCTGCGAGATGGGAATATTGGATGAGCTTATAGCCAGCTGTTTGGTCAGAGCTGGTATTATCCCCCTCTAATTCCGTGTATGACTAACCATCCTGTGAGATGGGAATATTGGATGTTAAACAACTTGAAGGATATTGATTCAGACCACTTCTTTAAAAAGATCAGATGTAACACAAATAAGGAGCGACAGATTCAAGCTCAACAAGCCACAGTGTAGGATGAAATACAGGAGATGTTTCACCCATAGCTAGGTAGGCTGACCATATATATATCCTCGAGGCAAAAACAGAACATTCTTATGGTAAAAACGAGTTAAGTAATACACTATATAGGTTACATATTTATGATCAAGAAGATAAAAATTGTGTTATTTCATAAACTTATTGAGCTTAAAATTCTTCTTTATTAACAGAACCCATTCTAAAATTTACGGAGATGTGGAGGGGGAACTGTATTTCACCATGATCGTACTTTATTTCTCGTGATTGTGAATATTTCTCCGATGAAGTAATTTTACACAACAAATTTCGGTCTTTTTTTATGTCTCGGGCTACATAGATGTTGGTTGATGTCACTACTACCTCCAAGAGCAACGGAAACATGGATATTATAATTTTGGCATATCACTTTTGTTACATTAGTACACAGTTTGTCCAGTTTAATAAAGTTGAATTCCTTCCGGAGATCGTAATTAAAACTAGTTTCGCCTCTTTGACAATGCAAGGAATTTTAAAGCTTAAAACTTAAAAAAACATGAAGTTTAAACCACAGGCATAAAATAACAAAGCCACTGGTTAGCATACAGGCAAAACATTCTTGACATACAATCCAGTATTCCGGGTTCGAATCCCAGGTGGGATAGAAATGGTTGGGTGCCTTTCCTATGATCCTACCACGTAATGCCCCTGCTCACCTAGCAGTAAATATGTACCCAGGGGTTAGTCAGCATGTTGTGGGGTTGCATCTTCAAAAGGGTCATTAATTCGACCCTGGGGGGACCTCGATATAAGCCATACAATACATACTGTACATAAATAGACTGGCTGTGTGTCTCCAGACACAATGCCTTAAAACAAAAACTAATGCTACAGCAGAACAGATGCTGCATCCGAGATGCACATGGGTTGCCAACATGCATTTTTTTATTTTCTCTGAATGAATCACTGCCAATATTGTATTGAAGTACATACAGTATTGACACACATTGAAATCATTGCTGATCACATTCAGCCGGGAATGGGGCTTAACAAGTCGCTCTAACAGTTCAGTGGGTTAGGAAAGTCATGCACTTAAAGAGCGTAACCGGCAATTTTTAATATTCACACCAATCAGATGTTATTCAAACAAATTACAAAATGGGCAGGATGGATCTGATTGTCCAGATATGATATGCCCATTTTCTACTTAAATTAACTTTGAAGAAAGAATAGTGTAGCATACTAGATACTGCTTGATAACAATATATTGGCAAAGGGTTTTTAATACACTATTAGGATGCAAATATAGTAACTATATATTCCGATTAAAGAGAAAATAATTAATAAATTTTTATATGATCACAATTCAGTGAGCACTATATACAGTACATATACCAGTTGTGAAAACTGTAAGCTATGATGTGCCAAAGTACTGTATGGAGTAAACAACAAGGAAAAGGTTCCAAAGGATATTAATATGCCCATAATGTAAGAAAGGTTTATTACAAGTGCACACTGACATTCATACAAATGCAACTCATTATTTTAATACACTTCAAATGAATAATCAACATTCACTAAACATACTTGTACAGTTTCCTTTTGTTTTTTAATAAAATTTAGAAGTTTGAAATTAAGCACAACAACAAAAAATTATGCAGAGGTATAATAACATAGTCTTTGGTGTCTTCAAACTACACTAGAGTTTTGATTAAAAAACATATAATACAATAGGTAGAGTACAATAATTAAATGAAGCTAAAAACTAGTAAATTTTTTTAAACTATACACAGTTTTTTCATATTTTCCAAAAAGTGAACATATGTGGCCTTCTGGGTTCCAGTTGCAGGGATGAAATGGCCTCCAGGATGCAACAAAGTCTGTGGCTCATGAAAGTATTGAAGAAATTCTTCACTCAAGGCCTTCTCAATTACCTGACAAGATGTAATATATTCATGGTTATTAAGTCTATTGAATATCTTGTACATGCTTAATAAGAACTACTGTACACACCAAATTACCAATAACTTTTTAAACAAGGTTGTAAGTTAGGATTATCTATGAAAAAAAGATAAATAACATAATATTTTAAATCAAGATTTACATTAGAGAATCTCAAGCACTCACCAATTCTATAATGTTGTTTAATGCAGGAATTTAAAATGAGGGATTATACCAATCGATATAGTGGTCTCCGTGACGTAGTGGTAAAGCACTAGCCTGTCACTTTGCGAGCGCTTTGGCCTGGGTTCGTATTCTGGCAGAGGAGGATTGACCGGGTGCCAATCCTTAACTGTAGCCTCTGTTCACCTAGCAGTGAATGGGGGGTACATGGTTATTAAACGATTTGGCGGGTCGTATTCAGGAAAAATAATTAGGATTAAGGACCTGCCCGCAATGCTATGGGTGCTAGTGGCTTTACAAGAATTTAAGTACAGTACTCTTGTATACATATTGAGCTCTGGCTGTTTGGTTCCGCCTTTCAACTGTCAATCAACTGGTGTACAGAATCTTAAGCCTACTGGGCTCTATCATATCTACATTTGAAACTGTGTATGGAGTCTGCCTCCACCAAATCACTGTCTAATGCATTCCATCTATTAACCACTCTGACACTGAAAAAGTTCTTTCTAATGCCCCTGTGACTCATTTGGGTACTCAGTTTCCACTTGTTCACGTATCACCAAAGTAAGTTTAAAAGGTGAAGGAAAGACACAATGTGTGCAAGTGTATTAAAATTTATATTATCGGATGTAACCCACATCCTTTCTCATGGCATTGTATAACAATGTTCTAATCATTGAACACTGTATACAGCACCTTGAGAAAGGATGTAGGTTACATAAAAGAATTTTGTTTTTAATTCACTTACACATACATATATTGGGTCTTTCCTTCACCTTCATTCAAGCACTATGACATTGTAGTAAGTTTCTTAATATTTTAATATTGAATGTCCGTGGACCTTTAGTGTTTAGACATACACTACTTTCAGATTGTTCCTATGGCACCTTACTCCTCATTGGTTCTATTCTGCATTTCCATCCATATTTTTTGCTCCAGTATGTTGTCATTCTATTGTGCAAATTTGGGACCTAGCCTTCCAATATCTTCCATGTATATACTATTTGATATCTTTTGTCATCTTTCCAGATAAAACATTTTGAAAGCTTTGAGACGGTCAAAAATATTTTAGGTGTTTTATAGTGCCTATGCGTTCTGTATATGTTTCCTCTATTCCTTCTATTTCAGAAATCTCTCTTGCTCTGAAAGGGTAAGTGTGTATGTAAACTAAGACGGGACAGCACCAGTGATTTAAACAGTATTAGCGCCTGACAGCTAGATGGATAGCGCTTCGGATCCATAGCCCTGAGGTTTCAGGTTCGATCCCCAGTGGAGGCGGAGACAAATGGGTAAAATGTTTCTTTCACCCTGATGCCCCTTTTATCTAGCAGTAAATAGGTACCTGGGAGTTAGACAGCTGCTATGGGCTGCTTCCTGGGGGTGTGTAACAAAAAGGAGGCCTGGTCGAGGACCGAGCCGCGAAGACGCTATGCCCCGAAATCCTCTCAAGATAGCATTGCTGTGGGATCCCTGGATTTGAACGTTCTCAAAATCTATCTTATCATTTTCCTGATTGTTGCTATATTTGCTCGAGTACATTCACTAAATTATAGGACATAATTTTTACCAATAAATTACTTTAATTTTGCCCTTTATACTAAAATAACATCATACAATGGTTTTAGATTTATAGGAAAATGTTTTCACTCCAACAAAGCAAAAACTGTACAGTATTTTATCGAGAAGTGACCATCTCGTCAACTAAAAGGGAAGCAATACAGTACAATACTTATCATAAGTGGCTGACATAACTGGGAATACACAAAACCTTACATTTAGAAATCTTTGCAGGCAAAAGAAATTATTCAAATAACTTATATTAACAAATACATGCAATTATTAAACCACTGTACTAGATACATACCTGATCTGCTTCACCATAGATATGAAGTGTTGGCAATGTGATACGCTCAGAATACAAGTACTGGTGCGGTGATGATCTCGATCTAAAGGCTGATGCAAAAATTGCAAACTTGAAAGAGAATTGCAGTTTTCCCTGCTGCTGAAGACCACACAATAGTCCCAACATGGCTGCACCTTGGCTAAACCCCAATATTCCATCAAATGGGCCGGATTCCTTAAAACAGGATTCTATTGCTTTCAGGGATTCCTAAGGGACAAATAGTTACAGTAATAGAAAAACATGTAAAAACTAATAAATACACGTGTACAAGTGCTTCACCAGGTACATACTCATACATTAGTAGTCACCTAGTTGTGCTTTCCCAACACACACAAACACACTTGTGTATGTAAATGATGGAAGTGTAGAAGGCACTATGGATGATATGGTACTAGTTTTATGCATGAATAAATTTAAAAGGATTATCTGATATGATCTGTTCTAAACTCAATGGGATTAAATTCTTTGTTTCTGTCACCAAGATTTTCCAGTAAATAGACATGTGGGTAGTAACAAGTTATCCTTGATGAAATATGTCCCTACTGCTGGGAACTGTCAAATGGATTACAGTACCATACATTTAAGTTTCACTTATTACTTTAGTGTTTCATTGGTGTTCCTAAACTATCTAACTTATTTTTCCTTCTTGAAAAATTCAACCACACATTGTTTATACATAAACTGCATTATAATAACAGTTGATATTAAATATTAATTAGGCAATGAATGAAGGCAATTAATCCCTAACAGTATTAATCCAATTAATCCTCTTGAGATCTTTAATGAATATTTATAGGAAAATGAGCTTTATATAAGAAAGGGGTCTAGACTGAAAAGGAATAAAGTACTGTACTTACACAATCATGGGGTGAGGACCTATTCCCATTATAAAGGAAAATGAGAATTACAATCCCTAAGGCGAGTAGGGAACCTGTAAGCAGAACTTCTAGTTCTGCTTACCAGACTCCAGCTCTGATTTTCCCCTACATTAAAGAAACTATTTCTGCCTTATTATGCAGTAAGATAGGTTAGGTTTTGAATATAAACTCTGAGCAAAGATTTTTTCCTTGGTAGAATTGAAAACAAAAACAAAATTCACTTTAGTACATTAATTCAGTAAAGTAATGTGTTCTGGAGAAAAAAACTGATCCTGGATTTGAGAAGCTTATCACAACAGCACAGGTACATCCTAGTCATTGACGATAAAAACAAGTGTACAGTGGTACCTCGGAATGCGAGTGTCCCTGTATGCGAGTTTTTCTGAAGACGAGCAGTATTTACTCCAAAAATTTGTCTCGGAAGGCGAGGGTTACCTCGGGACGCGAGTTTTTTGATACGCGTACAGGCCGACCTAGCGCGTGGTGGTTCGGCGATCGTCGCCCCTCTGCCCCGCCGCCCCTCAGTTTACCATTGTCTCGCGCTCAGTGACTACCCCCACATCAATTCTTCTCGCGGATTTTCAGTGTTTTGTTGGATTTTTGGTGATTTGTCTATACAATTTGTTATTATATATCTCACCATGGGTCCCAAGAAAGCCAGTGGTAAGGGTAAAGGCCAGAAAGCTCATGTGAGGATGACAATAGAGGAGAAACAAGAGATCATTCGGAAGCATGAGAACGGTACACGTGTTGTTGAACTTTGTAGGCAGTACAACAAAGCCACATCAACAATATGCACTATACTTAAGAAGAAAAATGAGATTATGGGTGCTAAAGTGGCAAAAGGAGTAAGAACATTAACAGCACAAAGACCACAAATACTTGAAGAAGTGGAAAAGTTGTTATTAATTTGGATACACGACAAGGAGTTGAGGGGTGATAGTGTTTCGGAGGCCATTATTTGTGAGAAAGCCAGGGTGTTGCACGAAGACCTTCTAAAGAATACCCCTGCAACGAGTGATGCAGATACGAAAGAGTTTAAGGCAAGCAGGGGCTGGTTTGAAAAATTTAGAAAGAGAAGTGATATCCATAGTGTTACAAGGCATGGGGAGGCAGCCAGCTCAGACAAACCAGCCGCTGGACGATTTATTGACGAATTTAAAGAGTTTGCAGAGGCTGAGGGATACCTACCGCAACAAGTGTTTAATTGTGACGAAACAGGACTGTTTTGGAAAAGAATGCCTAAGAGGACATACATTACCAAGGAGGAAAAATCCTTGCCTGGACACAAGCCTATGAAAGATAGGTTTACGCTTGTGCTGTGTTCAAATGCGAGTGGCGATTTGAAAATTAAACCCTTGCTAGTGTATCATTCTGAAAATCCAAGGGTTTTCAAACAGTATAAAGTGCAGAAAACCCATTTGTGTGTGATGTGGAAGTCTAATAAAAAAGCATGGGTGACTAGGATTATTTTTTCGGAGTGGGTGAATGAAGTGCTGTGCCCTGCCATAGAAAAATATCTGCAGGAGAAACAATTGCCACTCAAAGCCGTGCTTCTCCTTGACAATGCTCCTGCTCATCCTCCAGGCTTGGAAGATGATTTGTTGCCTAGATACAATAAATTCCTCACAGTTAAATTCCTTCCTCCTAACACCACTCCTCTAATTCAGCCTATGGACCAGAAAATCATAGCGAATTTTAAGAAACTTTATGAAAGGGGACTTTTCCGGAAATGTTTTGAAGTGACTGAAGCCACAAACTTCACCCTCAAAGAGTTCTGGAGAGAGCATTTTAACATTTGTAGTGCTTTAAAACTCGTTGACAAAGCCTGGCAAGAAGTGACTCAAAGAACCCTGATCTCTGGCTGGAGAAAATTGTGGCCTGAATGTGTGAGAGAACTAGACTTTGAGGGGTTTGAGCCTATAAATGATGCGCCTATTGTTGAGGAAATTGTTAGTCTAGGCCAGCAAATGGGCTTGGAATTGGATGGTGATGATGTGGAGGAGTTGGTGGAAGAACACAACGAAGAACTGACCACCGAAGAACTCCTAGCCCTTCAACAGGAACAGCAAGCCAACGCAGCAGCGAATGATTCTGCAGTGGAGGAGGAGGTGGCAGCAGCACCAGCGAATGTCCCTTCTGCAGTAATTAAGAAGGTGTGTCAGATGTGGGAAGAGATTCAAACAACTGTTGAACAGACTCACCCAGAGAAAGCTGTAGTAGGCCGTTGTCTTAATCTTTTCAATGACAATGTGATGCCTTACTACAGAGAGAGCTTGCGAAGAAGGGAAAAGCAAGCTTCCATGGACAGATTTGTGGTGAGGAAATCGAGCAGTGAGCCTCAACCAGGACCTAGTGGCACTCAGATAAAACGTCCCAGGGAGAGCACACCAGAAAGGTCCTCACTGCCTGATGTGATTATGGAAGGGGACTCCCCTTCCAAACAGTAACTCCTCTCCTCCTCCCCCCTCCTCACCATCTTCCATACGCCTACAGCACTCGACAGCAAGGTAAGTAATAACTGGAACATAGTTTTGTAGGTTTATTTAGATGAATTAGGTAAATTAGGTATAAAAATTTAGTTTGATGTGGGGTTTTTGGGGTAGTCAGGAACGGATTAATTCATTTCCCTTTATTTCTTATGGGGAAATTAGCTTCGGAATGCGAGTTTTCGGAATACGAGGCGTCTCCAGGAACCAATTAAACTCGTAAACTGAGGTATGCCTGTATGTAAGGAAGCATACTGTTTGTCGTTCTGTTTAGATAAACACACAATAAAAAAAACATTGGTTCTAAGAATTGAAGAATTCTTAGACTGTTGTTTACCAACTTTTATGTAAGCTATGACAATTTTCATAATTATGTATAAAAGTATACGCACAAAGGAGAGTATGATGGAAAACTACCAAAAACTCGAGAAAATTTGGTGCTGGCGAAAGAAATTTTGTTACAAAAGCTTGAGGGATGATGACATTTAAATACTGTAGTTTAGAAATACTGAATTAGAATGCTTATTACGCAAATTATTTTAATGGGTACCATTTTAAAACATCCATTAACATATTAGCTGTGTAAATGATCTAATGGGTCTCAGTTTGAAACATCATGATGACCCCATAAGACCAACAGAATATTCTACCGGTCAAAAGTGTAAATAAATAAATATAAATACAGTAATTGAAATGACTTTCTTACCTCAAATCCTTTGATGCACTCAGACTCATCCTGTGCTTTAAAATAATTATCCGGTCTACTAAACCACCAGCCACACCCACTCTCTTTATCCTGGCTGTCATCAATTGATGGCACTTCCACTGGTGAGGTTATAAAGACAAACTCTGCATGCTTCTTCAACTGCTTTCTGAATAATAAAGTTATTAAAAATGTGAATAGAGGCACTGTCAATACAATGAAATGAAAATACATGTACATACTATACTCTAAATAAATATATTTTATGTGATTTTATGTGCTGCTTTTCACTTCAGTGTACACAAAATAATAACCTACTTTGTATAAGATGATGAAGCTTACTTCTTTGGCTGTCACAGTCAATGACTGTCACTGAATTCATAGCAATTCTTTTACTGTTTGATGCATTGGGTTACATTCCTGTGAATTGGAGCTTGTACCTCAACCAGAGCCAAGCCTTAGTAATCAGTTTCTTGGTGGAAGGAATATGTAGGTGTCATGATGCTAAAATGTATTATCTACTAAAGTGGGTGAAAGTACTGACATTTCACTCGTGCACACCTCGTGCAAATTAAACATTTTGACTTGGTGTTCATGGATAATTTTCAGCATTCATGACGACATTGTAATGAATGGACTACCAATATGAACTCTTACTGTATCTGGCTTTTTGGTGATTTCTATCAAAGTGAAACTACAGTGTATAATTTGAGGTAGCTTCCTTGAATGTTTGTAGATCCAAATACTGTATGTGAAACATTAAATTTTTTTAAATACTCTTAATATAAAAGAAAAAATATTGTAAATTCTATATTCAAAATAAGAACTAGTAAGCACAAACACTCAGGTGTAACTCATCCTATAACTACAATTGGGAAAATAAACAAACAAAACCACACACCAACAGGAATCAACCAAATTGATAAAGAGGAATTCCTGAACCCAGCAACTTCAGGAACAAGAGGACACAGATTCAAGTTAAGGAAACATAGGTGTCAAAAAATATTGGAAAGTTTTCTTTTGCAAACAGAGTGGTAGACCGTTGGAACAAGTTAAGTGAGAAGGTGGTGGCCAAAACAGTCAGTACTGTTTCAAAGCATTATACAACAAAGAGTACTGGGAAGACGGAACACTACAAGCTTCCTGTATCTACACTTAGGTAACTACACACACACACACACACACACTGACCAGACACGCTGACTGGAGCTCCCAGGCTATGGCCATGAAGTTTATTTTCTACTGACATAGGAAGAAGCTCAAGTTTAGCTGATGGTATCTTATTATCAGTAATCTATTATTTTTAAATGGGCAAAAATAGGAATATACTGAGAGCAGAGATTTAATACAAAGATAGCAGATTTTGTCTACAAAAAATTATCAAGTTCTATGGTAGGTCAAATGAAGTCACAGAACAAAGAAAAGCAGGCAGACTTTATATTTTAAACTGAAGGAAGACCTTTTATATTGGGCCACATTAACACTTTCGCGCTCTCCGCAAAGGTCACTCAGCCAACCGAATGTGCGCGCTGCGTTTTTATCGCTTAAGCGTAAAAACAAAAATGTGTATACTCTTTTTACTCTTCTGACCTTAGTTCTCATGCTACGTATTTCATTTTGGTACCAACGTGTTCGCAATAAAATTCTCTAGAAGAACATTAGTAAAATAAGTCACGAAACATATAGGGATACCAGCACCAAATAAATAACTACGTAGATGACTCGCCGTGAGTGCCCATCAGCAACAAAATGTTTTTACTCTTGGGATTGTAATCACCTCCACACTTGTTCTACAGCGTTAATTTTGGTATCAATGGACTCGCAATGAAATTCCCAACACGGTGATATGAATATAAGCGTAGAATAATGATGCAGCCCGCCCGCAAGAGTGTGGGAAGTGGTGAAATTGTTACCCGGTATCGGTGACGGGACGACGCACGGCGCTTTGAAAGTTTATACTTATTTCACTCTCATGACATTAATTTTCTATGTACGCCATTCATTTTTATGTCAATGTGTTCGCAATAGAATGTTCTATGTGCCCATAGGTAAAAAATATCAACAAAGCGTAAGTTAGAATAGCGACAAATATAAAACAACGCTGGAACATATCAGTGAGCGTCAAACACACACGAAATATTTTTACTTTTGTTATGTTTATCAAGATTATACTTGTTGCACACAGTTATTTTTGGTTGTATATTGATCGGAATAAAATTCCCTAAACAGACATATGCATATAATACATGATATGGGGGAAGAAGTACCAGTATAAACGGCTAAAGTCACCCACCTGCAACCCGTTTGGGACAAAATACCATTTGATCGAAGTTATCCACACCTTTCATTAACTTATTGTACCATGCAGCCTAGTGGTGAGAAAGAGAGCCTCATAGCGTGCAGTTTGAAACAAACCCAAAGTAAATCGGATAAAAATTGAATTTTATACAAATATTTTAAAAGTAGACATAACTTTATGTCCACTATGCGTTTACGTTAGACGAAACCGAACGCGCCGGCGCGTCCAGATAGCGCGAAAGTGTTAACTAGTTTACAAAATGGAAATACAGGCTTGGGTGACAGGGAAAGGACTGGCTGAAAGACAAAAGACGAGACTCATCTTGTGAGATGAACTGTCACAATGGGCAAAAATGATAAACAAGGCCCTTGAAGGATCATTCATAGGACCTACAGTGTTCCTGATATATATTAATGACATCCAAGGAGGTAGAGTCCTGGTTGTTAATGTTTAAAGCTGACAATGCTGATCATAATGACATAACAGAAAATTACTCCAAGAGATCGCTAAGTAATTTGTACAAACTACAGGAGTTTTTTATAAGTGGTTACCAGAGATAAATTCTAGAAAGTGCCAAGTAACAAACCTGGAAGTCAATAATATCTAGAGACAACATACCATCTGAGGGAAGGGGTAGGAAGGATAGAGATAGAGACATACACTGAAAACTTTTCTCCCAGAGCTAACATCAACTTGACAGCATCAGTAGTATAAAGAACTAGCAGTGAGTCTTTGCTTAATAAGTATAAAAAAAAAGAAGCTCAAGAATTTTAAAGTGTTGCACCCGACCAATCATGAAGCTATGGTTCACGAATTATGAGGAAATATTTAAGTGAACTGAATCTTATATCCCAAGAGCAACACAGAAGCAGAGAGAATATGATCATGATATATTTATGATACCTAAATGAAGAAGGACTCATCATACATAGATTTAAAATCAAGTTCAATAAAATCCAAGGGGCTAATAATCCTGTGTCAGACAAATTAATTTCAAGAGGCTCCAGGAACTGAAACTAACCCTCCCCCTCCCTTGGAGATACAAGTGAGTACATCTAAATGAGTATAATCAGGCAAGTACTGCTAGTGTGAGTACATGAAACATTCTCAGCACATACACAAGGAAATAAAATCTTACTTAAAGCTCTAAAGATACCTTAAAGCTCCTGTCTTTTCACGGAAGCTGGTACCACTCTGCCTGTACCCATGAAGACACAACAGTCTCAGAGGTCTATCCTTGCCTGCTGCCATCATTCAATAATATGAATTTACAGTGCCCTGAAAATTAAACTTTATGTTACCATATGAATTGCTGGAAAATACATAAAATTACATGAGGTTTGATATAAAAATATTAATACAGTACTGTAATGCAATGAAGAGGATATTTACAGTACAGTACTGAACATTTACAGTAAAATCCAGCTCAAATCAGGATGCAACAGCAGGAATACACTCCAGGTTTGTTTGCTTGTGACATGGTGCTTCTGAATTACTGTACGTTGCTTGTAGCAAATGAAGAATTTTTACTAATCTAGATTTGAAGAAGATAATGTAAAAACTCAGCATTTAATGTACAGTAATGTAATGCCTCTCTCTGGTGGGGCCTCGGTTGCTCTGTAACACTATCTCACTGTGATGGCTGCCCCCTACTGTGTCACATCAGCTGTACGAGTCCAGTATGGTCTACTGGGGTCCAGAGCCAGAACAGAGGCACAGCGAGCGGCGGACTGTTATAATCATCCTCACTGAAAAAAACCAGCGTTGAATGTAATGAAACACCAATTTCTGGTTGAGCCCCAGTGGCTTCCAAAAGCTACTACACTGATCTGCACAAGAAACTTCACATGAAGTTCAGCTTAAGAGGCCAGATGGCTAGAATAAACTATTCTGCCAATTTTCTGAATGGTGAGAGAGGTAGGAAAAAGCACAAGGTTGGGACACTTGGGCAATGAAGCTTTCCATCTTCCTCAGGACTGGTACAAGAATCCTGAATGGAGATGAAAGATAAATATATCACTGCAAAGAGGTCCATTAGAATAGTGCTGATGTTATGCAAAGTCCCTATTATGATTCCAAATTTAACTCTCACACCTTCCTACCAGGAGAACAATTGGACAGACTGACTGCCACCATTTCCCAAATGTGGAATGCCAAAAACAATAAGTTCTTGAAAGCAAGAATATTAAGGTTGACACCCAAAAAAATGCCACAGAAAGATCATTTAGGTCCATTGCTTTGTGGCATTGGACATTGACCTGTGCTATAGCCAATGTTCAATGACACAAGGGGTAGACCCTAAATTATCACTGTACAGTATTAAGGTAGCTGACTACCAATGACTTGTCAGAATCAAGATACAAATCTGAGCCCTAGAAAAGCTATGAACCACTATGTAATCCACACAGCCACTAGATCTTTAACTTTATGTAGCATGAGCCCATTGTCAGAGACTAACACTTCTGCACCATATAGTGCACACTGGAAACAAAGCCCAAACCCACATGGGACACAGTTAAAGAGCCTGTGAGATGGAGTAAAGATCCCCAGGGAATATAACCTCAAAGACCTCAACCTACCTACTAAAAAGTGAGAAGAAACTCAACCTACTAAGATAGTGGGAGAACTATAGAGCAATTCCTGACCTGGAGTTGCAAATAAAATAAGAAGCCATTTAAGTTTCTTAACCAGGACCAAAATCAGGGAAAACACCACTGAAGAACAGCCAGTAAAAGCTTACAATGAGATCAGTGGAATATCTCTAGGACTAGCATGCCAAACTAAAGCAGCCTCTGGTAAGGAGATATGGACTGCCTAAAGTCCCACATGGAAAACCAACCAGGAAAACTAGTGATTAGCTAGAGCACTCCTTGGCGGTCCCACAGATACCAAGTAGTGGAGGGGCTTTGAGTGTAAATGAAAGAGGTTTCTAGATATAATTTTAAGTTACTGAATGTTCATCAGCTCTCTTCCAACAGTTATGATCTGACAGGTACAGTATTTGAAAAAATCCCTGTTGCAACAGTGTTAAGTGTTGACCAGAGCAGACTGTACATTGTCCTGTAGCAGGACCTTGTCTACAAGGAAGCAAACAAGTGTCTTTCAGAAAGTAACTTTTTATCTCTACTCGGAGCCTGGATTTTTTTTATGGAGTTAGGTTGTTTTAAGATAAAATATAATGACATTTAAATTTTGGAGTACCACTGTAATAATAGTTTTGGTTCAAATTTAAAACAATTTCCTTACCATATGTTACTTTAACATCTGACTGTAGAAATATATTTCCTCTGCACATTCCCAGTCACTCCAAGCAAGCAGGTCTGTGAAATGTAAGCAAAACTTAAAACACCTGTGACAACGAGGCTTAACATTTATGTTCAAATACATATCACCTTAAATACAAAGACATTTTTTTGTACAGCTAGTATGGTTTTATTTGGTTAGGACAATTATTTAAGAGCCTCCACTGAACACTTCTACAGATTATAATTCACAGAAACATTATCCAACATGCAGTGGTCAATGTTAACACCAGCAGTGATTATGATACTAACAGCACTAGGCCTCCTTAGTGAAAATCGACGGCAATTCTAGGGTATGGCACACCTCAAACATACCTCCAGCAATTATTTCTCATGATCTAAGTGAGGTGGTGATGGGATGGGTGCACGAGTGTACCAAACAACCATGGATCCAGAAAATGATTGTAGAGGGTTGAGCATAACAACTTGAAAAATATATACTGTATAATTCTGAGAAAATAAAATAAGGATTAGATAATGGGAGAAAACTAAGCTGTATCAATAACAATAATGGCACCCATCACGATAACAGGACTTCAGACAATACCTGAATTTACATGAGGGCCACTAACACACTTGTGCAGCTTCGATAAGGACCGGAACCTGGCGGTTTGTCAAAGGTCAATTTGCCCTAATGATTTTTTTAAGCTGGATTTTAAAATGTAACAGTTTTGGCATTTATAGCTTTGGCAGGTAGGCAGTTCCATGGGTTTATAACCCTGTGGGTGCATAAGCATCTCCTGTTTTCAGTCCTACATTGAGGCTTGTTGAGCTTGAAACCATTGCTCCTTATTTGTGTTACATCTGACTTGTTGAAGAAGTTGTCTGGATCAACATCCTCCAAATTTGTCAGTATTTTAAAGTTTTGATGAGATCTGCCCTGTCATGCCTGGTCTGCAATGTTGTTAGCCCTGAGGCCCTCAACCATTCCTGGAATGAGAGCTGACTTAGTTCTGGAATGATTTTTTCTTGCCCAGTGTCTAAAACAGCTATGTCCTCCTGAAGAGCATGTCTCCATGCTTAGATACAATAATCCAAGTGGGGGTGTACAAAAGATTTATAATGTTGAATTACTATCTTCTTTTTCTTAAAAGTCAAAGGTACACTTGATTATTCCTAGAGTTTGGTTAGCTTTTTTTTTACTACTGCTCCTACTTGTTGTGCAACTTTTAGTGAATGCTCGATTCTGACTCCAAGATCCTTTTTTTCGTCAATTTGCTGCAAGGTAATGTTATTAATTTGGTAGTTGTGATGTGGGTTATGTCTCACATGCAAGATCTTGCCTTTTTCTATATTAAAAAGCACTTGTCAGTTTTCAAAATGCTACTTTATCTCTAAATCTCAAAATAAAAAATGTTTTACTATATAGTAATGCACTCATTTTATTTCTACTTAAAGTTTTTAATAGTAGCCTAAAGCTTCAATCCCTAAACTGAATTTAGCTATGGTTTCATGGTAAGACAATTCCTTACAACACAGGAACAGCAGTGTCTCTGGCCGAGTCTTCATCCAGGCGTGAAGAGGTTCAAGGGCATGGGGGGGTTAATGGGTGAGGTGGTTCCATGGGTGAGGGGGGGGGGATCCAATGATTAGAGGATTAAGGGGGCAGTCTCTGTGGAGTAGTGGTTAAGACGCTCGCCTGGTGTGTCGCGACCGCTTTATCCTGGGTTCGTATCCTGGCCGGGGAGGATTTACTGGGCGCAAATCCTCAATTGTAGCCTCTGTTTAACTTAACAGTAAAATAGGTACTTCTTGTTAAACAATTTTTTGCAGGGTCGTATTTCAGGGAACATAGGATTAAGGACTTGCCCAAAATGCTACACGTACTAGTGGCTGTACAAGAATGTTAGAACTCTTGTATATATAAATAAATATTAAAAAAAAATAAATACTGTAGGTGGTGCAGGTTAGAGGGGGGTCCAGGGATTTGGGGATGCAAGGATCAGGGGGTCCATAGGTTAGGAAAGTCCAAGGGTTTGGGGAAGTTCTGGGGGTTTGGGGGCATCCAGGGATATGGGGAGGAGAGGGGAGGGGGGGTCAGGGGTCAGAGGGTTAAGTAATTTTCCGTGTGCACTTTGAATACTATTATATGTCTGCTCTTCCAGACCATTGTTTTTATATCTATGTCTGTCATATTTTATGTTCTGTTATTCTTACGTTTTAGTAGTGTTTTTATAACATCAGGTAAAACATTTGCCAGGATTTTTTTTTTGAATTTGTGTTTTATGGGTTTATGTTTGCTTAGGGGTCCATGCGCCCCCATGCCTTGTGGCTGGGGTGTGGGGGTCCCAGAGCTCTAATAATCCTGTCTTCCCACCCAAAGTGGCAAGGTGGTCAAGAAGAGGTATGAGGGTTAAGGTGGGTCAAGGTGTTAGGGGTCAGAGGGCAAGAGGTGAGAGGTGTGAACACCATCACCGCTACTCACTACAGCTGCTACCTGGTCAATATAAGTGACGTGGCACCACCATCACGAAGGTTACAATGAAGCAACTGCTATTATTCCAGGGTTAACTTAGATAAAAGGTAAATGAGATATTACAATCTAATAAAATGGTTAATTATTTGACTATGAAAATTCTTCAAATATTACAAATGCTATACATCTTACAACTGTATTTCAAAGGTAGTTTACACGCAGACTTATTCTTCACTATAGTAAAGTAGAAACCGTGACTTGTAAAGTGAATGACGATTCTTTCATCATAACACGTGCAGTTTGTGCAAGGTTTCTCCTCCTCATGACTGTCTACTGCAAGTGTTAATGTCTGAAGATGTGTCACAGAGGCGCGTCAATGTTAATGACGTGGTAAGGTTGAACTCAGGTTAAGGCTGAAGGTTTTTAGTTGTTAAAACACTGAATGTTTTAACAACTAGGCGAGGCAGCGAGGCGCCGGGTGTTGTGTTGACGGCGTCAGCTGACCGCCCGCGTCCTCTCTCACTAAGCTCACGTTTTCTATCTTTGATTGTCTGGGTGGTCTGAGCTAAATGTAAAGATTTATTTATTTTATTTATTTATTTATATATATACAAGAAGGTACATTGGGATTGTGAGGATACATAGCACAGTAATTACATTCTTGTAAAACCACTAGTACGCGCAGCGTTTCGGGCAGGTCCTTAATCTCCTTAAAGATAGATGGACTACTGCTGGAAGGGACGGAATTATCAGGAGGGAAAGCGCCAAGCTATTACAACTATATAGCGCTGGGAAGGAGTCAGGATAAGGATTTGGGATGGGACGAGGGGAGGGAGGGGGGGGCAGGGGTGGAAGGAATGGTGCCCAACCACTTGGATGGTCGGGGATTGAACGCCGACCTGCCTGAACATGAAGCGAGACCGTCGTTCTACCGTCCAGCCCAAGTGGTTGGGCTGTACTACTGCTGGAGTGTAACCTAATTTTTGGCTTAACTGAAGATATTTAGCCAATGTTTTGACTATTTGATATTTTACATGTATTTTTTAACAAGCTTAGGTATACACAGCAATGTGCTGCTACCCTAGTCTATATGGAAGATTACACAGTGTAGATAAAAACTAGCTATAAGTTCATCTAATATTCCCATGTCACAGGATGGTTTGTCATACATGGAATCAGGAGAGAACAGGAAATGTAAGGCTGATCTATTAGCCTACACTAGCAAACTCTGGGTACAGCATAAGAACATCTTCCAATATTCCTGAGTGTATGAAGTAATTACAGAGCTCAAAGTACCTCATACCATTAGGTCTAAAGTCACTTATAACAGGGCAATTACAGATATAGTGTTTGAGAGTATGTCTCAGCTCTTGTTCACATAGTTTAGAGTTGGAATGTTCACCATTGGGTTGATTCATTACCTGCAGCCACCTGCCATAGATATCGATATCCCAGCCTAATTCTGGCAATTACAATGTCACACTGTCTGCTGGCTGTTTTGTGGTGTCAGTACATATAAATCTCAGTTTTAAGCATAGTCATAGCTCTTTGTACTCTTGCTTTCTGGCAGTTGTCAGAAAGTTACCCAGACGCAGGCTAACACAGGTAGGCTTCCAGTGACAGACTAACACAGGTAGGCCTCCAGTGACAGACTAACACAGGTAGGCCACCAGTGACAGACTAACAAAGGTAGGCTTCCAGTGACAGACTAACACAGGTAGGCCACCAGTGACAGACTAACACAGGTAGGCCTCCAGTGACAGACTAACACAGGTAGGCCACCAGTGACAGACTAACACAGGTAGGCCTCCAGTGACAGACTAACAAAGGTAGGCCTCCAGTGACAGACTAACACAGGTAGGTCTCCAGTGACAGACTAACACAGGTAGGCCTCCAGGACAAGAAGGCTGTCAGAACGCCAACAAGAGTGACCTTGGCAGCAGAGGTGGTGAAAGCAGTCGTAATCACCGCCCACCTGCTGCTGTTCCCATGGCTGCTTTCCCTACTGCTGCTAATGCTGTTCTTCCTGCTGCTTGTTCTACTGCTGTTATACTTCTACTTCCCCAGGACCCGCTGTTTCTATTCTCCTTGTTGCTTGTATCACTGTTAGTTTCCTCGCTGCTAGTACCTCTGCTTCTGTTCCTTCTTGCCCTGCTACTGCTTCCTGTGCCTGCAATGCTACTGCTGTTCCTGTTGGTACTGCTGCTTTACCTTATTTTCTTAGGTTTTCTTGAGCTGCAGCTGCTGCTACTACTGTTGCATGTCCTGCTGCTGCTGCTTCTGTTGTAAGTCCTACTGCTGCTACTGTTGCTACCGCTGCTGCTGTTGTTACTACTGCTTCACCCGCTGCTGCTGTCACTACTGCTTCACCTGCTGCTGCAGACGTCCATGTTACAAGCCGTCAAGAAAGTGGCCACCGAGAAAGTGGTGTTCCTCTCCATCTTAACTTCTCTGAGAAAGTCGCGGCGTCTGCCTTACTTTGACCCAAATACCATAGCAGCAACCCCCACTGCACTCATTTCCTTTTCGTTTGAGAGGGAGAGAGGGAGGGAGGGAGGGAGGAAGGAAGGAAGGAAGGAAGGAAGGAAGGAAGGAAGGAAGGAAGGAAGGGAAGCAAGAGAGGAGAGGGAGGGAGGGAGAGAGTGAGGAAGGGAAAGAGAGAGTTAAGGAAAGGAAGGATTGGAAGGTGATTAGAAATTTAAAGGTAAAATTCTTTGAGTCAAAATAATTGATATACATATAAAATGACATTTAATAAAACATTTACTTGGCCACTTTGTGTGTGTGTGTGTGTGTGTGTGTGTGTGTGTGTGTGTGTGTGTGTGTGTGTGTGTGTGTGTGTGTGTGTGTGTGTGTGGAGGAAGGCCCAGCAACCGCTCTCCTTCAGCGAGTGTTTACTGCGCCTCCTGGTCTCTGGCACCAGCAGTGACAGTGCCACTCTTTCCTACACACTTAGGGGAGAGTTGTGGCACAGATGAGCCAGGTCGGGCACCACAGTGGATGGTATATACCAGTGTTGACACCCCCCTGTCTCCGGTGGTGGGATGCTAGAGGGGAGGGGAGATGTACGTCGCCGGAGGAGTCTGTGTCGCAGGTCGCCAGTCCAAGTGTACAGTGAGTGGAATGCATGGGGGGGGGGTTAAGATTGATTGATTGATGAAGATTAAGCCACCCCAGGAGTCGGCACGGGTATTATAATTAATTATAATACCCGTGCCGAAGGGGTATTATAATTAATTATATAGTATATTGCTACATTAATTATTTAACTAATTGTTGAATAACCAAGAGATCAGTCAGACTGTGTTAGGATGTTGAAGGTCTCGCCAATACGAGCCGTCTGCAGACACGATCAGTTGATCTTGAAAGTGGCATTTTCTTGCAAGCTGTGTTGAAGGATTCAAGTAGGCACTTTCACTCTAGCAGTTATTATTGAGATCACGCATGCGCGCCAGCACCTGTTATTGTGTTGGTCCATTCACTCCGGCGTGCCCCAGGGAAAGTTACGGTGTCTCCCCGCACACACCCGCGGGGATAGGTATGGACGGTCAAGGGTCTTAGCGCGGATGGTAATGATGCATATTCCACCGCGACTACAATGATTAAAAAAGCCGTTGAGGAATGGGACTCACTAGTGAGTATCCCTGCACCGCCCCGTCCTCTCCACCGCTCACAACCTCACTAAACTGATGCTAAATTGTCTCAACTTAACTTAACCGAGGAACTACAAATAGAAAACGGGATATCAAGTCAATTTTGTGAGCCGCTGTCCGTTTTTGTACATCAGTTTTTGGCCTTAGGGGAAATTATAGGTCAAAATGCGATGTACTGTTAGGGAGGCCGGGAAGCTATCAGGATAACTGAGCGCACACGCTTATGGCAAAAGGTGGCTAGTGCTGGGCCACAGCCATCGGTATTTGCAACAAAAAAGTGCAGTGGAATTCACTTGAGGGCCACAGGGCTAACAACACAACACGCCAGGCAGGGCAGGACGGATCTTATTGAAACGTTTAAAACACTGAACAAATTGGAGGATGTTGATCAGGACAATTTCTTCAAAAGGTCAGATGTAACACGTGTAAGGAGCAACGGTTTCAAGCTCAACAAGCCATAATGTAGGACTGAGATCAGGAGATGCGTTTTCACCCACAAGGTTATTAACCCATGGAACCGCCTACCCGCCAAAGCCGTAAATGCCAAGGCTTTGTTGGGTTTTAAAGTACTGCTGGAAAAACCATCAGGGAAATGGGGGGGGGGGGCCTTCGACAAGCCGCCGGCTTCCTGTCCTCGTCGAGGCCACTAGTGTTAGTGGCTCTCAGGTAAACTCAGGTAAATATATTATCTTCGGCCATGACTGATTTTGGTTTGGTGTTGAGCTCGAGCCTGATCAACCTTAGGAGGGATATGCACCCTTCGTGGCGCAGTGGTAACACACTCCATCGTCCCCCAATTAGCAATTTGGCCCGGGTTCGTATCCTGGCCAGGGTGGATTGACAATCCTTAGCTGTACGCCTCTGTTAACCTAGCAGTGAATGAGTAGTTGGTTGTTAAACGATTGGCTGCCCGTATTCCGGGGAAAATGGACCTGCCCTAACCGCTATGAGTGCTAGTGACTTTACAAGAATATAAGAACTCTTGTATATATAAATAAACACAAAATAAATAAACTTTTGTGGACAGGGTCTCTTGGTACAGTTGGCTTCGTTTCTGACCCAAAATCAGGGATCCCGGATTCGCTTCCCGGACTGGACGGAAATGATCGGGCTCCCCTGGGCACGAGGGGGGGTGCTGCCCAACCCCTCCTTCACCCCTCCCCCCCCTCCCCACCTCCCTCACTCCCGCCTCTCACTTTCTCAGGGATGTACACCTGGCCAATGAATGGCTGGGCAGTGTCTTCATCTCTCCTTATGATCATAGTGGCTTCTGAATAATCAAACGTGTTATATTACTGGCATACCCCAGGGGCCCCTACGGTCTCCTACACGGCTCATACTCAGCCCTTCACTCTATATATCATAATATCCATCTAATACAGCCATCATAATCGAGCCGGAAACACTATGCGTGTGAGTGGCTTTGCAAGAATGTCAAAATACCAATCTTATGTAATCTCACATACCCATTAAATTGTACCTTTTTGTAAATAAATATTATTATTATTATTGATGAGGTGTGCAAAAAGTACAAATAATAAAACTATTTTTATAATTCACGTAGGTGCGAGGAAAGAGAGGAACACGATACCTGAAAAGTGTTCAGAAGATAAGTTCAGATGGATATTCACCGGCACACAGGTGAAATCAATAATAATTTCAATAGTCTGGCCAAGATGTGTATGAGAAAACGGGTCTTCAACGTCTTTAATTTAACCGCTTAAGTCTCTATAGTCTAAGCGGATAATTAACACCACTTGCTCACATAGATCAGTCTTCATCTCAACGAACACTGCGAGTACGACCAGAGGCTTGGTAAGGACGCATATAACTTTGAATAATTCCTATACCCAACCACTT